AAGTGTGCAGAATTAACCAGAAGTACAAAACATAAGAAAAGGGTCTAGCACACCAACAATTATTTTTCACTGATCAGGACTACAGTTTATTGGGTAACAGTGTCCACAAGGGCTACAGAGGGGCGGTGGGCTTGACAAAGACCCTTTTGTGGGTCAAAACATTGCCCTTGTGTGTGCAGTTACCCAATAGCCCCACAACAGGGGCACTGAGGGAACAATATGCCACCCCCACTTTTTTTTTAAATTAATTGTCCACAGTGGGGACAAGTGGGGGCTGTGCCAGGAACTTCCTTTTGTATTATCCCCATGTTGCCAGTCTTTTATGACAAAGCACAGCCAAAGGGTGCTTACTGTTTAGTAGACAAGCCCCTAGCTGCGGCCTGGTAGACGGGTGCATGAGGGAGGTTTTAAACCTCCGTTATACTAATATGGGGGTTCATATTGAGTAATCTATTTTATGTGGCAGTACTGAATTAGTTAATTGTGTACATGTTTTATGGATTAAAATGCAGCTCTCGATCTCATGGTTCTCTGACTAGGTAACTCTGGTCAGTGTAGCTGACCATGAGTGCACCTTCTCCGCAGAGCTTCCTGGCACATAGCAACAAACATCCTGTTGCCAGTCTTTTATGACAAAGCACAGCCAAAGGGTGCTTACTGTTTAGTAGACAAGCCCCTAGCTGCGGCCTGGTAGACGGGTGCATGAGGGAGGTTTTAAACCTCCGTTATACTAATATGGGGGTTCATATTGAGTAATCTATTTTATGTGGCAGTACTGAATTAGTTAATTGTGTACATGTTTTATGGATTAAAATGCAGCTCTCGATCTCATGGTTCTCTGACTAGGTAACTCTGGTCAGTGTAGCTGACCATGAGTGCACCTTCTCCGCAGAGCTTCCTGGCACATAGCAACAAACATCCTGGAGCTTTACCGAAGCTCTGCGGATAGCACAGCCTGACCGCAAGACACCAAACATGCCTAGTAATGTTGCAAGTGCCCGCTACTCCTTGCAGACACAAGGACCAGGAGCTGAAGATAGAGAGAAGGGGACTAACTGACCAGAGTGCACAATCCTACACTGATGGTGGGACTGCCTGAGTCAGTGTTTATGGATCACTATGTGTGTGTCACTATATGTATGTGTTGTGTTTGTGGGTTATGTGTGTGTTTTGGGTGTGTGGGTCACTGTGTTTTGTGTGTATGGGTCACTGCGTGTGTGGGTCACAGTGTGGGTGTATGGGTCAGTGTGTGTGTGTTGTGTTGATGTGTGGGCCACTAAGTGTATGTATCTGTCAGTGTGTATCTATATGTGTATCTGTGTCAGTATGTGTGTATCTGTTTGTCAGGATGTGCGTATCTGCGTCAGTATGGGTGTGTATATATGTGTGAGTCAGTGTGCATGTTTATCTATGTTAGTATGTGTGTATCTGTGTATATCTCAATGTGTATGTGCATCTGTGTCAGTATGTGAATGTGTCTGTGTGTGTATCTGTGTCAGTATGTGTGTGGCAGTGTATGTGTATATGCATCCAGGCATTCAAAGACCAACACAATACACAAAGACACCCCATTATTTAAATGTCAACTATACACAGAAATAAACACCAATACAACACACAAATGCACAACTGCATGCAAATGCCAACACTACATACAAACACACCATTACATTCAAATGGTAACAATACATACAAATACACTACAATATTCAAAAACACGCTTACATTCAACACACTTCTCACAAATACGACCCTGCAAGGAAACCCTGCAAAGAAATGGTAGATCTCCAGCTGTGAAAGCATTGTGGGTGTTGCACTATAGTTAAGGATCTACCTTTTAGCCATCCTTGTGCTAGAGGGAGCCCAAATAAATTTCTTGCACCATGGCCCTCTCTACCTATGTTCCGCCACTGATTAGTATATTCAGGTCAAGATCTTTGTTCCTGGTACAATTAACAATTGTATTCATGTAGCATTTTCTGAAAAACAACTTATTCTTTAGTAACAAAAGTTAACATTCCTAAAGAGATATTTCTGCCTGCTAATAACATACTCCCTTCAACTTCCATTTTAGATCTTCAGTTCAGTTAGGACACAACAGCACGAATATATACCTGCCTCATGACAGAGACAGTCACATGCACACCACACTGACACTTTACATTGACGTGATCTTACAACTCTGCTTTTCACTTCCCTCTTACCTAATAGCAGGCCTCAAGCATTTCAACACAGTCCTTGAAAACAAATAGTCTGTTAAGCAGAAAAAACATTCCATTTGACTGAGCAGTAAACCAAATAAAAAAAAAAACCATAATCTCCATATATTTTTATTGTGCATGGAAAATAGTCTTCCATTTAAAGGTTCTTCCATGTGTCCTATGGAGAAGACAAAACTGAATACAATACTATTTTAAAGTTTAAATATGACAAAATTACATATGTTGGACCTGCTGCTGCCACAGATTTCTCCAGAAAAAAAAAATTACTGTAAGTATAAATACATTTTCCTTATTTCTGTTCAAGCCATGGCAGCTTCACACATTGGTAATACCCAAGCTAATAATCAAAAAAGGGAGGGAAGAAAAAAAAAGTACACACACACAAAGTACAAATACAATATAAAATTTCATAAATGAGTTTAGAACTCGAAGACCAGAACTTTTTGCTGATCTGACATCGACGCCATAATCCTTCACAAATGTATTTGCAGATGACCAAGTTGCTGCTCTGCAAATACTCTCAACTGGAATTTGTGCTGCAGCTGCCCATGAGCATGAGAGAGACCTTGTCGAATGCACCTTTATTCCATAGGAAATTGTACCTTCTGGGCCTCATGGGATTTAATTATTGCTGTCACAACCCACCTGCTCAGAGTGCATTTTGAAGCCATATGTCCTTTCCGTGCATCACTGGGAATGACAAAGAGGTTGGACGACTTTCTTTATCCTTTAGTGCACTCCAAGTAGACAGAGAGACATCTGACTACGTCAAGATTATGCCATAAGGCATGAACTTCTGTTTGTGATTCTTTATAAAATGTAGGTAAAACAATTTCCTGATTGAAGTGGAAATTGGAGACAACTTTAGGTTGAAATTCAGACGCAGTATGAAGGATCACTTTATCTAGATGAAAGATTGTGTATTGGCTTAAACAATATAAGCAATATGACATAAACAATATCAGGAATATAACTCGAAAATGTATCTAGACGATTTTAAAGCAACTAATAAGATAGTAAATGATGAAAACAAAGATTTGAGGACTAACCGTAAATCCCAATGAGGCAACGAAACCTGTAATGAAGGTCTAACTTTCATAACTGCAGTCATAAAATGAACCACCACAGGTTCCAAGGCTCAATGATTCTCTATAAGGGCAGATAATACTTAGATCTTAAGATTAAATATACATAAACTTAACACCGATTTGACCTATATGGAGAAACTCCAAAATCTCTGAACTAGATGGAGATAGAACCTGAAAATGTCTTGATTGATTTTTTAATGTGCTTGAAGAAGGGTGATTACTACAGCTTCTGATAGACTTGAGTTCCTTAAAGACTGCCTCTTAGCCTTCACGTAATCAAAAGCAATCTGCCTAGATCCTGATGAAATAAGGGACATTGAGATGGTAAAAACTTGCTGAGCAGTAGTTTCCAAGAAACATCTGTTGACAAGTGTAGAAGCAGAGGAAATCAAGGCCTTCTTGGCCAGAAGGGTATGATTGGAATTACCTCCACTTGTTCCTTCCTGATCTTGAGAATATGCCAAATTAGTGAAATTGCAGGAAACACATAGCCTAGGGGAAACACCTACTACATAAACAGGGCATTTATCCCGCTTGAAAGAGGATGAAATTATCTTGAATAAAATGCTGGAACCTGGTGGTTTATTACTGTAGCCATAAGATCGACTGAATGCAGACCCCACTTGCGTATGACTCCATTTCAGGGGCAGGAAGGCTTAGTTGCCGAAACGTCGGGGTTCTGTGGTCTCCTGCTCTTTGGGTTAGCATACCTGGTTTATTATTTATTTCTTGAGCACTTTATTATGCACATATAGTGGTTATTTCTTAGCTGGTTATTTACATACCTGTACCGCTATCAGCACTTTTTCTGTACAATTTATATATATCCTCTATATGAATAAAATACGTTTTATATGCAAACAACGTTTTCTTGCGTGCTTGGGATTCTTTCTACTTTTTTTTTTGCAATGATGTATACTTGCTGTAGTTGACTGGAGAATTCTCCCACCTAGTTAGTGATGCAAACTGATTTTCTAGTGATACTACCAGAACAACTAAAAAAGAGGTTTGCCGCTTGCTGAGCCATGCCAGGCACGGAACCACAGTAAGCAACACTAGCAATTCCAGATCTTTTGTTCTATGCTGGCTTATAAAAGATGCTGGAGATGGAGTTAGAACTAGCTGCAATATCCCAGTAAGTGCAGTATTACAGTATACAGTAATACTTTAACACTCAGACATATTGCACACCTTATACAGTTTTTCCAGTGTCAAATGTTGAGATGTCTGGGCCACTACAGTAAACAACTTCTAGCAAACAAGTGCATGGAGATAGCGAATGATGTGGTTGTTCCACCCATAGAGGACACAGTGGACTAGCCTGGCGACCCAAAAGGTGGATCCTGGCACATGATTTGTGGCTCACTGGTACACAGCATTAGAAAGTGATAGTTTTGGGTAACTAACACCACATGTGTATTACAGTGTGACACCCCCACATGTAAGGAATGAAGATGTTACAGGTAAGATTCCACAACAGAATCCTGAGCTAGCCTTGGAACGCATGACAAACTGCACAGTTGCTAATCTTCATTGCGACACTGACTGCCGTAAACAGCGCTCGGAGAGCACAGACAGCACTGACTGGGATTCCCTCCCGCAGCCAACGTTCTGCCTCCAATCAGGAATGAGCAGAGACGCACGCCGACTCCCTGCAGCGCATGCGCGCTCCCAGCGTACCACTTCCGGTGGAACCTTCGCCGCTCGCCTCATTCCCTTCCGGTGTGTGACGGAGGAGGCCCCCTGGCAGGGCACGGTGGGTCTGCCCGGACCGGAACCGGAGTGCCTCGCCCCCGGGCAGTGAGCCGCCCCTGTTGGATGTGTGCAGCCATTCTCGGTACCGGCGGGCTGTGGTGGTGACCCGCTCCCCGGCTGGCCGCCCGCCTGATTGTCCCCCGCATGCACCCCGGCGGAGCACGGTTGCCCCGGTAGATTGGTGTCCGGCAGCGGGCAGACATGCCTCCCGTGCAGCTGGAGAGCAGTCAGCTGGTGGTGGCTGGGGGTCCCACATCTGCCCCCCAGCCCCCTCCCCCCGGGGCAGTGGTAGCCACCACGTCCCCGAGCCATGGCTACCGGCTGAGCGCTCTCATCGAATTCCTCCTGCAGAGAACCTACCAGGAGATCAACGTCCTGGCCGACCTGTGAGTACACCAGGGCTGGGGGGTAACCGGAGGGCAACGGGGGGGTTAGATCACATCATACACCACCACACTGGCCGACCTGTGAGTACACCCGAGCTGGGGGTAACCGGGGGGGTTAGATCACATCATACACCACCACACTGGCCGACCTGTGAGTACACCCGGGCTGGGGGTAACCGGGGGGGTTAGATCACATCATACACCACCACACTGGCCGACCTGTGAGTACACCCGGGCTGGGGGTAACCGGGGGGGTTAGATCACATCATACACCACCACACTGGCCGACCTGTGAGTACACCCGGGCTGGGGGTAACCGGGGGGTTAGATCACATCATACACCACCACACTGGCAGCTACAGTGAATGGCAATGTGTGTCTGCCAGCACTGGGAATGCTGCTCTGGGCTCTGTGTGAGCTGCTTGCTGGGAGGACCTGGGAAATTTAAATATATACATACATATATGTGGAGTTCTGTAAAGTGGTAATTTACTCACTGCACAGTACAGAGGATGGAGAAAGTGCAGCAGTTATACAGACTTTGTAATGAGACTGATCATATTTGCATGGGTCCCTTATTGCAACACCTCTGTATAGGCTATATTTCCCATTTAAATGGATATGACTACTGTAATACAACTTAATGCAGATCTAGTAAGAGCATAGTTACTTAATTTATTTTTTGCTTATAAAGCCAGGAACATTTTATGTACAGCTTTTTGTCTGAGGTGTTAAGTGTGAATGTGCATACAGTTGGAATACCAGAAGAATAAATGTGTGGCTTTTCAACGTGCGATTTGTAAGGTTGCATTTAAATTACAGAGGTATGTTTCTGTGGTGTGTCAATGTTTGCGTAGAGCATATGTAGTAGTTGATAGGGTGTAGGTCTGTGGAGTATCAGTGCATGTGTGGTTTACTGGAGTGTCAGTGAGGGGGGTGATTGCCATAAAGTATTTGCGTAGAATTTCAGAGTGGGTTTGATTGCCGGGGTGTATGTGTCAGATTGGCAGAGAGTATTTTTGTAGAATATCCGTGCGGTTGTGATTGCCTAAGTTTCAATGTGAATGTGATTGCCAGAGCGTACATGTATATAATTTCAGTGCTTTTGAGTAGAATTTTAGTGCGTGGGTTAATAAATATGTATAGTGTCATGTGTACAGTGTCAATGAGTCTGTGATGCCAAGGTGTATGTGTAAAGTCAGTGTGTGCATGTGCTGTAGCAGGTTTGTATGTGTGGTGTATTTCTACAGCCATTTTCTATATTTTGTGCTCTGTTTGTGCAGTGTCTGTATTTAGAGGTGTCTTTGGGCAGGATGTCGGTTTGCATGTCAGTGTGCGTAATTGCAAGTGGATCATTTGTGACAGCAGTGTGAATGGGCTTTGGGTAACTGTTATTTGACAAAATGGGTTAACAAATGATGGTGATGGTATCCAAACATCAAATGCACGTTAGTAACTAAAATATGCTGTATTGATTTTGGTATTTTGAGCGCCTCCATAAAGGAACTCTCCAAGTACCATAAACACTACATTTTGCTGTACTGGTTATGATGCTATAATGCCAGGTGTACCCAGGTGCATCTCCCCCTCTTTTCCCCATTTCCATTGTAAGGAGTCAAACCATTCTGGACATGTTTGACTTCTCAGCTTGGGTCTGCTGCGCCCCACTCCTCGCCCCCAATACTTACTATGGAGAGCCACAATCTCCAAAAGAGGAGCTTTTATTAGCTCAGTTGAGCTAAGCCCTGCACCTCCACGTTTAACTCTAATAGAGAGCTTGTGACTCACTATAAGAACTAGTGGAGACCTGGAGCAGTGCTCAGTGTAAACTAGATAACTGCACAAATTGGTCATAAAATGTGATCTGATCATATAAGTCACAGTCTGCTTAAACTAATAACACACAAAGAATGAAATGTTGCCATGTTTTTATTGAACACACCATGTAAACATTCACAGTGCAGGTGGAAAAAGTATGTGAACCCCTTGTCTAATGACATCTCCAAGAGCTAATTGGAGTGAGATGTCAGCCAACTGGAGTCCAATCAATGAGATGAGATTGGAGGTGTTGGTTACAGCTGCCTTGCCCTATAAAAGACACACACCAATTTTGGGTTTGCTTTTCACAAGAAGCATTGCCTGATGTGAATGGTGCCTTGCACAAAAGAGCTCTCAGAAGACCTACGATTAAGAATTGTTGACTTGCATAAAGCTGGAAAGGGTTATAAAAGTATCTCCAAAAGCCTTGCTGTTCATCAGTCCACGGTAAGACAAATTGTCTATAAATGGAGAAAGTTCAGCACTGCTGTTACTCTCCCTAGGAGTGGCTGTCCTGTAAAGATGACTGCAAGAGCACAGCGCAGACTACTCAATGAGGTGAAGAAGAATCATAGAGTGCCAGCTACAGACTTACAAAAGTCACTGGCAAATGCTAACATCCCTGTTAGCAAATCTACAATACGTAAAACACTAAACAAGAATGGACTTCATGGGAGGATAACACAGAGGAAGCCACTGCTGTCCAAACAAAACATTGCTGCACGTTTACAGTTTGCACAAGAGCACTTGGATGTTCCACAGCAGAACTGGCAAGATATTCTGTGGACAGATGAAACCAAAGTTGAGTTGTTTGGAAGAAACACACAACACTGTGTTGCGAAAAAAAGGCACAGCACACCAACATCAAAACCTCTTCCCAACTGTGAAGTATGGTGGTGGGGGCATCATGGTTTGGGGCTGCTTTTTTAGCTGCGTCAGGGCCTGGATGGATTGCTATCATCGAAGGAAAAATGAATTCCCAAGTTTATCAAGACATTTTGCAGATGAACTTAAGGCCATCTGTCTACCAGCTGAAGCTCAAAAGAAGATGGGTGTTGCAACAGGACAATGACCCAAATCATAGAAGTAAATCAACAACATAATGGCTTAAACAGAAGAAAATACACCTTCTAAAGTGGCCCAGTCAGAGTCCTGACCTCAACACGATTGAGATGCTGTGGCATGACCTCAAGAAAGCGATTCACACTGGACGTCCCAAGAATATTGCTGAACTGAAACAGTTCTGTAAAGAGGAATGGTCAAGAATTACTCCTGATCGTTGTGCACGTCTGATCTGCAACTACAGGAAATGTTTGGTTGAAGTTATTGCTACCAAAGAAGGTTCAACCAGTTATTACATCCAAGGGTTCACATACTTTTTCCACCTGCACTGTGAATGTTTACATGGTGTGTTCAATAAAAACATGGCAACATTTCATTCTTTGTGTGTTATTAGTTTAAGCAGACTGTGATTGTCTATTGTTGTGACTTAGATGATGATCAGATCACATTTTATGACCAATTTGTGCAGAAATCCATAGCATTCCAAAGGGTTCACATACTTTTTCTTGCAACTGTATTTTAAAATGGCTTCACTCCTTACAATGGAAGTGCACCTCTTCGCACTATACCTTCTCCTGCGCACTGGTGGTTTTGGTACTTGGCAGGTTCCTTTAATGAACTGTGCTGAGCATGTATATTCTCATTACACAAACTTCCAAAGAGCTTTTTTTTTTTTTTTCTTAGTCTCTCCCTATTTCATTTTATAGCTTCAGTTGCACAGTGAAAATATATACATCTGAAGTTTGGTCTTCTTATCCATTTGTAGGAAAGTGTAGTCTAGTTGTGTGTGTTTATGCAATTTGTTTGTTAATTGGTAGCTATTGTAAGACTATTTAAATTTACATATTTATATAACTATAAGCTTTGTGAATTTGAATTAAAGCATGAATAACAATTTTTTTTTATCTTGTGTCCAATTAGACTCCCGAGGAAGACTGACATGGAAAGGTGAGTTTTCTTGCAATTACTATATTAGATCCCTTGATATTCATTTAACACCCACTACAAAACTTTACAATATATTCATTTTACAATATCTGGTTTGCTTCTATACTATATGAATTTATCTGACATTTTTATTTCATGGTAATCCATCGAATAACATTGAGTTCAATAATGGTGTTGTGTCCCTAATAAAAATTTAAAATTATCCAATACTGTAAGCCATACTAACACCATAGTTTAGTTAATTGGGAGTCATTTAAAACATAAATGAAAACAATTCCAATTTTTAACATGTAGGCACACTTATAAACGGCACAATTTATTGCCTCACAACTGTTGGTTAAAGGAACACTCAACTGCCCAAAAACAACATTTGAACCAAAAAGTCCTCCCTTTCTAACCCAGCCCAAACCTTTTGTGGCTGTCCAGTCACGGATTCCAAAGCAGCTTAATGAGAAGTCTCTCCAAGGCAGGTGGTCTGAGCCATTGACTGTATCTTGAGTTTAGCTCCAGTGAGCTAAACAATCAGGAAGTAACATGACTGGTTGTCTGACCAGGTTAATTCATAAAAGTGTCATTTTCTATTGAAATTGTACTTTTTGTAAAATAGAGAGAAAATGCGTAAACACTCCTGAAACAAAAAATACTTCAGCAAGCTAAAGTGCTTTAGTGGTCTGGAGTGTCAGCTTAACGGTGCCCTAATAGGTGTGGGGGTTTTTTTGTGCACTGGAAAATTGTCATATAAAATTTACCTTTGCAGCTATTAGAGTGCATTAATATTTGCATGCATAGAAGCACTGCTAATTCGTTTTATTTAAAAAAAATACTAGTTCTTGGATTGTTTTGATTCTTTCTAAATTATCTTTTTTGAGAAGTATTTTATTTCCTTGTGTGTGTGGGTGAAATGTCATATCTATCATCCACCCCCATTCATTTGTAACACCAATTGATCTTCTGATAATGGTGATGCAGCAGTGAGAGGTACAGGTAAGTAACACCTACAGCCTTGAAAAGCAATTAAATATATAATTTAGGGTTTAAAATATCAACTCCTACGTTGCTAACTAGACATTAAAGGGACATTAGAATCGCCAAAATAACTTTAGGTTATTGAAGCAGTTTTGGTGTATAGATAATGTCCCTGCAGTCTCACTGCTCAATTCTATGCCATTTAGGAGTTATATCACTTTTGTTTCAGTTTATGCAGCCCTAAATTAAACGTAATTTGCAATAAAGGAAGTGTAAACATTAGATGACTCTTTACAGAAAGTTTAGGCCAGGGCTGCATAAACAAAAGTGATTTAACTCTTAAATGGCAGAGGATTGACTAAGGACAAGGTCTATGCAACAAAACAGCTTCCTTAAGGTGAAGTTGTTTGAGTGCCTATAGTGTCCCTTTAAGTTAGTTGCATCTGCAAGCCTGGAGAGTCCATGGCATAGTGATTGGGTGAATTTCTACACAGCAGGGCTTAATTCTCACTTGCCAATGCTAGTGGCAAGTGGAAATTTTAAACTCCAATATAAAATTTATCATAAAGATAAATTGTTTGCCGCTATGGTAGCTGTTTGAGCAAATATTTAACCTGGCATGACTGGTTTACTTTAAAGGGTGGGGCAGAATTGTTTAAAAATGAGTACTTGGTAAGAAATTAATTTATCTTCACATGTGATAGGTGTTTGAAAGGCTTTAAATACTTATATTTTTGTTTTCAGGAAGATTGAAATTGTTCAGTTTTCCAGCCGTACCCGTCAGCTTTTTGTCCGTCTTCTTGCATTGGTAAAATGGGCAAACAACGCAGGCAAAGTAGAGAAATGTGCGGTAAGATTTCTAAGTGTGATTTTATTTTCTTCTTGAAGGACTGGCCGTTTTTGAGACTATAATGGGGGACAAAAATTAAATAAGAAAATATATAGTCGTCATTTTGTGGGTGAAATTTACATTCTTAGATTTGTGGGGTGCCACTTTCTCTCTAGGATGCGGTATGTTTGTGTGCAAGGTTTTCAGTCAACTCCATGTTCATAATCGTTCTCATTCAATGTATGTTGTAATGTTTTAAAACCTTAACGGGAAGTTAAGGTGTCTGGAGGTCCTGGACACACACTCTTACCTTAAGGTATTGTACCTCCAATGCTGATCTGCATGTCCCCCAGGCAGAATCTGGCAACTGAATCTCAGTTTCAGTAAGTGCAGATTGCCGCTGGGCATGGGCGCTGCCTTTTGGCTTAGAGCGGTGGGCTGGTCCTCTAAGCCAGTCAGTATCACTCCACTAATCAAAACACTGGAAACAAATCAGTGTTGTGTGACGTTATGCTGCATCAACCATCACAGAAATCCTAAGAGATTCAGACTGGTTCTTTTTATGAAAACCAAACTAAATATTTAAATCTGTTTACCATTTTTTCATACGGCACTTTACAAATTAAGTAAAACAGACATAGGTAGGTTTACAGACAGGATATGCAATGAGATATACTGATACAAAAAAAAGAGTAGAGTACTCTGTCCATGGGATTAATCCATTGTCTGCAGCAACTTTTAAAAAGAACTGTGGAAGACAGCTGGTGAGCTTACATATTCTTATCCTGTCTAGCAGGAGTAAATTACTTTTTTTAACAGAGGTATTCACAAAAAGTTTAATTTTTAATAATTCAAGGAGAATCTCAACATTTAGGTGATCGTAGCCAAACTGAAAAGATAGCTGAGAGGTTTTTCAGTTAGCCGTTGTAGCATAGAAGTTGAAAATCAATTGAATTCCAGTTAAGTTGTCCACATTTCACACTTCAGTGAGTAACACTGCTAGTCCTATGTAACAGAGAGGTACAATTTGTTATGATTTGTGAATTATGTTTAGTTTTAAATGTATGTATTTTATTTTGTAGATGATATCAAACTTTCTTGATCAACAAACCATATTGTTTGTGGATACCGCTGATCGACTTGCATCTTTAGCCAGAGATGCCCTGGTGCATGCTCGTCTTCCTAGTTTTGCAATTACATATGCTATTGATGTGTTAACAACAGGATCCTACCCACGGTTGCCGACCTGTATCAGGGTAAGCATTCTTCTCTTTTGACTGGTGGAAAATAAACTTCTATTGTGATTTGTGGGTTTTATTTTATATTTTGCTCTTTTGGTAAGTTAAAAAAATCTGTTATGACTGCTTACTATTAAAGAAAAGGTAGTCAACCTATGTAGTGCCAGGATTAACACTGTTATAGATCGTATATCCAATACATTTCAAGGTACTAGGAAGAGACTCCCACTTGAAGGCTGCATAGCTTAGGTTACCATCCATTTTTATGTCCTACTTGGTAAGATGTGTGGCTAACATTTTGAGTCCTGTTCCTTTTCCTTAATCACTTCCAATCTTGGGCTGTTTCTATTTCTTACAGTCCCCTAGCAAATGAGTTGGAAACTATATCCAAACTGGTTAATTTGGATACTATTTTCTACAAATACAAAAAGGTCTGTGGATCATTTCATGGATCTTCCATAAACCTTCTGCTTGTACTCTTGCACAAAGAGTAGAACAGTGTCACAACTTGTGGTGCAAAGGTCCCACCGATGATAGTGCCACATTTTTGTTCTGTTTCGTTGTGGAGAGCTTGGTATACACATTCTTGCTCCATGTGATGCAGACATGCCTGCCCTCTTAAAGTAGCCTGTTCTGACATGATCATCTTCATGTGTAACGGCTCATGTAATGGCAATTTGTAAATATAAATTATGTTCGCTTTAGGAGCTGTTAAAGTCTTTCTTTCTACTGTTCCAGCAATTTCATGTTTGTAGGTCAGTGAATAGTGTAACCACCTTGTTCTCACCCCTTTATAATGAGGTTGACCCTGCATGTGACTCCTTTTTAAACAGGACACATCTCTCTAATCATTGCAGCACACTGGAACCACATTGGTGTGTGTGAAGTTCCTATGTTCTCCCAACAAACACTAATGGAATATCATGCCGACTGAGAGCAGGAGAACAGTCTGTAGGAAAAGTCTCCTGCTCCCCCCTGTCATTTAATTGTCAACATCGACTTATGCTTTTGGCATAGAAGTATTGGTTAGGAATGTTATCACACACCTGTGTGATAGATTTTGCTCATGTTCTCATTGAGAATTTTCCATTTGTTTTTTTTCACTGCATTAATTAAATTATTTCATTTTACAAAGGATAAAATAATACCTCCTGATCCCATAACCAAAAGCGAGAAGCAAACAACACTGCATCAACTCAATCAGATCCTCCGGCATCGACTGGTGACTACTGATCTTCCCCCACAGCTTGCAAATCTCACAGTTGGTATGTTTTATGTTCAGATTTTCTTCTACATTAAAATCAATTCATTATTATATATTTGAGTGGGTTTTTTTTTAAGTTGCATCTGGTCAGACTCATGAAAATATTTCCATTAACTAGTTTCTCAACTTTTGTCTATTAATTTATTTGGCAATTAAATATTGATTACCGTTTTAATTTAATGCAGCCAACGGCAGAGTAAAATTTCGCGTTGAAGGGGAATTTGAAGCCACTTTGACTGTGATGGGAGATGATCCTGACATCCCTTGGCGTCTCCTGAAATTAGAAATACTGGTGGAAGATAAAGAAACTGGAGGTAAATACGTGAAAATGTGATTTTGGAATTGCTTATTCGGGTCTCTTATGGTGACCTGAAAAACAAGTGTGGCTTAGTAACCACAGTTTGTCTCCCTGTTGATTGGTGAAAGCAGACTAAAAGATCTGCCTCTACTGGCATCCTTGTTGCATATTTTTGGATTTAATTATTTTTCCTCTCCCTACCACTGCTGTTCAATGCTATTGATGATTAGGCGTTAGAGATGTAAGGGCTTCAGTAACATTGGTGTTAATAATGTGGAAGTAGGCTGTCGCTTCATGAAATGAGGTGTGAAATGGCAGCAGCATTTGTGTGTACATGTATGTGTGTAACTGTTTCAGGGACTGGCCAGTTATATAAGTTCATGATATACCTGTGTGTTATGAAAGTGACTGATGTGGCATGATTGTAAGTGTGGGTAATTTGGTATAGGAGAGTATGGCTTACTGTGTGTGTCACAAATGAAGTTTGCCTGGCTTATAGAAAAAACATGTTAAAACAATGAAATTTGGCATTTTACATGTAGAACAGTTTTTTTTTTTTTTTTTCTATTTAAAAATTAAAATAAATTTTATTTCATGGTTCATGCTCCTTGACGCTATTTGAAGAGCCCAGAGGTTGCTTCAGAATAAGATTAATTTATTTAAATTAACTGCATAGAAAATGTTGATTGTTGGCCCTAATCTGCATGTGTTTCTTGATTACAAATACATTTGGTAAACACTCTGCTATATGATGTGTATGTTTGACTGGGCTCCTTGAAAGCTCTTAACCAGTCATTAGCATTGTGATGATATAGATCTGCACATCTATATATGGACTGCCAAGGTCTTTTATATTTTGGACAAAATACTCTTTGAGAATTTATTGAAAACATTGACATACAAAAAAGTAGATGTATGGATCAATTCTTGGACTCATGCATAATTTCTTTCTTTGACTTGTGTTTTTTTACACAAAATTCTATTATTGTTTTAGATGGTCGTGCGTTGGTTCACAGCATGCAGATCAATTTTATTCACCAGTTGGTCCAATCAAGGCTTTTTGCGGACGAGAAACCACTTCAGGACATGTATACCTGTTTGCGTATCCTTTTAGTTTTCAAACCTGGTTTTCATTTTTTAGGATCATGAAAGTACATTTGCTTGCTTAGAAGTTTTTCAAAAAGTATAATCTTGTTACTCAACACATTTCAGTAAGGATATTTGAAAAGTGTAGATTGTCATTCTTAATTTTTTTTATTTTTTTATTATTTTTTTTAAACCTTAAAAGTTCCTCTGACCACCATGTCCTCTACAACTTATTAGGGGTTATGGTACAAAGAATCTTCAGCATCTTCTTACTAGTTAGTATCAAATGTTTTACCAAAACCTTGGGCTCTCTAAGCCTATTATTGTTGTGCAAAGGTAGACTATGTATTCGGAAGTGTAAAAAATAGCTTGGCAGCAACTTGAGCTGTAATAGTTATGGAGCTTTTAGACTATTCCTATAATCTGATGGTAATCTATGATTAAATATAGATGTTAATGTATATCTTGTTATAGGTAACTAAGCCTTACGGCTGGCTAGGTCTTCCCTCGGATGCAATGCAGAATTTACATTTTTGAGATACTTTTTGGGTTATTTATGAAAAGCAAATATGGGGATAAAAATCACTGCTTGTTTTTTTGAGCGGTGACCAAGTGTTACCCTTTGTATGTTTTTGTTTCTTTCTCTATATGTTAAGCATTATTGCTTGTTGGAATTCCAAGTGCGATTGTTCCCTTGACCTTATTTCAATATAGATTCCTTCTGCCTATCGCTTCAGCTGGAAGTCCTTCATTCACAGACCCTCATGCTAATTAGAGAACGATGGGGTGATCTAGTACAGGTAGAACGGTACATTACAGGAAAATATCTCACGCTCGCGGTTTGGAAGTAAGTAACACTATTACAATGTATTATCTACATTAGTGTACAATATTATCAGATTACCTAGTATTTGTGACTAAACCTTGTTGTGTTTTGGATTATGCTAGCTGAAGTTTCCTGCCGTTTGACTAGCCCAATGTGTAGATGAAATTGTACGCTCTTTTAAAGTAACACTTTATTATTTTAGCCATGTATATTGTGCGCCAATATTTTGAGGGTTTTTTTTGGGGGGTTTTTTTTAAAGGCGATTGCAGGGAAACTTCTAAAAGTGAAGCATATACAATAGAAACCAGTGGAAATCTTCCACCTTTAGAACCTTGCTCCAGAAGCATTGTGTGTTTCAGCCAATGAGGATATTTAACTGCCCAGCATCTCTCAATGTCAGCTTATACCATCAGCTGATAGATCAATGTACAGCTCCAACTCATTGGCTGCAAGCATTCTTCATTGTATTAATGGCATTCTTAGTATAACTCTTGTGTCTATTAAAGAAATTAAACAATTCCCCACATTAAATAATTTGCACATTAGGGAGAAGATGGTCAGTGCTTTCAGTAAGTAATATTTAACATGTAGGTAAAAGGTGGAGAGCTATGACCAATATTTTAGAATGCCCTTTTAACACAAGCTGAAGAAGTTTTGTTAGTGAGATAAGTCAAGATTAGTTAAATTAGTACCTCTGCTAGACTGCAGTTAATTGTGAAAAATCTAACATGCTATATTCTGCACCATTCCATACATGCATCCATACATTGCTATGACAGGCTTAAACTATGCAACTGACTTGAGTATCCCTGGCATATATTTTATACGGCTTAATAAAAAAAAAAAATTATGTAAAAAACATTTTTCTTGCCGTTGCAGCCAGCAGGTACTGGGAAGGAAAACCGGAACTGCATCTGTCCATAAAGTTACAATAAAGATTGATGAGAACGATGGTTCAAAACCTCTCCAAATTTCCCATGATCCTCCTCTCCCAGTATGTGATTCTAAATTAATGGAAAGAGCTATGCGGGTAAGGACTAAACCATTATAAAACTAATTATCATGCATGCCTTCTTACATTGACATTGTTTGGTTATTCCTTTTTATTTTTTTAATTTATCACAATTTTTAATTTAAGAGTGTTTTTTTTTTTGTTTTTTTTTCCCCTCTCTATTAAAGATTGACCACTTATCAATTGAAAAACTGCTTATAGACAGTGTACATGCCCGATCACATCAGAAATTGCAAGAACTGAAATCCATTTTAAAGAGTTTCAATCCCAACGACAATTGTAAGTACTTTGTATCCACACATTATTCAGGAGTTCATGGGAAATGTATTTATATATTAAAAGAAAAAACTACAGTGAAAACTAATTATTGTGATGTAGCTTCCATTATTTTGTAATATATCACATTTTGTTTTCTCCAATAAACAAAGCAATCATGTATCTCATAGAAGGTAGAGAGCCAGCGGTTAGTGAGGATTGTTATAAAATGCACACATACTTCTAGTTTGCTTTTGCTAATTAGTTCAGCTGTAATTATCATAATGCTGGGAAACTTGCACATATACGCTTCTGAACTTAAGTTGGTATTGATGCTTGAACCGTAAACTTAACTTTGAAAACAAACAAACAAATATTACAATGAATAATGTATTGGTCTAAAATAATATGGCTTTCCTTGATTCAGAATATATATTTTTGGTTTCACAGTGGCTTTATTTTATATTTACTGGTTTGTTTTTTTTACTCAGCCTTTGTGGAAACTGCTCTTCCAACTCTTGTCATTCCTATTCTGGAGCCCTGTGGTCGCTCTGAGTGTCTTCATGTGTTCGTAGATCTCCATTCCGGAATGTTCCAGCTCATGTTGTATGGATTTGGTAAGTCAGTATGCTTAATTGTTGCTTGACATTACCCCTTGACTTCACTCAATGCACATGTATGCCGGCAAAAAAATGTAATCTGTGGAAAGTGACTACCTACTAGACCATTATTCAATTTCATGAAGGTCCTGTGGGTAGGACTGAAAGATTTGATATTTTTATTATACAAAATAACTTTTTCGTCCATATACATGCCTCTTTAATAATTTTATTTATTTATAAAATATTTTACCAGGATGGGATACATTGAGATTTCTCTCCTTTTCAAGTATGTCCTGGGTCCACAAAACATTGCATTGTTACAATAGGATTCAATATTACAAAAATACAATATACAAACTATACATATGCACACATATATAAAATTAATACATAACAGGTAATAAATCCATTCAACCATGACAGGTGCATTCTGTGCTGAGGTATATTGCCATAGATCTCTTAAAAGATTTTAGATTGAATGAAGATTTGACTGTGTCTTTGGGGTTATTCCATAATTGCGGTGCTCTGTAGGAAAATGAGGATCAAGCCACTTTATTTTTGTATTGCGGCATGCTAAATATCGTGCTATTACTGAATCGGAGGTTATAGGAGGTGGGAATAGATGGGGACAGCAAATTTTGCTCAGGTAGGGTGGGAGCTTCCCAGAAATGCTCTTATGCACAATGCTGGAAAGATGAAGTTTATTAAGGTGGGTTTGCAGTGCGGCTGCATACACTACAACCCCATAATCAATGACCGGCATTAGCATTTGTTGCACCTGTTGCATCTGTTTCCTTACTGTAGTGCTTAGGCAGGATTTGTTTCTGTACAGGGCACCTAGTTTTGAGTAAAGTTTTGAAGAGATTTTTTCAATGTGAAGGCCAAAGGATAGATTGGGATCTAGCAACATACCTAGATATTTAAAAGAGCAGACTGCTGTCAGTGTGTCATTTGAATGTGTTCTGATTCACAATTGTTGATTTTGTAGTTTATGTATTTTAGGTACAGTTCTAAAGATCATTTGTGACATTTTGTCAGTGTTTAGGAAGAGTTTATTATCCGCTATCCACTTTTCTACCTCTATGAATTGGTTTTGGAGCACAGCCTCAAGCTGCGGTAGCTTGGGTTTACTAGCGTAGATTAGTGTTGTCTGCATACATGTGTATAGTTGAGGATTTGCAGGTGTTAGGCAGATCTTTTATAAATAATGTGAATAGTAGGGGGTCGTGTATGGAGCTTTGGGGAACACCACATGTGACTGGAAGAGGGAGGAAAGCACTTTCAGAAATGGCCACATATTGCAATCGGTCTGAAACATACGATCGAAACCAGGTTAGCGGACGATCCCTAATGCCTGAGTTTTTAAGTTTTTTGCAAAAGAATGCCATGGTCTACTGTGTCAAACTGCCTTGGAAAATTAAGGAAAATAGATCCAGTTAAGTCTCATTGTTCCATGCCAATTTGGATGTCATTGCAAACTTTTAAGAGGGCAGTCAAAGTTGAGTGATTTGGACGAAAGCTTGATTGATCAGGGGTCAGATAATTTGATCGTTGATAATATTCACATAATTGCTTGTGGACGCATTTTTCTAAGATTTTTGACAATCCCGGGAGCAATGATATCAGGCGATAGTTAGATAACAAAGTATTGTCACCACTTTTATGGCTAGGTACAACTTTTGCAGTCTTCCAAAGTTTGGGCATGTATCCTGACACCAGGGATTCATTGATAACGGTAGTGACAGGTTTAGCAATTGCTGACACACTGAGATTCAGCAGCATTGCTGGGGTTTAATCTGGTCCTAATTGATTTTTCATTTTTAAATTAAGGTGTTTATTAACGACACTAACAGGCACAGGTCTAAAATTTAATTTCTCTATATGAGGATTTTGAAGATTTGGCTGGGCCTGATCTTTATTTGCGGTCTGAAAATGAATGTCATTTGTTATTTTAGCAACCAGGGAGGTAACACATCCAACAAAATAATTATTAAAGGCATTTGTTACATATAGGGGGTGTTGCAGTGTTTGGTTGTCCATTTTGACAGTGGAGGGTTGGGAGTGGATTGTGGGGGTTTGTATGCTATTTATGATTTCCCAGAAGGTTCTTGGGTTTGATAGGTTGTTGAGTATTGGGCCTTTGCCATTGTCTGTAAGTACAGTGATCGTTCATGGAGCCAGTATGCTTGAACTTTGACCACAGTGAATCTCTAAACTGGTACATTTGAATGAGGTCAGCTGTAACCCAGGGAAGGTGTGTCCCTTTTAGTCGCACTTTATTGCAGTTCCAGATTGTATGTTAGTTGCTAGGCGTTGTGCACCTTGGGCAAAGAAACACAGCGCTGCTAGTTTTATTTTATTTTATTTTACATATGTATTTAAAACTAGTTTCTGTAGCTACTGCAAGCTCTACCATTCTTCCATGGTCAGGGAGATGGTACAATATATAAAAGCTGATTTCTATTGGGTGGAAAATGGGGGTACGCCGCAGGCTTAAGTGCTTTGTGTTTGGAGTGTTTAATGTAGTAGTATTTATGTGGTTTTATTTCAACAAATATTAATCACTGAGCTTGTCCTTGTTAGTAGCTGTAAAGAATTACTTTTTAGTGATAGAACTTTTTTTTTTTTTTTTCTGCCTTTTAGACCAAGTCACATTGGAAGATATAGAAAAATCCATTAATGATGACATGAAACGAATCATTCCTTGGCTCCAGCAACTCAAGTAAGTTACTCTGGAATGGTATTGCCTTTTACCATATCGTAATCTTTAGCAATAGTGTAAAGTGCTTACTGGGTTCTGGTTTCTGATTCAGCCTTCAGGGGCACTTATTCAGAATAAACAAGCTGTTTGTTGATTACATTGCTTTATATTTTTGCTTCAAGGTTTTGGCTCGGACAACAGCGTTGTAAGCATTCGGTAAAGCATCTACCCACTGTCTGCAGTGAAACCATACATTTGACAAATTATGCCACTCATCCAGTTAACAATCTGTCCAGACACAAGCTGTTTATAAAGCTCACTCGTCTTCCTCAGTATTACATAGTAAGTGACTTAAACATGGTAAGAAGAAAACCAAAAAAGTTGCTGACAAACTTAGATTCTCATTTATTAAAAGAGAGTAAGTAGATTGGTTTCCATGGTGTATTAGTAAACTGTGTATCTTTATATATGTGTGTTATAGTGCTACAGTTCATATCGGGCTTTTGCCAATGGATGCTTTTACTTTATTAAAATAATAAATATATATATATATATATATATATATATTTTTTTTTTTTTTTTTTTTAAATGCTATAAATATTCACTGCATTTCCCCTCATACATTCAGTTTTCCTTTTTTCAATTTTGAAACAGTGTTTGGCTATATTTCCCCAGTCCTTTGCATTGCCTGTTTTTGTATGAATTTATACACAGAATAAAAATTATAAACGCAACACTTTTTTTGTTTTTGCTCCCATTTTTCATGAGCTGAACTCAGATCGAAGACTTTATCTATGTACATAAAAGGCCTATTTCTCTCAAATACGCTGGCCACAATAAAAGGCCACTCTAAAATGTGCAGTTTTATCACACCGCACAATGCCACAGATGTCGCAAGATTTGAGGGAGTGTGCAATTGACATGCTGACTGCAGGAATGTCCTACAGAGCTGTTGTCCGTAAACTGAATGCTCATTTATCTACCATAAGCCATCTCCAAAGGTGTTTTCAGAGAATTTGGCAGTACATCCAACCGGCCTCACAACTACAGACCACGTGTAACCACACCAGCCCAGGACCTCCACATGCAGCATCTTCACCTCCAAGATCGTCTGAGACCAGCCACCCGGACAGCTGCTGCAACAATAGTTATGCATAACCAAAGAATTTCTGCACAAACCGTCTCAGGATAGTTCATCTGCATGACATACCATGACAAGATCCTGAGGCCCATTTTTGTGCCATTCATCCACAAGCATCACCTCATGTTGCAGCATGATCTGTACGCAATTCCTGGAAGCTGAAAACATCCCAGTTCTTGCATGGCCCGCATACTCACCGGACATGTCACCCATTGAGCATGTTTGGGATGCTCTGGATTGTCGTATATGACAGCGTTTTCCAGGTCCTGCCAATATCCAGCAACTTCGCACAGTCATTGAAGAGGAGTGGACCAATATTCCACAGGCCACAATCAACAACCTGATCAACTCTATGCGAAGGAGATATGTTGCACTGCATGAGGCAAATGATGGTCACACCATATACAGACTGGTTTACGGTCCCCTGCCCGGACACTCCCAATACAGTAAAACTACACATTTTAGAGTGGCCTTTTATCGTGGCCTTAGACAAAATCACCTTCCTTCCAGTCTAAATGCGTGACCTTGTGTCCTATGTATAGCCTTGTTTATGAATAGATTTCCAGAAAATTTTTGCACTGGCCCCGATTATATTTTTAGAATGTTATCATATCCCCTGTGAGGCGCCGTTTTTCCAAACTAAAGAGACTTACATTTTTTAACTTTTCTTCGTAACTAAAATGCTCCGTTCCTTTATTCAATTTTGTAGTTCGTCTTTGCACGTTTTCTAGTGCCGTGATATCCTTCTTTAGAACAGGTGCCCAAAATTGCACAGCATATTCAAGGTGTGGTCTTACCAGCGATTTATAAAGAAGCAAAATTATATTTTCATCTCAAGAATTTATGCCCCTATTTATACATGACAAAACCTTACTGGCCTTAGCAACTGCAGATTGACATTGCATATTGCTGCCTAACTTGTTGTCTATAACAATTCCCAAATCCTTCTCGTGCGTGGTTACCCCTAATTCACTACCATTTAGGGTGTAAGGTGCTTGTGCATTCTTGACCCCGAAGTGCATAACTTTGCATTTCTCTACATTAAATTTCATCTTCCATTTTAGTACCCAGTTCCACAATCTATTTAAATCCCTCTGCAGCAAAGCAATATCCTGCTCACAATTTTTTACTTTACAAACTTTTGTATCATCTGCAAACACTGAAACATGACTTTCAATGCATATTGATAATGTATAGATGTTAAATAGAAGCTGTCCCAAAACAGAATTCGAGCGACACCAATTACCACTTTTGTCCAGCCTGAAAATGTACCATTAATGACAACTCGCTGTACTCTATCCTTAAGCCAATGTTCTACCTAAGAACAAGAATATTCATCTCGACCAATTTCTTTAACTTTGAAGACTAACCTATTGTGAGGAAGTATCAAATGCCTTGGCAAAATCTAAGTAGATCACATCCACTGCAACACCCTGATCTATACTTCCACTTACTTCTTCGTAGAATATAATTAGGTTAGTTTGACATGACCTATGTTTCATAAAACCATGCTGATTATTGTTAATATCAAAGTCCTTCCTAATGAATTCCTGAATATTATCCCTTCAAATATTTTCCCAGTCACAGAAGTTAAGCTCACAGGCCTATAATTTCCAGGCAAGGATTTTGAACCCTTTTTAAATATAGGAACGACATCTGCCTTCCTCTAATCCTCTGGTACAATACCCGAAACAAAAGAATCTTGCAAGATTATATATATTTTTTTTTATTTCCCTCTTAGCTCCTTAAGTATTCATTGGTGAATACTGTCTTTTCTTTAACTGCTGTAGCATCTTGTCTCGAGTCATCAAATCACAAGTTATCTGCAAGTGTTTTGCCGCAATCGTTTACAAATATCTTGCCATAGGATCCTCATTAATATATACTGAAGAAAAATCGTTATTTACAATTTCTGCCTATTCCTGGTCTTCATTAACTAACAGACTTGTGAAGAATATTTGAGAGAAATAGGCTTTTTGGGTACAAAGAAAAAGTCTTCGATCTGTGAGTTCAGCTCATGAAAAATGGGGGCAAAAACTAAAGTGTTGCGTTTATAATTTTGTTCAGTGTAGATGTAAATTAGAAATGTGCCCATTATAATTTTCAAACAGATTGCTTTTCTTAATGGATTATCAGTGTTTTACTAACAAAAACGTGAAGGATAATTGTCACCACTGTTTGTGGTCATGTCCCCTGCATATTGCAGCAGAAGGAGATCACATAATTCACAATATGCACAGAAGTCCAAGGTATTTGAAGCACTGGTATGCTTCAAGGGGAGATGTGGATGTCTCCTTTATAGCCACTGCTCTGCTGGAAGGGAATTGAGTGGGGATCTTGCATCAAGTGATTGCAGCAGGGGATGATGAGATGAGCAGTTAATGATATTTATCATTGATTTGTTTAGTGTTTAAATATATAATGCTTCTCTTCCGAATTGTAAACCAGAGACATCTCAATGTATCCACTGTAAGTAAAACGCCTTAAAAACAAATACACGATAATGCATTTATTAATTTAAAATATCTTTTCATTCTGCAGGTAGTTGAGATGTTTGATGTTGCTGGCAATCCCACAGAGTTGGAATACACATACCATTTCCTCTCTGTTAGCCACCCAGATGGAGAAGATAATCCCCCAACTGCCCTTGTACTTCAAAGGTTCAAACCAAATATTGAGGAACTGGCTGTTGATGGAACATGCCGAAAGCAAGCAAGAGCTGGCTCTAAGCGCAAGGTAATTAAATGATTATTCTTCCTTCATATTTGCATGAGCATTTACTGTGGTATCATTTTAAATGTTCAGGTGAGCTATTTACTGGTTCGATCTTTAAAAGGTCACAAACTTTTGCACCTAGGTAAAAGAAAAAAGTTACGACTTCCTGAACTCCCTTACTCAGGAGTGGCTACAACTTGCAGTTGTTTTAGAACTACAGCTCCTTTGATATTTTGAATTGTCTTCCTACTTTACTATATCCTGGTTGTTGTAACACTACAACTTGTTGGGTTCGCTCTTCTCTAAGTAATGATCAGATGTCCTCATTCAGTTGCTTACTACAGGAAGGGTATATCCTTTGTGAATGAACCTCCTCCAGCAGTGCACAGCCTGATGTAGGGTCACAAAGAGATCCTACACTTTTTACTGAAAAAGCCCACAAGAAGTGTAATTAAGTCCTAGTTTAAAGGTAATCCAGGCCTGGGGTCCCTGCTCCCTGTACCTAGAGAGGTATTACCTCAGCAACTCCCTGATAAGACACAAGAATTCTGGAATAATTGCTTGGCGTTGCTGTATCTCTTGTGCACAGAGCACTTGCCATCATTTTAGTACTGGGTGAGATCAGTCTGAAATGCAAATAGTGTAGGTTTTCTATGTAATAAAAACATGTTTAAGACCCAAGTGGTGAGTACCAGAAGAACAAACTATTACGTTTTTGATTGTTTTCAGTGTTTTTTACCCGCTGTCTATAAACAAATATTATTCCATCTTGAAGAAATTGTGGTTTTCTTTATTTCCAGCTTTCTGGTGAACAGGGCTCACCAGAATCCAAGAAGCCGAAACGGACAGGGGAAATGTGTGCCTTCAATAAAGTTCTTGCTCACTTTGTGGCCATGTGTGACTCGAACATGCCATTCATTGGCCTTCGTATGGAGGTGAGTAGTTTAAACGCTTCACATTGACATCAGATATGCTCATTGTGATTTAAACAGCAATTTATCAAACACTCATAAGTAACAAATCCACTTGAAGCCGGAGGTACAGGTATGCGCATTTATTAAGATTATGACCCTCATCCAAATGCACTTCCACATCACAACACAAAAATATGTTTACCCCCCCCACCTGCATGATATCTAATAATGTAGTGCAAATGACCATACACCTTTCACTGAAGATTAAATAATTGTGATTGAAATTTAATTGCCATTGTTTCACTGGAATGTTTGTATATTCAGTGTTACCAGTAAATATTCAGCAAATTGGTAAGGTCAGAATTTCTGTTAACAAAGCATATTTGAATTTTCTGTACTTTGAGGGGTCTTATTTATTTATGTATTTTTAATTAATACTTTTTTTTTTTTTTTTACATCCCTTTAGTTGTCCAACATGGAAATTCCACACCAGGGTGTTCAAATAGAAGGTGATGGTTTCAGCCATGCTATTAGAATATTGAGGTAATTACATTTTATTTTTGCTTTGTTTAAGTAATTAAAGTACCAAACATTTGTCATTATTGTTTTGGCATCTTGTGCAGTCTCTTTTCAAGAGGAATGTCTTTGAGGAAAGATCATAAATCTAGTTTCAGTTCTTAATTTTTTTATTTATTTTTTTTAAATCAGCTGCTGTTTTTTTCACTTTATTTGAGGCTTGGGTTTCTGCAATGACTGCATAATAAAGGGAATGTAGAGACACCGTGAAAAAGTCACTCAAAACACCCATCCTACTCTTGGCAGTCTTTGCGTCCCTTCATAGTAATGCAAAGCGTGATTCTTCCTCCTCACCATAAAGCTCAACTTCATTTAAGGATATGTAATGCTGCAACCTAGATCCGGTTTTATTTTATATATCCATTCATTCATCCATGGAGAGTCCATGTTAATAAAAAAAAAAAAAAGTGTGTGTGTGTATGTGTGTGTATATATATATATATATATATATATAATATAATATAATATAATATTTTGATTTAATATATTTTCATTTCAATGTCCGATTTGCAATATTTCTTTCTCAGTATGGGTTTGTTTTGCAAATTATCGTATGTTTGCATTCTCTTTAAGCAATGTTCATGTACACTTCTTTGTTGTGTTCCCATTTCAAGGATACCTCCATGTAAAGGAACGAGTGAAGAAACTCAAAAGGCACTTGAGCAGTCTCTTCTTGATTGCACTTTCCGGCTGCAAGGCAGAAATAACCGCACATGGGTGGCAGAGTTGGTATTTGCAAACTGTCCACTAAACAGTTCGGCATCTAGGGAGCAAGGTATCGCATTCAGGGAGCAAGGTGTGGTGACATTCATTTAGTTTGCTTATTTTTCTTGACATCCTAACAGTCTTTGTAAAATTATTTTCTTTTGTCATCTTTTATTGCAGGTCCAACGCGGCATGTCTACCTAACTTATGAAAACCCGCTTTCTGAGCCAGTTGGTGGGCGAAAAGTCGTAGAAATGTTCCTAAATGACTGGAACAGTATTGCTCGATTGTATGAGTGTGTATTGGAATTTTCACGCTGTTTACAAGGTACCTTTTTAATATGCAGCCTAATTGTAGAGCAAATTTTGTTTCATTATTAACATTCTAATATGGGTTTTTATTATTATTACTTATTTGTTTATATTTTTTTTCTTTAAGACATACCTCCTCACCTAAATCTCTTTTCGGAAGTTCGTCTCTACAACTATCGCAAGCTCATATTATGTTATGGGCCAACAAAAGGAAGCTCGGTAGGTAAAATAAAAGTTGGAGAACCAATAACGATTTTTTATTTTTCCATACTAATATAATGTTTGTAGTTCTTTGGTGAGATTGAAACAATCTAATTTTAAGTAAGTCTACATGCCGAGTCTTTAAATATTTAGTTCCGTACCTTCCTTTACATTGCTCGCATAGTTTAGTTAAATCTGTTGTTTTAAAATAAATAATGTAGCCTTAATTAATTAACAACTCTTGGTGTAATTCTTGGTAAGAATGCTATTAAACAAAATGCTAATGTTTCCCATCACTTCACTGTTCTACACACAGTGAAAACCTATATCTGACAAGCTAAAAAAGTAAAACAATTCCACTAAGTTCTTGTGCAGAATTAATAGTTCTAGAGTGACTGAAGTAATGCAGCACATGCCTGAAGGCCTTTAATACATTAAATGACCATTGTTGCTTCAAAAATGTTTTAATATAATAATCCTTTCAACAAGTTTTTTAAACAAAGCCTGTATTAATAAAAAATGTGTTTCTATGGTCTTCTGTGCATGGACTGACGCAGGGAAGGGCAGAGACACTAGCTGTTGTTTTTCAAACACTGTCTGACCCAAGTTGTATGTATATGGTTAAGGATCCTGTCCTATACTAAAGGATGGGATGAGGTTTTGTTTTTTCACTTTTTTTTAAACATCTACTTCATAAAAAAAAAATCAATTTCCTTTCAATGCTTTAAAAAAAAAAAAAAAATTAAAATAAAATATATATACACACCGTATTTACCTGAATTTAATGTGCACATTTTTTTTTATTTTTTAAAGAAACTTTAGTTTCCAAAATTTGAATGCTCATTAGATTTAATGATGCATTTCCATTTGGGGCAAAATGTATAAATGCGCATTACATTCGACATCAAAACTATTTTTCAGCTTCCATATTTAAAAAAAAAAAAAAAAATGTAGCTGCGCATTAGGTGTGTTCGTCCGTACTTTAACCAGAAGATCGTTTGCCTATGATGTATGAGTTGTAGTGTTATCTATCCAATTCATGTAAACCTCATGTAATGTAACTTCCATACATTACATTTCCCTACTGCTGCAGTGACCTAATACACCTATGGAGATGTAACAGGACCTACAAAATTCTTTATTTGTCCCGCCATACGGCATACATTTTGGTTTTCTTAACACTTTGTCTGCTCATTGGGGATGCTGTTCGCTTTCTTTGGTCATGAGTGTATAAATACTGATGATGGCAGCTCCGTGAATTTTAACCTTTTGTTAAACACATGACATAAAATTGATTGAAATGCTTTTATTTCAGAGGTTTCTAATGTTTAGAATGCTAATATGTCTTTATTTGTATTTTGACAGATAAGCATTCAGTGGAATTCTATCCACCACAAATTTCACATCTCACTTGGAACCACAGGCCCTTATTCTGGCTGCAGCAACTGTCACAATATCATCCTTCACCAGCTACAGGAAATGTTTAACAAAGTACCAAATGTTGTACAGTTATTACAGGTATTTTTCAATTTCACTAATGGCAGATGGCCTTTCTTTTTCATATTAAGTATTGCCATACTACAACAATACATGAGTCTCTTAAAAATTAACCATGCAGTAAATCTTTTTTAATCCTCTTTTAAAGAGGAACGGTCGTGTCCTAAAATTTTGCACAACCTGATGGGCTGTTAGTTAGCATTTTTAAAATTTATTTATTCCATTTTTAAAAAAATGTTTTTCTATTTTTACATGCGTTGCCGAGTACTCTTGCAGTGTCTCATACTTGAGTATGTACAGTACTGCTGTAGAAAATACACTCTTATGGAGTGTCTGTTAAATGCTCAAAAGCATGGCTCAAGTATCAAAGCGTCGTAAAGTTGCTGCTACACCTAAGTGCAGTGGAGATATGTTTCACTGCCTTAAAAGGACAAATAATTATCTCATGATGTGAGCATTGCTTGCTGTACCATGCCACAATTTAACATCCTGCAACAAGTACAAGGTGGCTGATGAATGGAGGACTGTGCCTGTAGGGCAGCCACGGATGAAATCTAATTCTCATGAAAAATGACTTGAAGGCACTCTAATTAATGAATGGAAGATACCATAGCATTTTATCTTTTTCTGTCATGTTGACTAGCAGCCACAATTTAAATGTCTGCAACTGCTGTATATTTTTTTGAGGAATTATATTTGAACTGTATATTATATTACTGCAATCATGCATCTGATGTTGTGCAATTATATACACCGTTCAGTTGCCTGGTTACCATTAATGTGTATGTGATGTCCCTTAAACCTGTTAAACTCTCTCTAAAATCGTTAAAACATCATTTTTTTTTCTCCTTCTTTAAATTTTATGTGTCTTTCCAGGTATTGTTTGACACTCAATCTCCTTTAAGTGCTATTAATAAGCTCCCAACGGTACCGATGCTGGGCCTCACACAGCGAATAAACACAGCCTACCAGTGCTTTTCAATCCTCCCACAATCACCTACCCACATTCGATTGGCCTTCAGGAACATGTATTGTATAGACATTTACTGCAGAAGTCGAGGGGTGGTTGCAATACGGGATGGAGCTTACAGTCTCTTTGACAACAGCAAAATAGTGGAAGGTTTTTATCCTGCTCCTGGACTTAAGGTGGGTAATATGTGTACTGTATTTATGCAAATGTCTCACGTAATGTTATATTCTCCGTTAAATATGTTCTTTCACCTTGTTTAATGTTTTTTTTTTTTTTTTTCTCAATTTAATAATCTTGACAGTTCTTCACTTCATGTTCTTTTGGAAATTCTTTTTCAAATGTGGTCTTTTGTAAGCCCTTTGTAGCTGCTAAAGGTAAAATAGATAAACTTCCAAGAAATGTTTTCTTAGTATCCTGCTGAATTAGATGTTTTAAAGGTTATTCAAACTGTTCTCTTGCTTCAGGTTTCATTTTCAAAATAGACTGCAACTTAAAAAAAAAAAGTAATTGTAAATACTTTTAAATAAGTGATCCACCGGTGTTTTCTAAGGGTATATTTATTTTTATCTTCCAACAGACATTTCTAAATACGTTTGTCGACAGTAACCAGGATGCTAGAAGGAGGTCGGTAAATGAAGATGACAATCCTCCCTCCCCTATAGGAGGTGATATGATGGACTCCTTAATGTCACAACTACAACAACAACAAACACAACCGGTATGTCTACATGTTATGTACACTAATACAAGTAATGCTCCTTTAACGCCAGGGAGCCTCTGAGATCGTCACACTTGAAGTGAAAATAGAGAGCAAGTCCCTGGGCTCTACATGGCCCCGAGCAGTTCATTATAAGGGCGTATTTGGGCACTAATGTTCTAGGTGATGCTTTTCTTTCATTAAGCATAGGGGTATTTGAGATTTAAAAAAAAACCTGTGTGTACAAATGCTTAAACGACCACTATCATAAAAGTTTTACTTCTCAACTTTTTTAAGCTTACTATATTTTTATTTTTATTTTTTTTATTCTTTATTTTTGGTGCGTAGAGATTACATACAATAAGCTTGCATCGCCACAATAGCAGAGCAAACCATGCATTTTCAAACAGTTGATAACCGTGGTATGGTGTTTATATAACATGCACACATTTTTGTTTTAGTTAAGTAAAACTTGCTATTCAGGTACTTTTAAGACAACTGTAATTACGTTAGGTCACATTGGAGGCGTAACTTGTCGATGGTAGTGAGTAGAGAAGGTACAATATAGAATGCAATATCAAGCAATAAATTATTGCGTCTGCAAACAAGTTGTGCCTATTGTGAGTGCCTTCCAGTGCTATTAAAACCGGCTAGGCCAGCATGTTGAGTAATAACATTTGGCCCGTGCATGGCAGTTTAGGGAGACATATGTTCGGTGTGTTGAACGAGTAAACTAACTTGTAGGGTGCTTTGAGTCCTACATGGTTAGAGTGTTTAAATTAGGCTAAAATAAGACGTAAACATAAACAGTGACGTTTAGCAAATTTTAACATGCAATACGCTTCTTTGCGACACGTGGGTAGCTGTGTTGCCCTCTGTGGACTGGGGGGGGGCATTGGAGGCAGTTGTCAAGTCCCCTAGAGTCCCGCAATACCTTTGCCTCTGCCCGTGCCACTTCCGTTCATCTCCCCGGCTTGCAATTTGCCGATCAAAGGGGCTTTATTGGTCGGCGACCTGAATACAGTCAGCCAATTCCTGAATCTGGAAACGGAGCCCCTGGAAGTGTGGGTTCGCGGAGGTCCGCCAGGTGAGCCGGGGGTGAGTGTAGGGCTGGTGTCTCACCCGAGGTTCTTTCCGGTCCGCGGGGGCCCTCCGCCTGTTTCACTTGCCGGGATATAACCCTGCCATGGACCGGTCAGAAGCACGGTGGGCATCACTAATTCCGCTGTGTGGGGTTGTGCTCCGCTGGTCGATGGTTGTCGGGGCCCCGAGCGGTGAGCAGGCCGTGCCTGCTGGCGGGTCCCGCTCTGAGGTGTGGGAGCACGGGTGCTGGTGCCAGAGGTTTCCCGCCATTGCTGGTGTCGGTGCTTGCGTGGCCGGTTGGCCTCCTTGAAGGCCTGCAGTGGAAGTCCATAATGGCGTCTGAGGGTCACGGGACGGATCCACGAGGCCACCATTCGAGCTGCTTGAGGGCAGGGCACTCCCCTGTCTCACAGTGCCGTGTAGAAGCTCGCGCTGAGCCGGTCTAGGGCTGTCAAGGGGTTAGAGTGCAAGTGGCTGCCAGTGTTCTCCCTCCCTGACCCCTGCTGGGTGGCCATTTTGGATGTGCTCCGGTAAGTCCGTGCTTCTGCAGGCGGTATCGCCGTAATCTCTCACTTTTAGTTTAGGCTGCTTGTCTAGTGTAGACTGGGATAACCCCCACTGGTCCGGAGGGGGGAAGTGAGAGATCAGGAACGATTCTGGAGGGATCCAGTGTCTGAGAGAGCAGCCGCCTCTCCCCGGCTCCAGCTCCCGCAGGTTGCGTTTCTGGCTTCGGTCTCTGGCAGGCTGCAGCAAGGTGGCTGTCGATTCAGTGGTGCACCCCCTATGTGGTCTATGGGCTGTGTAGTTGCCGATTTAGACTTAAATCTTGCCTCCCCGACAGGAGCTCTTTCCCCGCACGTCTGTTCAGCTTGGCGGTCAGACTCCGCTCCCTAAGCTTACTATAGTTAATGAAACTTACTGATATATATTTTTTTGGATTATGTATACTGATTTTTTTGAGAAAATTTCAATTTATCTGGCAGGTCAGCAGTGTTGGACACACTATATACTATTATTTGATCAAGTGCTGCTCAGCTTAACTTTGCCTGCTGCTGCAGTTTCTCACAGAGCAATCTCAGCAGCAGCTGGTCGAATAACAGTAGCACCTGACCCAACATGACTGCTCAGCCAGTTTAAAAAAAAAAAAAAAGGGAGGGGTGGGACTGCAGGCACCAACAAACTAAAGTGTTTATCTGGTTCCTTTTAAATAAAAAAAAAAAAATTAAAAAAAATTGACATCTCTTTGGTGTGAATAATACTTCACTTATTGGAAATGTACAGGACATTTTATTTCTAGAATATTACTGCATCTTCGAAAACTTTGCAAACTTTATATACACAACATTATGGATATGCATATAAGCTGTAAAATATGTTTATATGTCTGTATCTATAATTTGTGCATGCCTTTATATTTTTTTTTTCTGAATCGACCTGCCTGTGTTCTGACAGAGGAAACATGGGAAGAAAATCAAAGCTTAGTGGTGTTAATGCAAGTAAGAATAGCGACAACACAAAAAAGTGGCAATTTCTATCTGTCTGGATGATACACATGTTGCTTAGTATTGAGAAGGATGTTCATCTCTCCCGGACCCTCGATAGCTGGTATTAGAAGTTCCTTCCCTGTCACTATTACTTTTGGAGTAAGAGGGGTTTTTCTTTTACCTTAACCTTTTTTTTTATTTATTTTTTCCTCTTTTATACTAAGATACAATACAGGTTTAAGGTCTGTGTAAATTAGCAAGTTATATAATTGAAACCACTATTACTACCTGGAATATTTTCACTTTCTATTTTGTAATTTCTAATTTTAAGCAGTTTGCGAAGCAGGCGGGCGCATCGGGTGCATACCCTCTTACTTCACCACCTTCATCTTATCACAGTACAGTTACACCGTCTCCATCCATGATGCATTCACAGTCTCCAGGTAAGAGTGGTCCACTTAAAAGCTTTGGATTGGCATTGGTGGGAGGGTAACAACTCTAGGCTTTATCTTCTACTGTAGTATTGATGGAGTAACAAATAATATACCCCTGACAGACCACAATTCATATAATGTATACCTGTCTGAAATTATTAGACATATGGATATGTTTATCAATATTTTATTTAGAAACAAATCCTCTTTTGCAGTTGCACAGCAATACCATTATCTTTGAGGCTACCCTTTAAAATATATATATTTTTTTTGGTTTTGTTAACTAGGAAATCTGCAAAGCTCACCTAGTGGTGCACTAAGAGCACCTTCACCTGCTTCCTTTGGTCCCACTCCCTCGCCTTCCTCGCTTGGAATCACTATGGTCCCCACCTCTAATTTTGCTAGCCCTCACGGTGAGTGCTTGTGTTGGATATTTAAAAGGAATATTCACCTTTCATCAACCTTCATTTTCTATATTTTCAATCACTATTACATCTTAATCCATATATTATCACTGCACATTCTTCTCAGTAATGAGAATTTGCTCCCTATAATGTGTTTTGTAAGACAATGTCGCGTTTACCCAATAGGTTTTATTAAAGAGGCCGCGTAGTAGGACCACTATGCGTAGGGTGATTCCTGTTGGCTCTGGAATTATGTAAAAGTTGTGCACTATCTAATGCAGTAAGATGGGCATCACTTTCTGCCTAATGCGTCAGTATAAAATGGTGTAATTAACTTTTTATTGAAATCTTGCTGAAATCTTAACTACACCCTCTTAAAAGGACTAAATAAACAGCTAGTGACAATCATTTGTAAAAGTCACTATAGTCACCAAAACGACTTTAGCTTAATGAATCTATTTTAGTGTATAGATCATGCCCCTGCAGACTCGCTGCTCAATTCTCTGCCATTTAGGAGTTAAAGGACCACTATAGGCACCCAGACCACTTCAGCTTAATGAAGTGGTCTGGGTGCCAGGTCCAGCTAGGGTTAACCATTTTTTTTATTTTTTTTTTAAATAAACATAGCAGTTTCAGAGAAACCGCTATGTTTATAATAGGGTTAATCCAGCCTCCAGTGGCTGTCTCTTGACAGCCGCTAGAGGCGCTTGCGTGCTTCTCACTGTGAAAAATCACAGTGAGAAGACGCCAGCGTCCATAGGAAAGTATTGTGAATGCTTTCCTATGGACTGGCTGAATGCACGCTTGGCTCCTGCCGCGCATGCGCATTCAGCCGAAGAGGAGGAGAGCTCCCCGCCCGGCGCTGGAGAAAGAGGTAAGTTTAACCCCTTTCTCCCCCCCAAAGCCCGGCGGGTGGGGGCACCCTCAGGGCACTATAGTGCCAAGAAAATGAGTATGTTTTCCTGGCACTATAGTGGTCCTTTAAATCACTATGTTTATACAGCCCTAGTCACACCTCCCTGCATTATCTGCCATTTCCTAAACACTTCCTGAAAGGAGTCATCTAATATTTATACTTCCTTTACTCCAAATTCTGTTTAAATTTGAACTTCTTATCTCCTGCTCTGTTACTTTCTTGCTAGACCCTCCAGGAGTCTCCTGTATGTAATTAAAGTTTAATTTACAGAGCAGGAGATAAAATCTATTACATTAAGTTACATCTGATTGAAAATGAAAGTTTTGTTTTCATACAGGCCGTGTCAGAGGAAACGTGACTAGGGCTGCATAATTAGAAAGAAAAGTGATTTAACTCCTAAATGGCAAATAATTGAGCATTGTAACCTCAGAGGCATAATCTGTACCCAAACACTGCTTCATTAAGCTAAAGTTCTTTTGGTGCCTATAGTGTCCCTTTAAGCTTTACAGGTTATATGATTGCACCACAGGGGCAGGCCAATGCTTCAGCATACACTCCCCCAAGACCAGAAAAGGGCTTCGCCAATCATGTCTCGCATTCTGGTTTTTAGGGTTTTGGTTTTTTTTCTCGTATCGCATAAGCACCTGTCCAGCATGAGTTTATGGGCTATCTAAATTGTTCCCCTGCCTTGTTTTCCCTAGTCATATATATGATGAGTGGAACTGCTGAATATGCTGATAACAGCCTATTCACAGCTCAGTTTGTGCAGGAATTACCCAAACTTGATGATCTAGAGCTGGAGAGAGGCGAGATGTGCAATACAGCCACTTGTCATATCTTTATTTCCTCCCTTGATGTCAGTAAGCTAGCAGCAGTCTTCAAGCTGCAGTGAGTTCTGCAATTAACTGCTCTGAGTAGGGACTGCAAGGAAAGTGTTCTCCACACAATATTATTTGTAATGTTGCAGAGTTTTTTTTAAGAGTTTTTGTTTTGAGCCTTTCCCATGTGTTGTGTATTAGAAATATATTTCAATCTGTTATGGTCCAGCATGTGAATGTATGTGAAAAAAGTGGATTAGGACTGTTTGTGTATGTTGTTGTTGAATGACTTTGACTTTTAAAAGGCAGACCCCGGTTTTTGTTAAACAAATCATACCTGAGATACTTCTTAACTAAAACCAGTTCTATGTATTGGGGCTGAAGAGTACTATAGTCGTTGTGGCAGCCCAGGAGTAGTAGGAGTGTGAGCACAGGGCTTAATTTTGTATTTATATTTCATATTACATTTACCCTCAGAAGCTTACTTTTTGTAGTGCTTTTTGTGTTGTTGTTAATTTGAACCTCTTGTACTTAAAGGAATCCTACAGTGCCAGGAAAACAAAGCAGTTTTCCTGGCACTATAGGTTTAATAGGTGTCCACCCCCCCAACCCTGAAGGGGTTAAAACACCTTTAGCCACATACCTGAATCCATCACCGATGTCCCTTGCCCGCCGACATCAGGCTACGCCCATGCCCCTCTCCATAGGAAAGCATTATTCAATGCTTTCCTATGGGGTAAATCTGACGCTGGAGATCCTCATGCAGAGCGTGAGGACGTTCAGCGTCAGATAACGGACCAAAGATCCATTTGGATTCTGGAAGCTCCCCCAGTGGCACTGTGGGCAGACTTAGAACTGCAGTGTAAGCGTTGCAGTTTTTTTGGAACTGCAATGTTTTATATTGCAGCTTTAAGTGCAATAGGGACACCGCACCCAGATCATTTCAATTAGCTGAAGTGGTCTGGGTGCCTACAATGTCCCTTTAAGCAGCCTTTGTGCTATATTAATTTAGTCTGCATATTTAAAGCCGCTCATTTTTTTATATTTTATAGTCAAAAATTAAATCTAGTCTGCCTTTTTTATTTTGTTTTTCCAAAATGAAACATATATTTGCAAAGTGGGGACTACTTTTCCTTGTGCATAAGCTGCAGGTTGACAAAAGTTGAGAAAAGGTGGGGGTTTTAGTCAAGCACCACGCCCGTTGTCAAGATTGTAATTGGCTGTATTTGTGTATACTCCCCTCCCTCCAGCTCCACGTCTGACAATGATGCACAGTCATGGGCAGTCATAATTGGTTTTCACTGATGATCTCATCAGTGTATTTTACTTCTGCGTGATTTCATGCACATACGCACGGCAGGGCAGAAGATCGAATATCTGGCACTGCCATCTAATATGTCAGAGCAAAGAAGAATACTCAGTGGAACTTTTAGATGTGCTTCAAAGCAGAAGTGAGGACTTCTAGAAACGTTGCTGGCGGGTGCAACAATTGCCATCCCTGTGCTTTAGAGTAACATTGGATTGGCAGGGTAAGCAACCTTCGGCTCTCCAGATGGTGTAGATTTAATCTCTCCTGACTCCTTGCCAGTGTTAGGTTGTAAGTGTATTATGGGAGATATAGTCCACAACATCTGGTTTGCAGAAGTTTCCTACCTCTTATCATATAACCCGATACAGTAAGATAAACAATATTAATTTTATTTGGAACTAAACTGTTGACTGCAGCTGTCTAGCTTCGACCCGAATTGTAAGTGTATGAGTCCAGAGGTGTAGCCTAGGGCCAAACTTTTCAAATTTTTTGTGAGGGTGGCTGTCTAAGCCTCTATTACAGCGCTAATTTTGGGGGCTGACTTTTATGATGGATTTTTTTCCCCTCCTACTCCCTACAGTAATCCCCTAATTCCATAGCCCTGATCTGTGTATGTTTTTTCTGCTTTAGGTCACTGTTTCTGCAGATTCTTGTATTCTTCTTATTCATATTTGCTGATTGACTCTATCTCCGTGTTTTAATTAAATTTAGAGCTTTGACTTGTCTGTGTGATATGATTGCATTTCCCTGTAGCCACCATAGTTTATTTCTGTAATTCTTGGTACAGTAGGTAGTTCTTAAGACAGGGAATATGCAATATTTCTCCAGCATATTTATTGCATATTTTAGAAGCTACTGAAAGTACATTATATATGTGAAACATGTTGACGCTGCCTGGAGCTTTTGTAGGCATATATATTTTCTACTTGACCTCTTGTCAATTTCATGGAATCAATTGTCGCATGTAGAAGTTACTATGAAACAAATGGCTTGTCTACTTACCTTGGTGGGATAGAGAACCAGGACACTGTAGTGGTTATGGTGCTTGGAGAGATTAGGTCTTCTAGTGAGGCTGTATAGAAAAATTCATTTTGAAAAGTTTGAATCGGTTGTGATGTATAGGTGAGTGTTAATTGTATTCTGTTGGCACTTTAGCAGGACGTGTGTCATTGCACCCTATGAAACTGTTTGAGGGTGCTTACCTGGTATGATTTGTTATCAATAATTTGAGGTCATACTTTAGCAGTGGGACATAGTTAAGAGGTAGTTACAGTTAACACTTATATGGTGAAATAGAGGAAACCGTCACATTTCTGTGGCATTGTATCAGAATTGTCCATAATTAATAAAACAGACTACCATGATACATTTTATAATTCAGTATCAACATCTTCCATTTACACATAATTATGAATATTGTAGTCTTCTCCTGCCATATTGAATGTTTATACATTGTAGCATATTAAGATAAACACATTATCCCATGGAAAGCTTAAGTACATATTAACATTAGATGTGACGTCATAAAAAAAATCTCATCTTGCAACTTGCACAGGTACATTAGACCCTAGCTCTCCGTACACCATGATGTCACCCAGCCAGCGTGCAGGGAATTGGCCAGGGTCTCCTCAAGTATCTGGTCCTTCTCCAGCAACTCGTATGACTGGAATGTCACCAGCAAATCCATCTCTTCACTCTCCTATCCCTGATGTGTCTCACTCCCCTCGAGCTGGAACAAGTATGTCATAGTTCCCATCATGCACTTTTTTTTCACTAGACATCCTCGTTAGGTGTATTTATTAGTGTTTTAACATTCTTCAAATTTTGTTATGATCTGTAAATTGGTAGCAATTGCAGATATTGATAAGTTTAATGCCTAATTACTTTGTTTCCATGGGCATCACAATAAAAAAAAATCACCAAAAATTGGGCATATATTTAATATAGTCCGCTGTAAAGTTGAAATATAACATTTCAGAAAAAAAAATGTAAATATGAGATGTCTCAAAAAGGATCTGTCTTTGTTTTAGATGGCTTTGCAACTTTGTACTTGTTCTTTTTGGTTTTCCTGTCAGTATAGATGTGCCTCTGTTTTGTGCAGTGTTTATAACTGTGATCTTTGACTTTTCTGTGTGTCTGGCACTAAATCATAGAAATGTCAACTTTCTTCTAATTAATCTTGACTACGCCATACATTCCGTTTGTGAATGAATTGCTGAGATGTGCAAATCATTTGCACCAAGCCTCTTACATGATCAAAGAATGAATAATGTCCTTCCTCAGCTATAGGTTCAGTATCTCTACAAATAAGCACATGTGGACATGTTGGAATCCCCCCCACCTCTCCCCCTTATGGGAGAAAAATTATTTTGGGATCTGTTCCTTGAAAGCCCATCTAGCGTCTTAGTAGTGGAGTCTTTTTTTCCTTTTTTTTTTTTTTCTTCTTCTCTCCACTTGCTGCTAAAGTTTAGCTTTTTGAATGTGTTAATTTTTAGGCATTCTTTTTTCCATTTCATCATGAAGTGCATGTAGATCAAATTATCTCAAATTATTGCAGAATATACAAAGCTTCTGATTTTGTAAATCCCAGTGTTGCTTTAATATTTGTAATATATGGGTATCATGTAAATATTTATCTTGCAAGTAAAGCCTTTCCAGATTTTAGTTAATGTGTATAAATATTTGTTTTTCCCCCTTATTTTTATAGGCTCTCAGTCAATGCCAACAAACATGCCTCCTCCACGTAAGCTACCTCAACGTTCTTGGGCTGCGTCCATCCCTACAATCCTCACCCACAGTAACTTGCATGTACTCTTACTGCCTTCTCCTACTCCCGGTTTAGCACCAGCATTAGCCGGTAGCTACCTATGTTCTCCTCTGGAGAGGTTCCTTGGATCAGTTAACATGAGGCGACATCTCCAGCGGATAATCCAGCAGGAAACGGTATGTGCACAGCTTTCAGTTCAATATTTGAGATTACCATTTACAAACTTCATAGCTATTGATGTAAGTTAGTAAAAAATATCCTTAAGGGCATGTATTTAGTAAAATAAGTAAATAAATAGAATGAGAGAGAATGTCGGATATTAACTTTGCTGTGGTGTGTTCTTTCTTCAGTTGCAACTAATAAATTCCAATGAACCGGGGGTCATAATGTTCAAGACCGATGTATTGAAGTGCCGTGTGGCTCTCAACCCCTCAACAAACCAGACACTGCAGCTGAAAGTGACACCTGAAAATGCCGGGCAATGGAAGCCAGAGGAACTGCAAGTTTTGGAGAAATTCTTTGAGACTAGAGTATGTGAAAACACTATTGTTACTTGTGAGGGGAGAATAACTTTATTTTTTCATATCAGCCTAGCTTGTTTGTTTGTTCATTGAGTCATATGTCTCTCACTAATGTTGAAATACCTTTTTTTTCTTTTTGTATTTATTAACACCACTGTGTAATTATCTTGTGAAGACACTTTATCAATTGGTCATTAATTATGCTGTAAAATGAGACCCACATTTTGTGAGGAAGAGATTGATTTATTGCAAACTGCTAATATATGTGATGTTTAAGCAATATATTATGTTTCAAGTGAGCAAATTTGTTTGCCAGGAATCATTTAAGTTGATATGCTTTATTGGCTGCATCAGGTTTTTTTTTTTTTTTTAAGTGGCACTGAAGAGAAATTAATCTCTCTTGTTTGGTTAAAAAATTGTTTACTACAATACTACTTTAGTTACTAATTTTTCTTCTTTTTTTTTTTTTTTTCTCCCCGCTCCTTTCTAATAGGTTGCAGGGCCACCATTTAAGGCCAACACGCTGATTGCTTTTACAAAGTTACTAGGGGCTCCAACACACATACTAAGGGATTGTGTACACATTATGAAGCTAGAACTGGTAAGATTTTTATATATTTATTTTTTACTCGTAAAAAAAATAAAATAGAAGTGAGTAGTATAGTGACGGAGTATGGTGTGAATGCATGTGCCAAATAGAAATCAGTTGCACCAAGTTAGAGTAAAATAATGAACTTGGAGAAATTTATTAACTCTGTAGTTTTGATCTAAATGATATGTCATAAATTCTGATTAAGGATTAAAGTTCACTGTTTGACTGTGCTTAAAGGGGCAGACTATGCACCATATCACGTCCAATCGACTCTTCTGCTGTATCTAAAGTGGAGGCTCCCCATCCGCATTAGATATATGTCTGTTTCCTGTTGGAGTACAATGGCTGAGTATCAGCTGGCACACTCTGCCAAATAATTCCTTTCACAATAACTAATGCAATAGTATGGACTTTGGCAGTCCCAGAAAACGTGGCAGCTGTGGGCCTTTAATTGTCAAAGTATTAAAACCTGATTTGGCTTACAGTGGGGGCAGTTCCAGGGAACCCCTGGTACCATCATCACTACAGTTCACTGTAAAGTTTGAGCGTGGGCTGAGCTTTTAATGTGGCCATTAATTTTTAAATAACAAAAAAAGAAACATTTGGTAACATTAACATTCATGTGTTCTTGCTTGTTAAAGATTTATTTAGCTGAACTGGAAGTTGAGTTATATACATTTCAATAACTGCAGTAGGTAAAAAAAAATATTAAGAAATAACATTATGCAAAACAATATATATGAAATTTGTTCTTTAGCTACAGCTGTCTTTGTCATAAAGCACATAATTATGTGTAATTGGTTTTATATCCCTGAGTATAGAAAACAGATGTTATAAAAGTAGTATGAAATTCATAATTTATTTGTTGTACACAGTTCCCTGACCAATCAACGCAGCTAAAATGGAATGTTCAGTTCTGCTTGACTATACCACCGAGTGCACCACCAATTGCTCCACCTGGCACTCCAGCTGTTGTGCTGAAATCGAAAATGCTGTTCTTTGTAAGTAAACACATGATCATCTTGATTTCACGCTGATCAATGACTGCTAATTGTTGGTTTATCATCAGTTGTGGGTTAGTTCTCTGATACTCAGTCAGGAACTTCTTTCTTGTCCACACAACTGGTTTTCCGATATTCGCAATCATTTTTAAAGTCCATACTCTACTCAGTATTGCAATTTAGAATGATAAAGGGCACATTAAATTGTTTGACATGTTCTAATTATGTCTTCAACAACAACAGTCTTTTGACTGATCTATAGATTAGAAATTAAAGTGTGTATACATGTTTCACCACCTTTACTATTTCGAGCCATCAGTATTCGTCCACTTCTGTAATCTTCATTTGTGTGTTTATGTATCTTCCCAGTATTTTATATTTTATGACTACCCTGCTGACATTATTTGCTTCTGCTTTGGTTCATAGCTTCAATTAACACAAAAGACATCCGTGCCACAAGAGTCTGTTAGTATTATTGTCCCCATCATCTATGATATGGCATCAGGAACAACCCAGCAGGCGGACATTCCACGTCAGCAGAACTCTTCAGTGGCCGCTCCATTAATGGTCAGCAATATTCTGAAAAGATTTGCAGAGATGAATCCTCCACGTCAAGGTAAATTGTCTTAGAGATGTTGTTTACCAGTTTTACATAAAGTTAATCCTAGATTTTAGCAGATTTTCAGTTGGGGTGTGTAGTGATCACTGCTTTGATCATTGCTGTGACTACCAATTCGGATTATAATTAGCCTGCTAAAACTACCAAAAAGAGCTAACATTTGGAGTGATAACTCAACTTTTCTCAGAATTGATGCTCTATTGGCTGTCATACTTCATCACAATACAATAAAAATGATGTCAGAAATATAACATTGTTTAAAGTGTTTAAAATCAACAACAGAGATCATGTCTAGTGATTTAAAATATCCAACATTTTTGGGAGAACGTAGAAAGTGCAAAAACCTATAGCTTCAGGGCATGAAAAAAATTATCAGGAACATTTAGATTAACACAGGATTTCTTTATTTTTAAAGTGCAGTTGTTATGATAAATTCTTCAAACACTGTCAACTGGACATACATTCCTAAATGAGTCTGTCCATGCTTGATTTAGTGAATTAGAGAACTTTAAAACAAATAAATAAATATATATAAATATATATATATATATAAATATATATATATATATTCACTAAATGTCTGCTTTAAAATAAATATAAAATAATTATTTTGCTACTGTAGACTTGTTTTTACATTAATCAATATAGTGAAAACGTGGCGCCACACTAACAATATAACATGTGATAAAAGCTTCCGAGAAAGTGGAGGATGCGCTAAACCGTTTGAAAACAGAGTAATTAGCTGGTACAGCCATGTCCTATTTGAGTTTAATGTGGATATACCAGCTAATTACTCTATTGATAAGTATTCATCTGGCTTTCATACTGTTTAGCGCACCCTCCACTCTCTTGTCTTTTGTTTTTTTGTTTTTTTATTGAATTGTGGAATCGATATCCTGAGATCATCTAGTGAGGACAATGCCACTGCATTAAGCTATAACAACCAAAAAATGTTACCCAAATAGTCTGTGCTTCCCTAAGGAAGGGATTGGAGAGGCAGTCTAGGAATCTTCCGTAGCAATCCCGCATGTATGTATGTTTGTTTATTTATTCTCTCTCATCCAGAGGTATATCATAATGCACGAATAAAAGAAGCATGTGTAGCACACGTTTGACTACATACCTAAATACAAATATGTATAGTATCAAATAAATCATTAAGTTTTCCCATTTATGCTCTTTTTGATTGCAATGAATATCTCACTGGGGACATTGCAATGAATATCTCACTGGGATACAGAATTTATATATTTTGCATAAGTCACATGTTTGTCATTTGGTTAACAGGTTTCAGTTGTTACAAGAATTGAAAGCTTTAAACATGTTTCCTTACTTTTCTTGTCTTCTACAGGTGAATGTACTATATTTGCAGCTGTACGAGATCTGATGGCTAATCTCACACTGCCTCCTGGTGGAAGACCATGAACATCATTTTTCAATTTTCATGGAAACATATTATTTTTCTCCGCTGTAAATATGAACTTAACAAAGGGCAATTTTGTAATTGGATATTTTTGTCTACGAGAACAAGGAAGTAAAAACTGGCTGATTATTTTCAGATGCACTTCTTTCACCAGAAATATATATAATTGATCAAAAGAAGAACTAATTTTTGTATAGCATGTTTTACTACAACACGTTTCAACTGACGAACTTATAAATATCCGCTTGCAGGAACAGATTTATTATTCTGTTTTATACTGAAAAGATAATGGAAATGCCAAACTTTCTTTATGTAAATGTGATTTCTTTGGTGTAACAGATTTTCTTATTGGATTTTTTTTTTTTTTAAGGATGATTTGTCATTTTGAATACTGTAAAACTGTGACAAACATTATTTATAATGAAACTGTATTTTAATATGCTTAAAATCCTACCGTGAAGAGGATCTGGACATGTTGTGAATATGTCCTAAGAAAGCAATATTTAATAAACTAGAAGAAAAAAAATGTTTGGTATATTATTTTCTTCCATTCCACACTGGATGCTGTGACATACATTTTGCAGGCTGATGGATTGTGGGTAACGTATGTTGGCAAGTGAAAAGCTTTACTTAAGATGCTCTACATAAGGAAAAAGAGTAGCCCCTACTTTTTCTTATGTATAAAAAGAAAAGGAGAAATAGAGGGAAGAAAAATGATTAATGTAATAAATCTGCAGAATGCAAGTTACAATAACTCGTGCGTGTGTGTTTCTGAATTTTGAAAACCTCTTGTCAATCAGCTAGCCAGCCACACTTGCTCCCCTCTCTTCCTACAAGATGCAGCACGGTCTACACCCTAATAAAGTCCAATTTAGTGAACTGGGCATAGGGTAAATTGATTCTTAGCACTATAGTTTCCCTTTAAGCTTCCAGTCTATCAATAACAGTTTTCCATTCATTAAGTTTTAATCAATCCATAGGAGCTATTTTTGGTAACATTTTATACTGAAATAACGCTTTAGCCTTTATTTTATTCCATTGTGGTATCTTGTTGCTTCAATTTCCTGCTACTATTAATTTTGAGGCTAACCGAATACGTTATAATTTTATTCTCCATCCTTCCTTCCATTCAGTCATCCTAGACCAGTACAAATGCAAGAGGAAGCTCTCTGGGGTAAAGAATAAATTCACCCCGCATAACGTTTATCTGCTGTTTAATACTATTACAAACTTTAATTGGCTTACAGTGCTACCAGATATAGAGATAATCACCTTTTCCTGTTCCACATCTCCAGCACTCATTATGCCTATCTTTGTACATTTTAGAGAGTTTTTCTTGTACTAGATACCACTGTTTACTAATTTGTAAAAAGAAAGTCAACGACATTTACATTTTTTTACTGTTCTATTGACATTATTTATAGCCTTAATCCACTCTTCTTTTAATATCTCTATATTCAGACCTTTTCCCATGTCCCTTTAGCATTAAAATTGTTATCCCTCTTTAATTCTTTTATCATATCTAAGCACCTAGATATCAGTCCTCTACGATTTGGAAACAGTCCTCAGGCCTTTATTTTACTCATTTATATAAAAAGAACACTATATTGTTATGAATACAAATATGTATTCCTAACGCTATAGAGCCCTAACCACTGTTTAGGTGACTAGGGCCCCGTTCTGCGGTGAATAAATGGTTAACCATTTATTTGCTTACCTTAATCCAGCGCCGGGCTCCCTCGGCATTGGTGAACTCTCCTTGTCCATCAACGTCAGCTCCCGATTGGAGCTGAATGAGCATGTGTGGCCAGAGGGGCGCGCGCACATTCAAACATGCCCATTGGAAAGCATTACTCAATGCTTTCCTGTGGGAATCCTTTTTGACGCTGGTCTCCATGAGGACGTCCAGTGTCAAATAAGTGCAATTTACTCTGTGTAAATCGCGGAAGCGCCTCTAGTGGCTGTCAGGGAAACGGCCACTAGAGGCTTTATTAACCCTGTAGTGTAAACAGCAGTTTTTATGAAACTGCTATGTTTTCAGCTTCAGGGTGAAAACTGGAGGACCTGGCACCCAGACCACTTCATTGAGCTGAAGTGGTCTGGGTGCCTATAGTGGTCCTTTTAAGCTCTAGAAAGGATTCTAATTCCAACAAACAGTCTTTAAGGGTCTGGATTACAGCCTTTTCTGGAATCACCTGTATTGGCAGAAAATCAAATAATCTGTTTTCTATTTTAAGACTTATTTTAAATCTTTGCCATAGACACAGAATAATGTCTATAACTAAGGATTTACCCAAGTTGGCCTTATTGCTTTTAGTTCTACTTATGGTCCAGAATGCTACAGTCATATATTATTGGATCCCATCTTTTCTGACTATCTGATACCATGCTTCCTCTCTGACTTCCTCCATTTAAGTGGTAATGGCATATGTCAAATCATACAGACATTCTGATCTATTATATTAGGGATTGCTAGCCCTCCCACTCATGTCTTCTTTGACAGTATTTTTTAATTTATTTTTGGCTTCTTCCTCCAGCAAACTTTGAAAAAGCTGCCTGTATCATTTTTTACCATGCCACATGGTCCTTAACCGGTATCATTCTGAATATATAATTCCATTTTGGTAAGATATGAGATCAAATCGTATTAATTTCTCCTATCCAGGAAATCTTCCGATCAGCCCATTCTTTCAAAATGGTATTCTTAAATTTTATCATTGGAAGAAAATTTACCTCCACCTCAGTCTTACTCAGATTTTTTTTGGAATGTAATTTCTTTTGCCCAGGTCAAGTTAAATCTTGATCTTATAAAATCCCTATCCTCCAGACTGACCTTTCTTGTTAGAATAGTGGTCTAACTAATATTTAGTTTATTATTTGAATATTTGCTATGATCTATAATTCCCCATCTGCCCCCCAATTTGACAGTTTTGTTTTATAAGCATTTATGCTGCCCATTTTTCATCCTAAAGGCTGTAATCTCTTGGTTATCTCGTATATCTGAGTCAAGTGGCTCTATTGCCAAGACATGTAGCGGGAGGGTCAAAATACTTTGGGCCGTGTCCCATACATCTAAACCTGTCTAAGCCAGGTTGACCAGCTAGTGGTTATCTTAAATACCTAGGAAAACAGAACGTATGGGATACGGCTGTACAAAATCCTAAAACAAGGAACATAAAAAAAAAAAAAAAAAACAGTTTAACACAGTTATATGCAAATGTTCATGCGCAACAATTTAAACACTCACGAGATAGAGATGTAAAGTGCGCTCTAGGGTGCCTTCCCCGATGTGAATGGGTGGCTTAATCTCCCCCTTTCGCTCCAACAAAATAGATGCAAAGCAGGACTCCAGTAGATGTAAGTTGGAAAAAAATATCAAACTTTTATTATAAAAAGGTGGACAATAACCACCAATTAGAAATATAAAAGTAACGAATACAGGTCCGGCTTAAATACAACCTGGTCTTTTTGTATTAGACCAGAAATATACGGAGGTAGTTTGGTGGTATTTCTGGGTTTTTAATCAGCTTTCAAAATACGGACATTTGCCTGGAGCATCTCTTTAAGGAAAGTATGATTGACAGGTTTGAAATCTTAACTAGCAGCTCCATCACGATTGGAGAAGATTACAGGGCAATTCTGTTGCAGCAGTTGTCCAATGTTGTGGATGCCCATAGTTTCCAGTCTTACCACATTTGCATAAGTTCGGAATGGAACCCTGGTAGAGAAATTATATCTATCTATATATATATATATATATATATATATATATCATACCATTCTACAACTGTATTTGCTGTACCTCTGGGCTGAAAAAGAAGGGGAGGACAAAACAACTGCAGCTTTTGCAAGCCTCTTTTAGATATACCCCTAATTAAAAAATTTGCATAATTAAATGCATGCGTGTGTTTTGTATTTGGAGTGTCCCTTTAACCTTTAAACTACCGAGCTCTATTTAATTGAGAAAATCTTAGCATAACATGCTTTTGAAGAAAGGGATGCATGGATTGTATATAAGCATAACACAGCAATTTTGTGTATGGATTGCTTTGTAGACAAACTTAAAGGGACACTAAAGGCGTCAAAATAAATTTAGCTTAATGTAGTAGTTTAGGTGTATAGATCTCTGCAGTTTCACTGCTCAATCAATTCTCTATACAGGCTGGTAATCAATCCTAGAGTACATATAACAGTGAGTGAGGTGTTGGGGACTAAATTTAATTCTGCAGAACACATGAAGATAAATAGGTTTATATTCAAGGAGTGATTCACTTTCATGTATTAAATAGTATTTATCTCAGTACAAAATATAAGTTAAAAAGTCAAAGAATAATATAAAAATGAAATTCTGAAAATGTCTTATTAGGTCACATTGTATAACAGTATGTGCTTATTTCAGAGAATGTCAGATGGTAAAAAGCAGCATTTGATTAAGTTTTTAAAAATTTCAAGCTCCAGCTACGTTCATTGAAGATGTAGTGTGAATATTATAACACCGACTTCTTCAGCACAATTCCATTCTTACAAGGAACAACCTATAAATTAAAGTAAAAAAAAAATATATATATATCATAGGCATCATAATTATTTACAGTACTTTGCTACCTTAACAAAAAGGGGCGTTTTACTATTGAATAACACGGTGATATAGCCTACTTCTAATTAAGCTTGTGCTTAGCCTGCCTTCTGTACATTTTGCTTATAACTTGGAACAAAAATTCACCTGATTTTGCCAAGGCTTATTACTTCAGTTGGAGCCACTCTAATTTATATACTAGAATTTATTTTTTTTTGCTGTTATTTAAAGTTTGTGGATTTTTCTTAGATAAGAATAATTCTGCAGACATCCATGGGTCTTTTTTTTGTATGAATGAAGACAATTACAGTCTTCATTAGAAGGCTAAATAGCGCCCTGATCTGTGGAGGTTTGGGGAAGCACCACCCCATCAAAGTTTTGCCCGGCCGCTAGAACAGTCCTGGTCAAAAACTGTTCCAGGGGTTTAGAGTCACATGCTGGTATTTTATCGGGGTCTCTGGTGGGTCAATATTTATATCAAGTGCTATTTTTATGACTAAGACACTGACTTTGATGAAGTCGGAAATAGGCGATAATTGGAGAGATAATTTGCCTTTGGATACAATATTGCATATTACTCAGTGCTTTTAACATTAATACCGCTTATCACAAGGTGCATTTAATTACTGATGAGAAATTGCACTTTGATTTGTTGCAAAATAGTGAGCATTGGGTGATATAACAAACAATCTGACCGAATGTGCATAAAGATGGTTATCAAAACGGGAGGAGTGTGGAAGGTAGTCAAGTGATTGCTTAAAAATAAATATTCAATATGCCCAAATTAAAAAAATAAATAGGTAAGAGATGCTATATAATAACAAAGATTATGTTAAAATATTAGACATTTCTGATGACCTAACGTACACATCGCACATAAAAGGTGTGAGTGCCAAAGAAATACAAAGCTTAACTCACCTTCTGCAAATGTAAGATGGGAATACAAACTTTCAAATCTCACTATATCTGCCTTAAAATCAGAATGAAGATCTTCATTATCTGATAAAAACTTCTTGATAGTTTGCAAAGTGTCATTGTCCTAAAGAAGAAAGGAACAGGGAAATTGTGAAATGAAACAGTTTTGTTTATTTTTGGCACATTGAGAGAAACATTTTTGTACCTGTTGAGTCCATGTGTTTTTATCTTCTATCTGAAAGTATGTTTCTTCCAGCAGCTGTTGTATTAGCTGTTTTTCTACTTCATACACAGACAATGATGTTGTTTCCTCTCTACTTGGCAATCCATCAGTTTCATAGCGATCACAATCTTCAACAAACCAATCTGATGACAACACCTACGTTGTGATGGTTGAAAAATAGAAAAGATAATATTAAAATTCAGAAGTGACAATAAGTTGTCATATATTTATTTTTTTGTACTTTTAAGGCCTGGTCAGCTTTGACAATTATTCTTAAAGGGAATACGTGTATATATGGTTTTTTTTTTAATGTTTTGTCTTCACACTGCTTTTGTGGCATGGTTCCTTTCAAATCATATTCCTGTAACAACCTACATTGGGCCTCAAAAGTACAAAATTCAACAATGGTGCCCCATCACCAAGTTACAGGAATTTTATTACTCATATGTGTGCATCTGACAAAGTTTCGTGTCAAGTCAAGGCACTCAGAAGGATAAAACTCGTATGAAAACAAGCTGGTCAGTTGGCTCATTGTTCGCTTTCACCTATTAGTAATGGAGAGACAATGAAGTGCTGATCCACCTCATTTCTCTGTTTAAAGGGACAACTCACTGCCAAAAAAAACCCCTAAAACTCTGTTTAGTATATATAGCCCCAATGAAAACATGCATGCATTTAATTATGCATTTTTTTAATTGGAGGTATGTCTAAAAACAGCCTGCAAAACCTGCAGCCTTTGCAAACTCCCCCCACCCCCCTTCTAACCCCGACTAGAATATCTGTGGCTGCCCAATCACAGACCTCCTAATGCAGCTCAATGCAAGTCAGATGCTCTGGGCTCTTGAGTTTAGCTTCACAGAGCTAACCAAACTAGGAAGTTGCAGAACCTGTTTTTGTCTAATTGACCAAATTAAGTAACACAAAGTGAGAATTTCTAGTGAGATTTGCCCTTTTTTTTTGTAAAATGGAAAAAAAGAGAGAACATATTCTTCACTGTTTAGGGATCTGGAGTGTCCCTTTAACTAAAGATAAAGAACTTTTCATAAATATCTCAAGAGGTAAATACTACAAAATAGCAGGTTTTATACTCCACAATAACAGATCACAGGTAACACAACATGTAGGCAACAAATGTCACCATTTAATTGGGAGCTTTTTTATATTTTAGGGAGTTGGAAGTTTTTTTTTGTTTGTTTTTTATTACGGTATAATGTAAAATCTAGAGCTTCATACTGATCAGGGTCAGGTTTTACTAGCTGCAAGTATTAACGGTCTGTTTCCAGAAATGAGCACCATACTGCACCATTAATTAAAGATGGAATTCTAGCAATAGCCCTGATGACACGTGATATCAGAAGTCACAGAGCATTTCGTATTTCGAGGACCACTCGACACCAATGAAGAACTTCAGCTCGCTCATGTGCTTTATTGGTAATGAGTATCCAGTTAAAAAATGTCTCTTCCAAGGAAAAGGGGGAGGGTTTGCAAAAAATGCATTTCATGAGAACTGCAGCCTTTGCAAAATCTTTTAAGATATACCTTTAATGAATGCATGTATGTATTCCTTGGGGGTATATCTACAAAACAGCGATTTTTTTGTTTCCTCATGTTTTTGACTGTGTGGTGGTACTTTACTACAAAAACTCTTGTTCTCTGAAAAAGCAGTGTTTACATTGAAAAGCCTGCAGGGTCAAGCGGTAGACACCAGGACAACTATATTAAGCTGTAGTGTTTCTGGTGACGATAGTGTCCCTTTAACCATCTGAGCTATCACATTGTTTTCATTAATTTTATTTGTAGTAGAAGGAAATCATAAATGCATAGGCTATTACCTGCAGTATTTTGCCACTTTCATCTTTTATTTTGGGCACATGTTTAAACTCTGCTATTAAATTCTGCAATTTATTCCCAAAGTCATTCAGCCAGTTTGCAGAAACACTCATGTCTGAAGAGTGCATTAAGTCGTTACGGCACTTTATAACCTAGGAACATTGTATAAGAGAGCAATTAGCATTGCACGTACACAAGAAACTGAACACAGAAAATACAATACATGTATCTCAAAACCAAAAGATTAACATGTTTTTGTTTATTTTTAAATGAGGGCTGTCGGTTAAATCTCTTCAGATATTTGCATAACTCCCATAAGTACTTTCAACTAATTTATTTAACAGTCAACAAAAACACCCATGCAGAGGTTTCATAATTAACATTACACACACAGATAGCAGATATACATGAAAATAAAGCAATCTAGTATTCATTTGAATAATATTAAAAAATGTTCCTTAGAGATTTACAGTATATACTCGAGTATAAGTCTAGTTTTTCAGCACATTTTTTGTGCTTAAAAACCCCCACTCGACTTATACTCGAGTCACTGTCTGTATTATGGCAACTTAGAGAGCCGCGGCCGTCAGAGCCATGGCAACGATCCGCGCGGCAACCAGACCGCGAGACTTACAGTGGAGCTGACCGTAACGGAGAAGAGAGCTGACAGGAGCTGAAGGAAAGGTAAGTAAATGCTTCCTGCCGGCCCCCCCACTTCACAGCCCATGCCACTGGACCACCAGGGATTAAGATAGCCCCCCTTCCTGACCAGTTAACAAGCAGGGAGGGGGGGACAAAAAAAAAATTAAAATAATAAAATAATAATATTAAAATAAAAAAAATTAAAATAATAAAAATGCCCTCCCCCCACCCAGTTCACACACACTACACAAACACACACTCTGCATTATATACACACTCTGCATTATATACACAGAGTGTGTGTATATAATGCAGAGTATGTGTTTGTGTGAGTGTGTGTGTGTGTATATAATGCAGAGTGTGTGTTTGTATGAGTGTATGTGTGTATATAATGCAGAGTGTGTGTTTGTATGAGTGTGTGTATATATAATCAGGCCCGGACTGGCCATCGGGCACACCGGGCAAATGCCCGGTGGGCCGCGGTGTCCGTGGGGCCGAGGCCAGCAGGGGAGGTCCCAGGATCTCCCCTGCCGGTCTATGCAGGGCCGGCACGCTCCCAGCGCCGGCCCCGCTTTGTGCCACGACGGGCCGGTGGGGAGATCAAGGATCTCCCTGACCGGCCCACATGCGGCCGCCGGCGGGGAGGGAGGGAGACAGCCAGCCAGGCTGGAGAGAGGACCCGGCGGAGCTCTAACTTGCAGCTCCGCCGGGTTCCTCTCGCGAGATCCGGCGCGTTGCCATGGCAACAACCGGATCTCGCGAGAGTGAACTCTAGCCTCACAGGCTAGAGTTCACTCACCCACGAGGACCACCTGCCACCCCGCCTCCCAGCGTGCCGGACCCCCCTCCCAGGCTAAAGGTAAGAAGGGAGGGGGGGAAATAATGATTTTATTTTTTTTTATTTACCCCCCTACACACACACAATAACATTTATACAGCACTCTCACACCCATCACACACAGCACTCTCACACCCATCACACTCACAGCACTCTCTCACACAGCACTTTCACACACAGCACTCTCTCACAGAGCACTCTCACAGCACTCTCTCACACAGCACTCTCACACCCATCACACACAGCACTCTCAGCACCTCATCACACACAGCACTCTCACAGAGCACTCTCACACACTCACAGCACTCTCACACCCATCACACTCACACCCATCACACACACAGCACTCTCTCACAGAGCACTCTCACACACACACAGCACTCTCTCACACAGCACTCTCACACCCATCACACACAGCACTCTCACAGAGAGCACTCTCACACACACACAGCACTCTCCACCCATCCACCTCCACCCATCACACACAGCACTCTCTCACAGAGCACTCTCACACACACACAGCACTCTCTCACACAGCACTCTCACACCCATCACACACAGCACTCTCACAGAGCACTCTCACACACTCACAGCACTCTCACACCCATCACACTCACACCCATCACACACACAGCACTCTCTCACAGAGCACTCTCACACACACACAGCACTCTCTCACACAGCACTCTCACACCCATCACACACAGCACTCTCACAGAGCACTCTCACACACTCACAGCACTCTCTCACACAGCACTTTCACACACAGCACTCTCTCACAGAGCACTCTCACACACACACAGCACTCTCTCACACCGCACTCTCACACCCATCACACACAGCACTCTCACAGAGCACTCTCACACACACACAGCATTCTCTCACACAGCACTCTCACACCCATCACACTCACAGCACTCTCACAGAGCACTCTCACACAAACACAGCACTCTCTCACACAGCACTCTCACACCCATCTCACACAGGGCACTCTCACACGGCACTCTCACACCCATCACTCACACCGCACCCTCACACACACACATACTGCACCCCTCACATACACACAGAACCCCCCCAACACACTGCACCACACACATACACAATACTTCCAAATATATATATGTGTGTGTGTGTGTGTGTGTGTATATATATATATATATACACACACACACACACACACACACACACAACACTCTTAAAGGACCACTCTAGCCACCCAGAACACTTCAGCTTAATGAAGTGGTCTTGGTGCCAGGTCCTTCTAGGGTTAACCCATTGTTTTATAAACATAGCAGTTTCAGAGAAACTGCTATGTTTATCAATAGGTTAAGCCTTCCCCCAAAGCCTCTAGCAGCTGTCTCATTGACAGCCGCTAGAGGCCTTGCGTGCTTTTCACTGTGAAAATCACAGTGAGAGCACGCAAGCGTCCATAGGAAAGCATTATAAATGCTTTCCTATGCGACCGGCTGAATGCGTGCGCACGTGCGCATTCAGCCGACGGGGCGGATCGGAGGAGGAGAGCTCCCCGCCCGGCGCTGGAAAAAGGTAAGTTTTAACCCCTTTCCAGAGCCGGGCGGGAGGGGGTCCCTGAGCCACATATGCATCACATTACACCACAAACACAACACGACTAAAACCGACCTTATTACACAATACCACACCACGACCAGCTCACTCTACACACACGCAATACCACAAGCAGGCTCCAAACACATGCACAATACTCTTTCCTGGCCTTTTGTCTCCTGGTATCCATTTATAGAGACACCAGAGACAAGTTGCAAGGAAACACAGTGCAAGCATGTTATTAAATTTGCTTGCACTGTGCAGAACAAATACAGGACTTTTTTCTCATGCTAGAGCTCTTCAGCAGAGCTCTGCGCATGGTCTGCCCTGGAAGAGCATTGAACCAACATGCTCACTTTGAGAGGAGGCGTGTTTGTCATTGGTGATGACAAAACACACCTCCTATGCCCCGCCCCCTTTTTAGTGGGCCGCTGTGTTAAAAAAATGCCCGGGCCGAATTTTTCTCCCAGTCCGGCCCTGTATATAATGCAGAGTGTGTGTTTGTATGAGTGTGTGTATATATAATGCAGAGTGTGTGTTTGTATGAGTGTGTGTGTATATAATGCAGAGTGTGTGTTTGTATGAGTGTATGTGTGTATATAATGCAGAGTGTGTGTTTGTATGAGTGTGTGTGTGTGTGTGTATGAGTGTGTGTGTGTGTGTGTATGAGTGTGTGTGTATATAATTCTAAAAATCACAGAATTTCATAGCCCCAAGTTTTACCCCCAACTTATCCACGAGGCATAGCATATTTCACAATTGTTGGTTACAAAACTGCACTCGACTTATACATGAGATCGACTTATACACGAGTATATACGGTAAGTTTTCTCTATGAGTTTCTTGCATTGATTCGTTTCACCCAGCAAGCTACCACTTGCCAAAGTCGTATTTCCCATATGCACGCTAAGCACTTGTGAGCCCCCAAGTATGCACACTTATGACTTCTATCATGGTTAACTTTGACACAAGCTTGAGCTTCCAATCTTTTTCTTCCTTCAGCATACCAGGAAGCAACGGGAATGGAAGCTGAATTACATGATGTAGAACTTACCAAGAAGCTCTTCATGGAATATGAACTTTTTAGAACATGTAATTACAAATAGTGCATATGAGTTAGAACAATATGACAGTTAAAGGGTTACTCCAAGCACCACAACCACGTCAGTGACTTAAGGTGGACACAGTGCCTGGAGTCTGTATGTGGAGTGTTTTGCTATAAAGATGGAACCCCTGTGCTGCTGGAGGTGTAACTCCAAGGCGGCAAGCTCACCCACCCTCCATCCATCCCCCGGCATCTAGGGACTGTGATTTCAATGTAAGCTAAAGGGAGAACTTGGACTCGGAGCTGGAAGAGAGTGACGTTTCCTTTAAAACCAGGATAGGAAGGGTTACTGTAACCAAAACCAATATTTTCTTAACACACTATTTTATGGTTAGAGTTGCCCTTTATTACCTGAAGTTTTTCCAATTTTTAAGACTGACCTAATGAGAAACATAATTTTGGTTTTGCGAACAGGTCACTGGAGGAGTACAGTTCTAATTTACACAAATCCCCATAGAAACATATGGAATGTTCCCACTGTATTAGCTGCACTTGTAAGAGCTACTTTTCCCCCTGCGTTTGTTTACATGCCCCACAATTCCACAAACACCTATTTCCAATTTCACGACTAGAAGCATTAAGTACTAACTAGTAGCAGTGAAAAAAAGTTGGTTTATTAACAGTGCATGAAAATGGATGCTATTTTCCATGAATAATTTATATATATATATACACGTGTTTGTTAGAAAGTATTTACCGCTCTAACTTTTGAATTATCAAATCTTCGGAAGCGATCGCAGGCATTTATCAAATTGAGGATGGCAGATGCATCACATAACTCAGGTCCTCTCTTGTCTGCATGTCCACGTGGCATATATGCCTACCGTAAAAAATAAATATATAAATATGTGTGCCTCAAGAGAAGCAGGACTTCTTTGTTAATTAGTAGGACATGCACAAAGATATAACAGAATATGAAAGAGTGTGTACTCATGGAGTTTTTATTGAAGTATTCACGAATTTATGATGGCAGATATATATAGTATTAACAACTCGGTATCTATACAAAACATTTATCAAGATTTCCACCCATTCTCTATATGTGTGTGTGTAATGGAATGTGTCTGTGGATGATTGTCCAACCTTTAGTAGTTTATGCAGTTCTAGAGAGAACGCTACCCATCCACATTCTTCCTACACAAAAGGATCACAATTCATAGCACCTCTTTAACCCCTTCCTGAAGTTAGGATATTCAATTTCGTCACGCACAGAGTGGGCTTTAATGCCACTAGGAGAGCATGGAACATTCATTTACTTTTTGGCTGTCTCAGAATGGCAGATGAGCTGTATGCAGTGGTTAAACTAAGCAGTGCGTACAGCTCATTATATAGGCTTTTAAATCCCTATAGCTAGCTTGTGGTGTGAGCAGTGTTAAAGGGCTAGTGTCACTGTAAGGGTTAATGCTCAGTAAGGGTTAATTATAGAGTATGGTTAAGGTAGATATAGATATACAGATAGCGTTAGTGTAAGCATAGTGTTAGAGGTAGTGATAGGTGGGGGTTGGTAAAGGGTTAACATCGTCTACCAAACATTCATTTTATTAATTTAGGTCCTAGACAGATGAGACATTTAACAATAAGGACTGATACCGGAATCCATTATTTTTCTTTAGTTTCACTGGATGTGTAAAACTTATTAAAAGAAAAAATGATTAGATGATAGTTGATTTTTTTTTCATTCCTCACACCCCCTTGTTTCTAACATTTTATTCACACTTGATGTTGTGTTAGGCATACATATAGGATATTAAAAGAAATTATTTTCTGTCATTTAAAAAACAAACAAAAATACAGTATATAGCATGTTTGGGGGCATTTAAAAAGAGAAACCTGTAAAAAGGACACTATAGGCACCAAAATACTTTAGCTTTAACTACCACAATTAAGAGATATACTCTTAAATTAGAGGGGCAAAGGTTTAAAAATAATATCAGGAAGTATTACTTTACTGAGAGGGTAGTGGATACATGGAATAGCCTTCCAGCTGAAGTGGTAGGAGTTTAAGCATGCATGGGATAGGCATAAGGCTATCCTAGCTATAAGATAAGGCCAGGGACTAATGAAAGTATTTCGAAAATTGGGCAGACTAGATGGGCCGAATGGTTCTTATCTGCCGACACATTCTATGTTTCTATGTTAAGCTTAATGAAGCAGTTTTTGGGTATAGGTAATGCCCCTGCAGTTTCAATGCTCAATTCTCTGCCGTTTTGGAGTTAAATCACTTTGTTTATACAGCCCTAGTCACACCTCCCTGTGTGTGACTTACACAGCCTTCCTAAACACTTCCAGTAAAGAGAGATCTAATGTTTAAACTTCCTCTATTATACATTCTGTTTTATTTAACATTTCTTATCTCCTGCTCTGTTAATATCTTGCCAGACCCTACAGGAGTCTCCTGTGTGTGATTAACATTCAATTTACAGAGTAGGAGCAAAAAACTTCTAAAGCAAGCTAACATCTGATTGAAAAAATTAAACCATTTTTTTTGTATCCATGCAGGCTGTGTGAGTGACAGCCAGGGGAGGTGTGGCTAGGGTTGCATAAACAGAAACTAAAGATAAATAACTCTTAAATGGCAGAGAATGCAGGGGGATGATCTACACACTAAAACTGCTTAGTTATGTTAAAGTTGTTTTGATGCTTATAGTGTCCCTTTAAATTATGGTGGAACAAACACAAAGCACACATTCTAGGTTTTGCTTTGGTTCAGAACTTGGACAATTGCCTCTAACCTAAAAGGAGTACTATAGTGTTGTTAACAGTTTAACTTCTCAGTCCACACCTATAATAAGTAAAACAGCAGTTTTACTTACCGATTTCTCTCTTTCAGTGTCAGTGTCAGTCTTGGCGCTGCAGTCCACGCCTCTGTCCCATTGATGATCTCAGCCAATCCAATACTTTCCAAAGCATTGGGCGGCTAGTGTGTGCATGAACGAGGCCAAACACCATGCTGTGCCAATAAGACGGCCTCTATGAGACCATCTAGTTAAAATAGTATCACTCAGCTAATTCGGCAGAAATGAGTGACAGCGACTAAAGACATTTAAATCCTGCAATGTAAACAGCATCGTTCCTGCAGAACAACAATGTTTTACATTGCAGAGTTAAAACAACAGGGACATGGCATCCAGAACACTTCATTAAGATAAAGTGGTCTGGGTGTCATTAGTGTCTCTTTAAGGGGTTAATGACAAATTATCACTGCTGGTATAGTAACACAACTGAAACTAAATTAGAACATTGTTTCCATACTTACCGTAATTCTCCTTTCCTGATTAAACCATAGCATTGGCTAAATGTGGAAAAAACATCAATGCTGCCATGGTTTAATCAGGAAAAGCCATTTTGGTTTACATTGTCTGTTAGATTAGTAAGGCACTATCTGGCATGAAATGAAAATCCCATAATGCCATGCATGCAGGTTACCACTAGAAAAGTTCAAATATGCAGAATACTGGAGAGGTAAGTGTGTTTAGCCTCTTACTTTACCTGCACACCCTACCCTTAATAAAAACGTCAACAGATTGTAATAAAGTCGGTGAAAATGAACTTTACTGTTTAAATAGAATAAACATAGAAAAGTTGATCATTGAACATTATCTTAATGAGCTATGAAATTAAAATTACAGGACATCTTTACCTTTGCTACTTCCCAGTAATTTGTAGGCCATAATGATGGATTGCAGTTTCCCCAGTGTATTTCACCATTTCTGTTCATATGATGATTTAGAATCAACCTTTTCCATTCTGCACAAACAGGGCAGCCAGGATGGAACTTAAAGGAGAATAGTGAATTAGTAAATCCCACTACAGTGTGTACACCACATTAACACACGACTATGGCTCCATATATCAATATATATCTTTCTCCATCTATCTCGAAGGATATTAGTTCCACAAACGTGCACCATTACAAATTCTTACCTTCTTGTGATAATATTACCTTGATTTGCATGATAGACTCTCATGATAGGTTTACAGCACAATGTGTGTTTTGAGGGAGGGGGTCCAAAGTTATAGAGCCCAAAAGGGCATTTATATAGAAAAATATGCTGCTCGGAGGGGGTTGGAGTAACCCTTTAAGTGCAAATTGTCAGGAATTCAAATTAAAATTTACACCAAAATGGCAGAACTGAAACAGCTGACTTGGAAAATCTTTACACCGAGGCTAATTTTAGCCTATAATTTGAAATTATTATAGGCTAAAATTCCTAGATTTTACTATTAACATGACGTAAAGTCATGATTTTATTAAAGACACGGAGGCGAGTATTATGCTTCTCTTTCTTTAATTCTCCCTCAGCAGCGAAGAGAGATATATGCAAATGAGAGAAAAAATAACAATAACATTAGCATATGGAACAGTGCTCATAGGTATCCACCCCCTTAGTATATAAGGTGTAGCACTCCATGCTTCTTCCTCTTTCTTCCGTGATCCGAAGACCAGATCCATAACCGAACTGTAACTTGGCCCGAACAGGAACAGTGGGCGAAAGGTAATGTCCAATCCTTGAGGTTAGACTGTAACGCTTTGTAACGGAAAATCACCACTTTGACAGTATGATTCAGGCTAAAAGAGAGGAGAAAATATGGTAATATATGGTCGGCAACTGGTTGCATCATGTAACTTCATGTAGGTAAAAACTAAGTCGTATAACGTAGTAGTCATGTCGACATATCAAAAGGTAATATAAGATTATATCTACTATATCACAAAGTCACCTACCTGAGAGACGTATGAGCGCACCTACAGGTATCTACATTGTAGGAGTCCACCTGATCTGTGGTTGGTATCCGTGAGAAAAACCAATCCCTCCACCCAGGGAGGGTGGGAGGGAATAATACTCGCCTACGTGTCTTTAATAAAATCATGACTTTACGTCATGTTAATAGTAAAATCTAGGAATTTTATTAAAGACACGGAGGCTCCTATTATGCTCTTTCAAAGCTGAGCAATGACTCTTTCCGAAAAATGTTGGATTGGTTTAAAATAGAAATTCCGGAATGTGGATTCCGTAGACCAGTCTGCGGCCTTAAGGATGTCTTCTAACCGGCACCCTACGTCGAAGCTTTAGAAGCCATAGCGCCTCTGACCGAATGGGCCGAAAAAATTGTAACGTCTATCCCGGCCGAGGCCAATAACCATTTGGCCCAACGGGCGAGAGTAGGTGTGGACACTGGTAGATGCGGTTTCTTTAGTGAAATGAACAACGGGCCGTAGTTTGACGGTCTTAGGGAAGAAGTACGGGTTTCGTATTCTTTTAGGCACAGAATTGGGCATAGCTTTGGTTGGTGCGGGAGGTGTGGATAGAAAACTTGTTTAGTCGCCGATTTAGTTCTTCTTGAAATATCGAAAGACACCCCTTCTGGAGTGAATGATCGGGCTAGCCAGTCCAAAGCCCTTACATCTGATACCCGTTTACAGGATAATAAACATAAAATCATGAGTAGTTTAGCGGACAACTGTTTGATTGACAGTGCCACGTTGTCGGGCCAGTCTTCCAAGAATTTGAACACTATGTTGACATCCCAAAAGGATCCGTACCTGGGTTTAGGTGGTCGTGAGAAACGTATACCTTTGAATAAGCGACATATCAGGGGGGTTCTGACCGAGAGGGGTCCCGTCCACCGTATCATGGCCTGCTGAGATAGCGGACCTGTAGATGTTGACTGTACGGAATGCCTTGCCTGATTTGAACAATTGAGTGAGGAAGTCCAGTACCGTCTTTACAGAAGCTGATATGGGATCCACTGATCTCTCCAGGCACCAATCGGACCAAGCTCTCCATGCCGTAGCGTATGTGCGCCGTGTTCCCGGTGCCCAGGCGTTCGCCAAGAGTTGGGTAGTTGTTCTCGAAACTTCCGTGATTTCCCAGGGTCCCCGGAAAGGAGCCATGCCATGAGTCGGAGGATTCCCCGTTCTATCAAGTCGTGATTCTCCCCATCCGGGTTGGTTAACAGGGACGTTTGATCCGGTAGTAACCGTGGGAAGTCGATCGCCATTTCCAGAAGGTGAGGGAACCAGGGTTGGGATCTCCAGCACGGTGTTATCAAGACCAACGAGGTTCTGTAGCGTCGAATGTATGTTAGAGTCCGAGCAATCAGGTTGAACGGGGGGAAGGCGTATGCTCGTCCCCCGGTCCAGTCCTGAAGGAAAGCGTCTGTCGCTAAGGCTTCCGGGTCCGGTCGCCAGCTGAAAAATTGAGGAAGTTGAGTGTTTAGTCTGGACGCAAAGAGGTCCACACTCAAGGGACCCCGTAGTCGAGCTATCCTGGCGAAGACTTTCGGTTGAAGCTTCCAGTCTCCTAAATCCCTCAGATATCGGGAGTTCCAGTCCGCGGTGTAATTGTCCAGGCCTGGTATGTGTTCCGCGGTCACCGACACATTGTTTTGTAAACAGTAATGCCAGAAGTCTCGAGCTAAAACCGCTAGGATGCGTGACTTGGTACCTCCAAGATGGTTTATGTACCTGACTGCCGAGACGTTGTCTAACTTGAGGAGGATCGAGCATGAGGCGCCCCTGGGTGTGAGGCTGCGAATGGCAAATGAGGCCGCCAGTAGTTCCAGTGAGTTTATGTGTAGGAATGATTCGTCTACTGACCATCTGCCTCCTGTGGATATGGATCCGCAACGCGCGCCCCAGCCATGTAAGCTTGCATCCGACTCGATTATCATGTCTGGAGTGGATCCGAAGATTGCCCGTCCATTCCATGCTTCCATGTGGGTTAGCCACCAGTCCAGTTCCTCCCTGGATTCTTCATCCAGCGTGATGTTGGATTCGTACGACTGACCCTTCCTTAGGCAGGAAGCTTTTAGGCGTTGTAGCGCCCGATAGTGGAGCGGTCCCGGGAAGATCGCCTGTATAGAGGATGCTAGTAAGCCGATTACCCGAGCCAGTTGTCTTAGAGGAATGTCTGAACGGTTCATTATCCTCTTGATCTCCTTCTTGATGTTGGACATCTTGTCTGAAGGGAGGCACAGGATTTGTTGTACCGAATCGACTCGGAATCCTAGGAATTCCATCTGTTGAGAAGGTTGTAGTACCGATTTCTCCCAGTTCACTAGGAAACCGAGGTTCTGCAGGAGGTGAAGGGTCCACGACAGGTGTGACAGCAGAAGGGATCGTGTCCCAGACAGTATGAGGATATCGTCCAGATAGATAATGAGGCGAATCCCGTGTAATCTGAGAAATGCTACCACTGGTTTCAGCACTTTCGTAAAGCACCAGGGAGCGGAGGAGAGCCCGAAAGGGAGGCAACAGAAGCGCCATTTCTTTGTGCCCCACCGGAACTGTAGGAGATTCCTGTGTGATGGTGCTATCGGGATCGTGAGATATGCATCTTGCAGATCGAGTTTCACCATCCAGTCTCCTGGGAGAAGGAGGTCTCGGAGGCAGTGTATGCCCTCCATTTTGAAATGCCGATATTGTATAAAGGCATTGAGGGGTCTCAGGTTGATAACCGGGCGGACACCCCCGCCTTTCTTCGGCACCAAGAACAGGTTGCTTATAAAACCTGGGGTATCTAGAGGGATTTCCTCTATGGCATTTTTGTTGTACAAGGTCTCTATCTCCGTGGAGATGAGGTCGTAGTGAGACTGTGGCATGTGTGGCACACGCGGGGAAGAAACCTGAAAGGGAAGACCCGTCAATTCTAGTTGGTAACCCTCTACAGTCTGCAGTACCCAACTGTCGGACGTGATCGTGGCCCAAGTTTGAGAAAACAAAGCCAGTCTGCCCCCCACATTTATATGGGAAAAATGGGGAAAAATCGTACTCACCATAAGGGCGTTTTCCTGGGGTTGTTCCTCTGCCGCCACGGGCATTCCAAGATCTTCCTCGAGAAGGGAAGAACGGAGTGTAGGAACGTTCCTGGGTCTGTCTCTGTGTGTTGGAGGAGCCTCTGCCCGGTCTGGAGAAACCCCGGGGGTTGCGGCCGGATAGACGGCTCCTACCTCTACCGGCCCCACCGAAAACCTTTTGGTGGAAGACCCTCTTCATGGATGATTGGGCTTTATCCAGCTCCGTGAATGTTTTGACATAGGAGCCCAGGTCTTTGACGAAGGATTCGCCAAACAACAGACCCTTAGCCGCGGCCCCTGGTTTTGGTTCGATTTTCAGCAGGATGGCCTTCCTGCGTTCTGTTGACATGGCAGTATTGGCATTGCCGATCATGCAGACCAAGCGTTGGAGCCATCCAAACGCTACTTCAAAATCTATTGGTGCCTCACCCGACTGAGCTGCTTCCAGCAGTTCGTACAATTTAGTGACAGGACCCAGAGTGTCTAGGAACTTGTCCTGACAATTACGGAGGGAGTAGTCCAGTCCCCTCTTGGCCTTCCAGCCTGTTTTGGCTAGAAACTGGGCTATCTGAGGGTCCACTTCTGGGGTTTTTGCCACAGCATCAGGGATTATGGGTCGGGGGTACTCCGCTCTCAATTTATTACGGCTCTCTTGAGAAAGGGACTAACGTACCCTGAGAGCTAGGTATCGGCCGATGTGTTCGGATGGTTCCCACTCGGCAGAGCGTGGGTGTCTTAAGTTGTCAGGGTCGAATAGCGTGACCTCTTTAGGGTCGTGGGCTGCTTCTGCCTCGGGCGCCCCTGAATGAGCCGAGGTACGCGTTGCCGTCAAGGGGAACTGCTTTCCCTGGAGGCTTTCACCCTCTGAGAGCTCGTCCTCGTACGGGTCAGAGTACGGGGCGTCAGACCCCTCATCCCCCTCCTCGTCTGAGTCAGACAGTATATCATGGGCTCTAGCCCTTTTCCAGTCTCTGGTAGCCGTAGCTCGCCCAGAAGCTCTATTGCGCGGTTGTTGCGCGCCATCATGGACAGCCTGAGGCATGTCAATCAGAGCAGGGTCAACCTGCATGGGGGGGGGGTCTTGTGAATGTCTGCGTTTGGTTAGCGCTTTGTGCCCTGGTAGCCTCCCTTCAGGAGGGATATGGGTCAAGGCAGGGGTAGGGTGAGGTTGTACCTGTTTGAGCGCTTGCGTAATGGAGTCCGAGATGGTAGAGGACATCGCGCCCATGGCTGAAGATATGGCCTTGGAAATAGATTTGGACATGGTGGTGTCTAGAAGGGATTGGAATTCCTCAGAGCCCATGAGTCCAGGGTCGAGTTGAGTATCAGGATCAGTAGTGGCCATAGAGGGGCTATGTTTGCCAGGGCATTTATCACCAGATTGCATGGTGAGTAATAGAGTGCAAGTGAGAAAATAACAAATAGGAAAAAATAAAGTGAAAATGCAGTACTAGGATTGATTAACCCAGGTACAGGACGGAAAAAAAGTACAGGGAGATGGAAGGTTATTTCCAGGAAAATATGCAGAGAGAAATTAACTGTACCAGTAGGGGGGCTGCCGGAACGAAATCCGGTGAGGGAGGGGTCAAACGGCACTAAAAACCGAGAGATAACATGGCCGCTGCCTAAACCGGCGACCAGAAACCAAGAAAATGGCCGCCGCGAGCTACCGCGCATGCGCGGAGCATGCGAGCGGCGGGAAACTAGGTGAAAGTGGATCGCCGCGCGGACGAAAGTAGGTCCGGCCGGCGGTGTTGCAAATAGTGCCGGGAAATGCCGCGGGTTGACCGATGGGTCTCCCGGGCGAAAAACCGGCAGGTTGTGACCGGGGGGGGGGCCCCAACCGGAGGGAGGGGGCTGGGAGAGGGAAATAGTCTGAATCCTTAGGGACTAGAGTAGGGACCGGCCACAGTAAAATAAACACAGAATAATAAACACAGACAGTGTGAGAAAAGAAGAAGTGGGAAACAGAGAAAAGGAGGGATAAACTGTATAAGGAGTATCCCCACAGTAATACCACAAGGATATAAATCCAATAGCTATAATATCTGCTGAAACATCCCACAGTGTATACATATAAATCAAATTATGAGAGTGTACTTATCTTCTGAGGGAGCAGCGAAGAAAGAGGAAGAAGCATGGAGTGCTACACCTTATATACTAAGGGGGTGGATACCTATGAGCACTGTTCCATATGCTAATGTTATTGTTATTTTTTCTCTCATTTGCATATATCTCTCTTCGCTGCTGAGGGAGAATTAAAGAAAGAGAAGCATAATACTCGCCTCCGTGTCTTTAATAAAATTGTAATTGTATCCCAATTGTAATGAATGAAATCTGGATGGCATCATTGAAGTTAAAATTGCTAAACTGTGACTACTGGCTCAGTTGTTGATGTTATTTTATCTCAGATCAGATATTTTTGCCATTCACATTTTAATTATCTCACCAAAACTCAGAGTTTAGTGTATAGAACCCAACGATAATTTCTAACAATTTCCCACTTTAGTAAATATACCCCACAATTACTATTTATGTCTCTCACACCCTATCCTGTCCTAGACTGCAATCCTGCAAACCATACACTTTGAGAAAATAAAACCTAGTGTCTACAATCCATAAAAGACATATGATGGGTTGGTCTCTCAGTACTTACCGTTTTCCCCGTTGCTTTGCATTGACAGCTAGAATTTTGCAGAGCTGCTGGGATCTTGCTGCGGAGTTCTCTGTGAAAACTCTTCATTTCTGATACAACGAATTCCTGCAGGGAGCCTTTAAGAAGCAGCAGACAATGTCCAGCTTTGATCCAGTTCTTGTACCCCATACTGTTCAGTCTCTGCAGCAGCCCGGTCAGTGCCATGTCTTGTACAGTAATCCCAGCTGCTCTGTCATAGACTGTCTAAAGCCGGAACAAAGAATAAACACAGATACAGTGTAGAATGAGAGATTCCGGGTCAGACTCCTCCCTGGAATGTGAAGTAACTTGCTCCTTCATATTCAGTGTGCAGACTGTCTCAGAATGTTAGTTACTCTTGCATGCACCCGGGACTGTAACTTGGTTACAATGCAGCATAATAAGTAATGACCTGTGTACCAACTATATGACGAGTATCATCAATGGAATAATCAGAGCTATAAAGAAATTAAGTGTATCCATTGCAGGATGGATAGACAGTTTTCATTTGTAGGGCAATATTCAGAGATTTTCTTTTATCCAGAAACGTTTGTTCTACTAATGTAAAAATCACAAAATGGCCATGTGTACCAGTATATACCACAGTGGTGTGTAATTTTAGAAAGACAGGTATTCAAGACCTAAACAGTTTACAGGTTATTGTTCACATTTTTATTTTTCTCCCTAAAAATGATAAATTAAAGGGGGACTGTCACATCTCACTATATTTAATTGTTCACACCTCACAAAGCATATTTAATAAATATGTATTTCTGAGGTGTGGAAAATGAAATTAAAGCAACACTATAGTGTTAGGAATACATTTCCTCGCAATACCCATGGCAGCGCAACAATGGGTTGCTCCTCCCTATCCCTAATTAGACAGGAACCTAATTAAAAGCTATAAGTGACTCCTCCTATCCTCAGTCTTTTTGTTCCTATCCTATACTATAGGTACCAAATACCAAAAAGCATTTTCCTTTATGGCTTACCTGAGGATAGTCTTTTCCTCTTGCCCCTTGGGAGTTCAGCCTTTCTCCCCTTGGAACTCTACAGTTCACAGCCCTGCGAAAAGGTGACCCCCTGGAAACCCAATGTGACCCGATAGGGTAGGAAGATCATGCCATCACCATAATTACTGTAGTGACCCAAGGGGTAGCAGGCTGCGCATGCACATAGAAAGCATATGGATTTACTTGCTGTGATCCGATTGGTAGCCCTGCACAAAGGCGACCCCCTGGAGAAACCCCTTTAGTGACTGGGGGTTCTAACTTGCTGTGACACGATGGGGTAGGAAGATCATGCCATCACCATAATTCCTGCAGTGACCGAAGAGGTAGCAGGTAGACATGTGCAATTCGTTTCGGTCCGAATATGAATTCGGACGAATTTCGGGCAATTCGGACATTCGGGTACTTCCAAATATCCAAATTGCCAAAGTGCCGAATTGCTGAGGTCCCGAAGTTCCGAAATTACAGAATTTCCAAAGTGTCGAAGTTACGAAGTGCCGAAGTTCCGAAGTGTCAAAGTGCCGAAGCACAGTATTGCCTAAGTACTAATATACTTACCCAGTGAAAGAAGAAGAATGTTACATCGTATACAATTTTAAATAAAAAGTATACAAACATAGCCAGGATTCAGCTGTAAGCATTTGCAGCACTTACAACACTCAAGTAACATACATTCATATAAAATGTAAATTACTTAGCCAGTCAATGTAACGACAGGAATAAATAAGTAGATAACTTCCTAATTCCCACGGTATTAGGGAGCTATCTACTAAAAGGCTGAAAGACCTAAATTGGTCTTTCAGCCAAATTTACTAATACTAAGTAAAGATTACTTAGTATCAGTAAATTATGCCCCTTATCCTATCCTTCATTAAGGATCTGTGATGCTTCGTAGGGGCATTTACTGCCCTTGATAAGGCCCAATCCTCCATGCGAAGGGTATTCCAGGGGTGGGTCTCTACCAGGGCTGGCAGATTCAGGGGCCGCCTGGCCAGCCGCAACTATTTCCAGCCTTGTGACTTGGGACGAGACTTTCCAGCACCGCTCCAATTTCCAGATGACAAGGACCCGGTCCTCCTCCTTTCCATCACGGGGTCGACCATGGCGGTCTCCGAGGACAAACTGGCTCAAGACGCCCTTACGGTGAGTTTACATAAACCCCAGGTTTTTTCTCATGTTTGCCCACCTTTCTTTTCCACTAAGAATATATTGCTTATGATCTCTTCAGGGTCCAGAGGGGCCAGTTCGATTGCCTCTTTGTCATGGAGAGCCGACAATTCCTCGTCTATCAATCTGCGGTCTCTGAGTGAGAAACAGATCGACCGAGGAGTTGGAATCTCGCAAGGCGTGCTCGCGAGTTTTATATGAAAACCTCATCCTGTGTCGAGTTCCAATATGTCTGAGGTAATTATTGACCAAACAAGGGGAAAATGACAGAGGTGTATGTAAACTCACCGTGGTCAATGATTTTCCCATTACATGACGTAAAGTCATGATTTTATTAAAGAAACGGAGGAGAGTATTGTCCCACCCGATATGAAGCAATTTCTCAGCTTTTGTTTTTTTTTTCTGTTTTTGCACCCATGTTGTTCATTATAGGTGTCTGGATTCGCTGGGGCATTGTATTTATGAGGCTTAGTTTTGACTGTGCCTATTTAGACTGTTGGACTGTTGTTCATTTTAGTATGTGGATTACTGCTTATAGTTAGTCTGGCCTTGATGTTGGTCTATAGTACCGATTTAACCCTTGTTCTTCATGTTTTCACCACATGATCTGGACCTGTTTGATGTCTGTTTTCACAGCATGATCCGGACCTGTTTGATGTCTCTTTGGTCTGCCTTGGAGGAGCAGTATCTTGTTGGAGCTGTTCTGTGGATGTTCCTGGATTAGTTTCCTGTTGTCGATTAAGTGGTCCTGTGTTCTCGGTTTTGGACTTTTACATTGATTTTGCTGATGGATTATGTCTGCTGGTTTTCCTGTTTGCAGACTATTATTATTATACTGGGACTTGGCTGGGAGTGGCCTATATTACTATGTATGCATTATTTTTTCATTCTGTTTGTATTCTTTGCTGCTATTGGTGGACAGTAAAGAAAGGGATATGCAATACTCGCCTCCGTGTCTTGTAATAAAATCATGACTTTACGTCACGTAATAGGAAAATCATGTAATTAACTTCCACTAGTAGTGTTTTTTTACCTGTAAGGGTGTAATACGTACATAAATCCCGTCTTAATTAAAACAATCCCAATTTCCCACTCTTTTTGATCAGAAAAACGAATTGGCTAATCTCGGGAGGGGCACTGGCAGATTATTTTAAGAAACAATCCAGGCACAATAACCACTACAGCTCTCTGTAGTGGTTTTGGTGCCAGGAGTTGCTGTGGCGCCCTCCCAGAGTAAGTAGTCAAACCGTTTAAAAAAACGTTTGATAACTTACCAGGTCTGCCGGGATAGGGGTTGTAGTGTGTATGTGTGTGAGGGGTGCAGTGTGTGTGAGGGTCATAGTATGTGTATGGAGGGGTAGTGCGTGCGTGAGAGGGGTGCAATGTATGTATGGGGTAGCAACCTGGGAGCAGTGTGTTTGTGTGTAAAGGGTGCAGTGTGTGTATTGGGAGCAGTGTGTTTATGTGTGAGTGGCGCAGTGTGTTTTTGTGTGAGGGGTGCTATGTGTGTGTATGGGGGGCAGTGAGTGTATTGGGGCTGTGTGTGTATTGGGGGCTGTGTGTGTATTTGGGGCTATGTGTAGGGGGGCTGTGTGTGTGTGTAAGGGGTGGCTGTGTGTGTAAGGGGGCTGTGTATGTAAGAGGGGGCTGTGTATGTGGGGGACTGTGTGTGTGTGTAAGGGCTGTGTATGTAAGAGGGCAGTTGTGTATGTAAGAGGGGGCTGTGTGTGCAAGGGGGGGCTGTGTGTGCATGAGGGGGGCTGTGTGTGTATGAGGGGCTGCTGTGTATGTAAAAGGGGCTGTGTGTGTGTAAGAGGGGGCTGTGTGTGTGTAAGAGGGGCTGCGTATGTAAGAGGGGGGCTGTGTGTGTAAGGGGGCTGTGTTTGTAAGAGGGGGCTGTGTATGTAAGAGGGGGCTGTTTATGTAAGAGGGGGCTGCTGTGTATGTAAGAGGGCTGTGTGTGTGTGTGTAAGGGGGGGCAGTGTGTGTGTGTAAGGGGGGCTGTGTGTGTGTAAGGGGGCTGTATATTTGTGTGTGGTGCAGTGTGTAGGGGGTTTTAGTTTGTGTGAGGGGATGGGGGGCAGATTAAAGATATTTTTTTATTATTATTATTAAATAACTAACTAAATAAATATAGCTAATGTCCCCCCTCCCTTCTTACCTTTGCTGGGGGAGGGGGAGACATTGCTTTCTCTTCCAGTCCCTGGTGGTTCTAGTGGGGGGAGTGAACTCTAACCTGCAGCTCAGGCTAGAGTTCAATCTCGCGAGAATGGAGCGTTGCCATGGTAACCGTGGCAACGCTCCGTGATCGCGAGAAGAGAACCCGGTGGAGCTGCGGGTTCTCTGTCCCTCGCCCTCCCCTGCCGGCCTTCCAGCAATCTGCCTGTGTGGGCCGGGGAGGGAGATCACTGATCTCCCCTCCGGTCTGTGATGGCAATCAGCAGGGCTGGTGCTTGGATAGCACCAGCCCTGAATGGGCCGGCAGGGGAGAGCCCCGGGCAGCAATATTTTCTCGGGGGGGCTGGGGGCAATTGCCCCGTTGCCCCCCCCTGGATCCGCCAATGACACACACACACACTGACAGACACATTCTTGAACACATAATTTTCTTTATTGCTCCCTACCTTTGGGAGCCGAGGTGGGGCCTATCCCTGGGGTCCAGTGGGGATCTTCTATCTGCTCCTCACTGCTCCCTCGCACGGTTTAGTGATGGCGGAATATGACATCATATTCCGGCGCCCGGCTTCACTAAAGACGGCGCGCACGAGGGAGCAGTAAGGAGCAGGAACACTGAGCTCCCTTGCTGGCCCTCCGACCTGGCCGGGTAAGTTTTAGCAGAGTAGGCACCTGCAATGTGAGGAAAGCAGGTGCCTATTCTGCTATAATACTGAGCATGTACTCGTGGCTCGCCGGGCCGCAAAGATGTCCATTGTGGGCCGCAAGTTTGACATGCTTGATGTACAGCATTGTGCTCACTGTAGTAATATTGTATTAATGTACAGCATTGTGGTCACTGTATTATTATCAGGCCCGGACTGGCCAACGGGCATACCGGGCAAATGTATTTACTGTATTTATGATGTTTGATGTACAGCACTGTGCTCACTGTATTAATCTACAGCACTGTGCTCACTGTATTTATGATGTTTGATGTGCAGCACTGTGCTCACTGTATTAATGTACAGCACTGTGCTCACTGTATTTATGATGTTTGATGTACAGCACTGTGCTCACTGTAATAATGTACAGCACTGTTCTCACTGTATTAATATTGTATTAATGTACAACACTGTGCTCACTGTATTTATGATGTTTGATGTACAGCAGTGTGCTCACTGTATTAATATTGTATTAATGTACAGCACTGTGCTCACTGTATTTATGATGTTTGATGTACAGCACTGTGCTCACTGTATTAATATTGTATTACTCTACAGCAATGTTCTCACTGTATTTATGATGTTTGATGTACAGCACTGTGCTCACTGTATTAATATTGTATTAATCTACAGCAATGTGTTCACTGCATTTATGATGTTTGATGTACAGCACTGTGCTCACTGTATAATATTGTATTAATCTACAGCAATGTGTTCACTGTATTTATGATATTTGATGTACAGCACCGTGCTCACTGTATTAATATTGTATTAATGTACAGCACTGTGCTCAGTAGCTTGTGCTGTAATTACAGATTGTGCAGGGGGAGGTGGAGAGCTGGATGGAATGGCAGACTGTGCTGTTGGAGGTGGGGTTTCATTTGGGAGGACGTGGTAGGGGAGTTATGATATAGCTAAGCCAAAAGGAGAGGAGGGGGTGCCGGACTGGAGATAGTGTGGGCGGGAGGAGGCAGGTTTAGGACTAGAGCAGGAAGGGAGAAGGGAGGGGAAAGCAGGAGCAACCTGTGATGAAATGAAGGGGTGGAGCCTGCAGTACACAATCTGATGGGTCACTGAATCGGACATTACACCGGAAGCCACAGATCTGACACAGACTGGCTCCACATGTACCAATGCAGAAAGTGAATCCTGTAGAAGAAAGGAGGAAAATGGTTGAGGATGCAGGTAAGAAAAAGAGACTTGACATGAGACAACTCGAGAAGGAAAAAAGACAGATGAATTTGCTGAAGGCTGAACAAATGAGAAGATTGGAAAAGGAGTGGATGGATCGGATAAACCGAGGAAGACAGCAGGGATGTAGAAACGTTATTGGCTCAGGAGGAAGTGGCGAAATGAAGATGCAGATAGAACACATTAAAGCAGTAGAAGAAAGAGAGGTCAAGCTGAAAGCCAGTAGTGAGTCCTTTGACCAAGCTAGCAGAGTTGCAGTGAAGCCAAAGGCTCCCAATGGCCCTTCTCCTCACGTAGCCTTCCCTTTTGGTGATGCCATGAAGAAAGAATTGAAGAGGTTGGAAGAGGTTTCAAAACAAGAAATTGCAAACAAGCATAGAAGACTTGCTGCTGCAGAAAAAGCCAGGCAGATGGAAATGTATCGACAAAGGAGGAGAGAAGCAATGGAAAGAGAAAAAACATTGAAAGCCCAAGCAAGTGCAAGAGCAACAGTTTTAAAAGAGGAACTTGAACGAAAACGGAGGGAAGCTAATGCAAGAAGAAAAAGAGCGTGGGAAGAACAACATATTGCAGCCCGTGGGTTCAGGAATCCCAATGTGCCTTTTAACGCAGTAGGACCTGGTTCTCCCAGCCATGCAAGTGCTTCACCTCATGGTTCACTGGTCCGTTTACAACATCCAGCCGAATCCAATACACCTGCCATCTCAATGAAGTGGCAGGCACATGTTCCTCCTGTAATTCCTCTTTCACAGCTCACACTCACAGAGGATACAGTGATTGCAGCCCAGATTGTTATGGTAGAGGGTGGTGACATCAGGTTAGACAGTGGAGAGCCGCGGCGGCCTGTGTGGTCCAATAGTCCTGGCGAAGCTTTCTTAAGAATCCTCGGTGAAGATAAACTGCAGATGCAGACTGAAAAGTTACAACTAACAAATAAAACACATCCTGAAAAAGAAGATGTAGCAGAACAAAATCAGCATCTTCCAGACCATAAAGCAATTGACGTCTCTCCTGTGGACAGGGATAATGTGGGTGTATCTGATGAACAAAAACCAGAGCAACCACAAGGCTCTCCACAACAAGAAATCAAGCCAACAGTGATCATGTCTGTTTCCAAGGCTGCAGATCTGTCTCACGAGGAGCCCGAGGACATGGAAACTGAGGATGTGAAACCTAGTAAGATTACCGATGGCAAGCAGTGCCCTGTTCACGTCACACATGTTTGGAATGAACAAAGTGAGGATGTGGCGGAAGCTATCTGTGACAATGAGTTGTCTAAAGAAGAAGCTAAATTAGATTTTGAGCATGATGAAGTTGCAGAAAATTTAGGAGATTCGACAGCACCCAAAGCTTTATTTAAAAAAGTTCCACTTCCACGTTATACAATGACACCAAACTTCTCTGCTCAGTCCTCTTTGGATGTTCCTGATGTGGCTGATGTACAAGGAGAGGACCCTTTAGAAATAGGGGACATAGAGGATGATCCCGCTCAGGAAGCAGATCACTCTGACTCAGAGGATATTATGTTTGGAGAGACAGACAGAGACTTGCACGAGCTGCAGGCATCAATGGAGCAACTATTGAGGGAGGAAACAATTGAAAAATACTGTCATGATGAAGAGACTCTTGTGACTATGAAGCCATTGGAAGAGAACAAGCTGGAAACAACCAAATTTACCATCAATGGTGAAGAGCAGAAGGGAGTAGAAGAAGAGGAGGAGAAACATGAGAATCTTCCGGGCAGTGAAAGTGATATTAACAAAGAGTGGCATTCTGATGACAGCAGTGAGGACTTTGCCACTGAATGCGATGATGGCGACAGCGTCTTTGGCCATCTTGAGGAGCTGCGGCTCAAGTTAGAGCAAGAGATTGGTTTTGACAAGTTCATAGAGGTCTACAAGAAAATTAAGGACAATCATGAAGATGAAAATATTGATACATGTTCTATAGTTGTACAACAAATTCTTGGTATTGAACACCAGCATTTGTATCACACAATATTCCGTTTGGTAATGGCAGATGGAGCCTATCAAGAAGATAATGATGAATGAATATCTCAGTATTTTCTTACAATCTATGCTGCTTTAAACAGTACGAACATTACCTTTTTATTTTTAATTTCTATTAGTTTTCTAAAGAGAGTATGTAATCTATGCTTCCTGACATTCAAAGATTTATGATTGTGGTTTGCCATCTGCATGAAGAGAGGGAAGCCTCTTCATGCCTTGGTTATCTACCTTCCAGATTTTTATGCTATTTGTTTGACTTTTCTCCATTAACCTTTTGATGGTCCAGTGCTACTCTAAGAAAGCTATTGTCTGGTATGTAACACAAATGCAAGCAGAGCAGTTCGACAGAGCTATCGTAAGAACCAATTGTTTTTTTTCTATATTTCTTGTTGTCACATATTGCATTGGGATTGGAGAATTGGTTCACATATTTATCATTATGCTTCTGATCTGTTAATGTTTATTTACAGATGTCAAATGTGAGATATTTGTTAACCCCTTAAGGACAGCGGGCGTGCTGTCCTTGGGGACCTGGCTTTAAACGCCCGCGGGCAGCATAGCACGTCCCTGCCGCCCAGGGGACTTACCTGCTCACCGGCGATCCCACACCAGCGATTGCGTTGGGGGGACTTGCCTGGCATCACAGGCAGTCCCCCTGATGCCGATCCGGCCCTCCTGGGCCATGTGATAGCGAGGTCACATACACTGTCTAAGTGTATTTATATATTAATATATAATTATATATATATATAATATAAAAAAATGTGTAAATTCGTTAAAAAAAATTCAAAAATATATGTGTGTAATTTTGTTCTAACTGTATTTTGATATTAATATTTATATATATTGATATCAAAATACACATAGAACGAAATAATATATATATACATATGTATATATAACTATATATACAAATAAAAATAATTAAAAATATATATAAAAGTAAATAGTTTGGCACTCTCCTCCTCCTCCATATTCCAATATACCCGCCTAGGTGCAATCCGTGATGCGTCCAATATGTAAGAAGATAAGAATCCAAGATGCACTCACAGGACTTGGTGAAAAAATATACTCTAATTTATTTAAATTATGTGCATAACGCAAAACCAACCAACCAACCGACGTTTCGACCCCTGCGGGTCTTTTTCAAGGTTACTATCACGGTCAAAACATTGAAAATATATAACCATACAATATTAGTGCTCTTACCAATCCAGTTCAGCGTGAAACCCTTAGCCCGCCACCGAAACCCGAAAGTGAGTACGGACCGCCTCCTGACGTCATCACGTGATGACGTGCGGCCGGGCAAAACGTGATCACCATGGAAACCGTGGAAGCTCCTATACAGGATCGTAGAAAAAAGTAACTTTTTTCTACGATCCTGTATAGGAGCTTCCACGGTTTCCATGGTGATCACTTTGTGCCCGGCTGCACGTCATTTTATTTTGGAGATATAGGCGAGCATATTCGCAATATTAAGAAAAAAGTCCTAAATCATTCAGTGTCTGCCCACTTTGCCCAATACCATAGTGGGGATCCTAAATGCTTACATTTTATAGGAATTGAAAGCGTAAAAAAACCTTGGAGAGGGGGAGATTTTATTAGGAGTTTTAATAAAACGGAGATGAGGTGGATTTTTGAGCTAGATACTTTATCCCCTGCTGGCATGAACATAGATTTTGAGATTTTTAACTATATTTAATATATCCACCTTTCTAGCCATTCAGAAAAAGGTTTTATTTTGTCCTTGCATATATTTTTCTCTCTTATTACTCTCTTTTATTACCCTGTTTTTTTAGTCCTGAATGGTTCATATTAAAACACCCTTTTTTTTGTTACCTTGGGGTATGTGTAATACAGCTTTAAATAATAATATTGGGGTATGTGTAATACAGCTTTAAATAATAATATATGCACATTTGTATATTGGAACATAGACAGATTCTGTTCTTAGTCTGTATTCTACACTTTTTTAATATATGTTATTTTTGTAATTATTGATGCTGCTCTCTCTTTATTTTCTCTTCTTGTCTCCCTGCCCATACTGTATTACCTTATTAAAACTGGCCGCCGGAGTACTTCCGGTCGTCCTATACAAATATGTATTAGATATGGACCTAAGAACATTTAGACTGCCAGTATGGGAATGAAATACACCCTGGGAGGTCCCTCAGGGTGTACCAAGATGGCGTATATGTTGCTACTAATGCCTAGCCGAAACCGGAAATCCACATCACGTCGGACCGGAAGTGACGCAATGAAAAGGGGGCGGGGCTAATATGATTTTTTGGCGCCAAACAATGACATAAAAGAGGAGAAAGGAGGATCACATCTTTATGAACCTGATGAAGGCATCCAGCCGAAACGTGTTGTGTTTGACCTTGGAAGATTCCTTGTATGCAGCTTGCTGTGTTTTTATAAGTAAGAATTTTTATTGATTTGGGAATAAATATTTGGATTTTATCTTTAACCCCTGCCCATTATTTCTGATTACATGACCTGTGGGGGAGAGCACAGAAGCTGAAGGATATACATCCTACGTATGTGTATTTACCTGAGCCAGTGTTTTTATACAGGCGCGTGAAAATGTGAGTAGGATGCAACTTTTCTTTTAATATTTTAGTCACAGTGTGGTCATTTATACAGGCTATATTGCCCTATGTGAGCCCTATGTGAGCCTTTTTACTTTTCAGAAAATTCCCTCTGGAAAAAGTCTATTTTTAGTGTATGTACTATAGCTTATTACTGCACTTTTGAGATCACTGTGCACTTTATTCTTATCAGTTCACAGAGCGCTAACCTTTTTTTTGCTTAGCTCTATATTTAACCCTGTAACTTTCCAAGACACCATAAAACCTGTACATGGGGGTACTGTTCTAATTGGGAGACTTCGCTGAACACAAATATTAGTGTTTCAAAACCGTAAAATGTATTACAACTATGATATCGGCAGTGAAAGTGACATTCTTTGCATTTTTCACACACAAATGGCACACTGACGATATAATTGTTGTGATACGTTTTACTGTTTTGAAACACTAATATTTGTGTTCAGCAAAGTCTCCAGAGCATTACAGTACCCCTCATGTAAAGGTGTTATGGTGTTTTCAAAAGTTACAGAGTCAAATATAAGGCTTGCGTTTCAGTTTTTTCACATTGAAATTTGCCAGATTGGTTACGTTGCCTTTGAGACTGTATGGTAGGCCAGGAATGAAAATTACCCACATGATGGCCTACCATTTGCAATAGTAGACAACCCAAGGTATTGCAAACGGGGTATGTCCAGTCTTTTTTTAGAAGTCACTTAGTCACAAACACTGGCCAAAATTGGCATTCAAATTTAGTTTTTTGCATTTTTCACACACAAATATTAACGCTAAGCGTTGGGAAGAGAAAAAGTCAAGTCTCAGCAAACTATCCCTGCCGATTACAACATTCCGGACCCAGCATCTGTCTCATCATCCTCGCGAGTTGACACTCCACCCCTCAAAGTGAGGTCAGAGGTGGAGTCCACAAAAACTCACACGCCGTCCTTACCGGCTACGAGGAGAGAAAGGAGAAGGAACTTTAACTTAATCCATATGCATCCTGGGTCTGGATTACAGTTTTTTTGCTTTTTTCTATCTGAGACATAATAGACTATTCACCTACCTCAATATTTCACCGGTATTTTTGATATTTGAAGTTTCTATATATTTTATATTTTTATACATACCAATAAATTTCAACTTTTTATCAGTTCACTCAGTTCTTAGTGACTATTTCCAAGGATATACCACTATTATTATTTATTTCAAGATTTTGAGCATTTAGTTTTCTATACTAAATTGCTAACTGTTTACATTTTGGACTCTGTTACATCATTTATATTATTATATTAAAAGTATACCAAAGTGATAGCGTCATGATGTGCATACGTGCTGATGCCTGTGCTCGTGCGCCGTGATGACAGAAGAGGAGGGGGGACCCGCCAAGACCTAGCGTGAGCGGAGTCTTTGCGGGCTTTTCTCCGTTAGCCAGACCCTGCTTTGCTTGTAAGAACCCGTTTGAGGCGTGCAGGATTCCTGCAAAGAGATTACCTTACCTGGCGGTGTACTGCGAGTATTTTGCTGCTGGCTTCGGTCTGGTCCGGTCCGGTTAGTATCTCGTGCTGCTGCAGTTACAACGAACACGGTTGATGTTCCCACTATGATGGCTCACTCTTGCTGTTGAGCCAGATTCTGTCTTACCTGGAAGCAGTGGTGTATCCTGGTTTTGTGCTGCCCTAGGCAGGACAAAACTCAGGTGCCCCCCTACCCCCCGCGCCACCCCCACCCAACCCTTCCCCCCGCCCCACCTTCTAAATACACACACACACAGTCAGACACATACACAAACACACACACAGTCAGACACATACACAAACACACACACAGTCAGACACATACACACACACACAGTCAGACACATACACACACACACACACACACAGTCAGACACATACACAGACACAAACAGTCAGACACAGTCAGACACACATACACAGTCAGACACACATACACAGTCAGACACACATACACAGTCAGACACACATACACAGTCAGACACACATACACAGTCAGACACACACACAGTCAGACACACACACACAGTCAGACACACACACACACACACATACACAAACACACAGTCACACACATACACAGACACAAACACAGTCAGACACACACACACACAGTCAGACACATACACAGACACAAACACACACACACACACTCACAAACACACACACAGTCAGACACAAACACACACACACACATTAACTTTTTTTTTTAATTTAAACCCCCCCCCCAACCTCCTTACCTTTGGGAGTGCTAGGGGGGGTCTCTCTCCCTGGTGGTCCAGTGGCTGCAGGGCGTGCGGCGCTGGCAGGCGGGCAGCCGGCGAGGGAGCACTTCCCATGAGCTGACTGCTCAGCTCCCTCGCGCGTCGGCTGCAGAGTGAGGCTGGGAACCGGAAGATGACGTCATCTTCCGGCTCCCAGCCTCACTTTGCGGTGCGCAAGGGAGCTGAGCAGTCAGCTCATGGGAAGTGCTCCCTCGCCGGCTGCCCGCCTGCCAGCGCCGCCCGCCCGCTCGGGATGTCAGTTAGCCGCGAGGCTAACTAGGCATTTGCCCTGGGCATTTGGGGGGCGGCGTTTTTTGCCGCCCCCTGAAAAATGCCGCCCAAGGCAAATGCCTTGTTTGCCTCGCGGCTAATACGCCCCTGCCTGGAAGAACCCGTTTGAGGCGTGTTGGACCCCCGCAAAGAGATTACCTTAACTGGCGGTCTACTGCCCGCTCCGGTCTGGTTCGGTTAGTATCTCTTGCTGTTGTAGATTCCACAAACCATTGCTGAACAATTTTAAAAATAGCACACCTCAACCCCTCCCTTACCTTTATTGCTCTCTGACCCTCACATCTCTTTATTCAGCCTGATTCCCCAACTTTGCAAGCCCATTCCTTCAGTGAGCAAGCCTGATGACCAAAGCTGAAATTCTGGTCTTTCCTCCCTCCCTCAAGTGTTGTTACTCCTGTGCCTGTCTCCCTCTAAGTCAATGGTGCTACCATCAGCTCCACCATGCAGGCTCGCTGCCTAGGTGTTCTCTTTGACTATGACCTCTCCTTCAAGCCGCATGTTCAATCTATCGCCAAATCCGGTCATTTCCATCTCAAAAACATTGCGTGCCCCTACTTAACGCCAGATGCGACTAAGGTGTTGGTCCATTCCACTGTCCTTTCTCGCCTTGACTACTGTAATCCGCTTCTCAGTGGTCTTACGTGCTCCTAACTTGCGCCATTACAGTCCATAATGAATGCGGCGGCGAGGCTCATCTTCCTGTCCGTCCGCACCTCCTATGCCTCACCCTTCTGTCAGTCCCTACATTGGCTTCCAATAAAATATAGAGCTCAATTTAAAATTCTGATTCTTGCTTTCAAATCTCTACATAATGCTGCTCCCACCTATCTATCCTCCTTTATACACAAGTATGTCCCGTCTAGGCCCTTACGATCTGCTGAAGACTTACGTCTATCTTCTGTCCGTACTCCCACCTCTGATGCTCGCCTTCAAGATTTCTCAAGGGCTGCACCGTTCCTGTGGAACTCACTTCCCTCCTCCGTTAGATGCTCACCCAGTCTCCACTCCTTCAAAAAAATCGTTAAAAACCCACTTCTTCATAAAAGCGTATCCATTAAACTGTTAATAGCTCCTGACTGATTCCTCTTCTGCAACTGTCATTAGTCTAATACTATCCTTACCTTTGTGTCATTTTACCCCACTCCCTCTAGCATGTAAGCTCATTGAGCAGGGCCCTCAACCCCTCTGTTCCTGTGTGTCCAACTTGTCTGGTTACAACTACATGTCTGTTCGTCCACCCATTGTAAAGCGCTGCGGAATTTGATGGTGCTCTATAAATATCATAATAATAACTGGCCTCCTTTCTTACCATAGCATAGAGCATCCTGCTGCCATCTCTTCCCCAGGTAAACAATGTGTACACACACCCGGCCATCCACCTGATCTAAAAGAAAACGTGATTCATCAGACTAGGCAACATTCTTCCATGGTCCAGTTTGGACACGGTCACCACTGAAGATGCTTTTGGTGCTGGACAGGGGTCATCATTGGTACTCTGAATAGTCTGTGGCTAAGCTGCACTGATGCACTGTGTTCTGACATCTTTCTTTCATGGCCACCATTTGGCATTGAAGAAATTTAAACTACAGTAGCTCTTCTGTGTGATTGGACCAAATGGACTAGCCTTCACTCATAAAGTGCATCAATACCCTGACGCCAGTTAACCAGTTCTTTCTTGCCTTCCTTGCCTTGGCCCAACACTCAGATCTTTTTGCTTGCCCATATTTCCTGCTTCCAACACACCAAATGCAAGAACTGATCGTTTACTTGCGGCTTAATATGTCCCACCCCTTGACAGGTGCCATTGTAATGATCTAATCAATGTTATTCACTTCACCTGTAAATATCCAGACACTGTGCTATACACTTTTCCTATGTTAGCTTCAGACATTCTATTGGAAACCACTTTTGCTAGCCGAGAAATCTGTCCGGCTTCTACATGCTATATGGGTAATTATACATCTACAGTTCTAAAATGCAAAAATATGCATTTAAAAAAATAAAAGGTGTTGTACATACAAGTAAACTGGTGAAAACAAAAAAAAAAATATATATATATATATATATATATATATATATATATATATATATATATATATATATATACACACACACACACTCCGTATATGTAAAATGATTGGATAAACATAATACAATATACAGAAACATTGAAAATGAAATAAAACCTTCTTCCCAATATCAAAATAAACCAAGGAAAATAAATCAGTCATGCCTCTCTTCCCGCATTTAAACAAATCCTCAATGATTTATAGGTCTGATAAAATTATGGTTGGGGAGATAAAGTATCTGATTATATGAACTTTTTTTTTTTTTTTTTCATCTTTTATCATTGGGGTATTACAAGTTTCAATAAAAAAATCCCATAAACTGCAGAGACCCTTTTAGTTTAAAACCAGTAAGTCTACATTGCATAGCATGCAAGAAAATCAAATGACCAAAGAGGAAAGTTGGCTGGGAGTAAATATAGGCATTGATGTCTTGATCTATATTGTTTTAGGAGTATTTTATATAGCAGTATAGCTATGAGGCACTCATACACTTCAAACATGTTGATAAACTAGGAAAGAGGGTCAGGGTAATTGGATAAATCCTTCTGTAGATATTGCTGGGCTCGTGGTTAAAAAATGACGTGCTTTCCTAAATACTTCCCCAGATTTTGACAGGGTACCACCAAATGTCTTTTCCCCAGACATTCCTTTCACTGCAAATGATCTGAAACATGTTGCTGCCCCGACTATATTTTCTACCTCATAGATATTCATGTTTTGCTCAAGAAAGTGCACAACAACCTGGGATATCCTCTAATCTGTATCAGAAAAGAGCAGACTTTTAAAAATTTTTATTAGTTAGATCCTCCCCCAAACTTCTCCTTCCTTAAAAAGAGGTAGAAAAACCACCAAAAAAAAAATACAAAAGCCGAATACTTGCAAAAATAAATTTATTAAAAAGGGAGAGAAATATGTGCACTGCCTCTAATCCTAAAGAACAAGAAATGTTATATTAAACTAGAAAAGCTACAATTTCTGGGGAAATTGTGTGAAGTGTTCTTGCTTCCACCAGTAGTCTACAACTGGAGTGGGCGGAGTAACTGTTATCATTTATATAGCACATTTAATTGCTACGTTGTTGCACAGTTACATTAAACCATACATTTATAAAAACATTAGCAGGTGTTCAAAAGGCCCTGTCTATGACATCACTTGCTGCTGCAGCCTGGCACAGGGCAGAGTATTTTGGCAGTGGCCATCTTCAAACGGTCGTATTTTAAAAACTAATACATCCTACAGTGAAGAGCTTTATATTGTGAGAATCACAAGACCCAGACCTACATGTTGATGCATAGTATGTCTCTGAAGTATTAGAAATGAAGGCGCAGTTTAGAAATTGCACTTCATATTTGAGCTTTGTAGAGTGAAGTTTCAATGAATGTCAATGGACGGCGTTGGTTGCAAACAAATGATTATATCGTGAAAACTATCAGGACTATGGCTTAGCCGTTGACATGTTTAGTGGCAGCAGGGATAGCTGAACGTTTTGATATAATATTTGTGTAGGTGGGCCTGAAAATAAGGGAGTGGTGGTAGTTTAGAAATCATGTCCTGATTTCTCCGCTTTTGCCAGCTCCCACTCTAGCTTTGCCATTCATTCCTATGTGAGAAATTGCGCCACAAGAACGACGATATTCCGTGAACCATTAGGCAAAACGTTACACAAAGTAATAGCAATCCGATCGGGAACAATCTGCACGTTTTGGTAAATTTTTGTCTATGTAGTGTAAAAACTGTGGGAGGAGTTAGGGTGGCAAATTTGGCTATAATAAGAATAAGAATATATATGTGAGATAACAATAAGTGGTCTTGCTATGCAAGAACACTTAATAATAATAATATATATATGTGAGATAACATTAAGTGGTCTTGCTATGCAAGAACACTTAATAAAATGTCTGCTTTTCCCTCTAGATTAGAGACAGTGCACAAGCACTGGTATAAACAAACAATCCTTTAGGGCGGAAATATATTATTTAACCACCGCCAGCAATACCTTACGCCCAGAGACAGATTGTTCAATAGTGTTTAGAGAAGGTGTGAAGAGACGGCCAGGTAGATGCTCTGCAAATCTACGAAAGGGTAGCAAAAGATGTGGCAGTTGGTCTCATTAAGTACCTTTAACTTTTAAAGAGGACATTTGAAAAACTGTAAGCCAGAAGAATAGTTTATTTTATCCATTTTACTAGAGAATTTTTGGATCGCATAAAATCCTTTTTTCCCTGAAAAAGGACAAACAACTTGTCCAGATAATAATGTAGAGAACGTTTTACATACAGACAATGTTCTGCAGTTTACGTGAATTTTGGAATAATGATCTACTGGTTGATATTAGACGTGAAACAGACTTTAGGGACAAAGGAGGGATAAAGCCTAAGAATTACTTTATCCAGATGAAATACAAGGCATGGTGGAGAAGATGCCAAAGCTTTGAGTTTGCCTAGGTGTTTTGCAGATTAACAGCCACTAAAAAGATTGTTTTATAAGTGAATCTTGAGACTTCTAGATTCCAATGGTTCAAATTGAGCTTCCCATAGGACTGACAGGGAAAGAAAAAAACCCACAAAACAGATCCCATAGGAGAACCAGCTCCCTGGCAGTAGGAAGCAGCCAAGACATAAATTTGAAAAATCTAGCAATCAGAGGGTCTGATGCTAAATAGAAGCCAATAGCAGAGATCTGTACCTTCAGGGTAACTGGGCAAATATCTTTACCAAATCCTAACTGAAGAAATTTTAAGGAACTTCGGAAAACAGAGGAAGCAACAGAATCACTTGGCGTCCTTGTGGATGACAAACAGAGCCCTAATAAGCCGTAGCTCATTCACCTAGTCCAGGACAAGATAGAAGAAGGGGGAAGAAGAAGAAAAAAAAAAAAGTGTATGCCTGCTTTTGATCCACTCTTGTCAAAAAAGAACTAGGAGTTTCCAACCTCTTTTAAAACAGGAAGGAGGCATTTGGTGGAGGATTTAACTAAATTAACATTTTTTCTGACCCAAATTAGAAAATATTCAAAGTTGTTGCAAACTACCTCTAATCTGGAGGGACAATAAACTGCTTGGTAGGATCTACATTTTCAATATATAAAGATAATTTTTTTTTTTTTAAGTTACCCATTGAGAACATGCACGTTGAAGGCTGTAAATTAATTTAACTGACTCAACTCCTACCATGAAACTGGCAAATACCAAGACATGTTAAACCCCAGTACCAACACATTAGATACAGTGGTTTTGAAGACACATGCCATTGATTCAGATAAGCAATATTAAAAAAAAAAAAAAAAAAAAAACATGATATTTTTGGTCCCCATTTCTGTTTAATAATTACAAATAAAAACATTTACATCCATTTATAAATGTACAACACAACCATTAATAGTTTGCACAGAGGAATTTGATAGGAGTTATTACAATGAACATAAGCTTTAAAAACACAATCTGAAAAAAACTATTAAATGCTGTCATTTATACACAATGTTCACACAAAATAAATATATCCTTTAAATCTAACATCCAAACTTAAAATGGAATTTCATACACCGTTTTTTGAACATTTCTAGTTTGTTATTTTATGACAGGGATAGATAACTGGGCACCATGAAATATAGATATTGATTAGGTTTCTCTCAAAAGATATTTGTTATTAATTAAAGCAGTGATGAGTAATCTCATACTGCAGAGATTTGTAAAACTATACTTCCCATATTGCTCTACATCAGCCATGAAAGGACTTAAAGTGACTTAAGTGATTCCCAAACCAGTTCTCGGGTATAGTCAATAAAAGTGTTTAGGGGCCTCTCCACAGTAGCACAAATGGGTAAGTGGTAAATCCTGGAGAAGCACTGGCTTAAGAGATGTATCAAACTTTATTTTTTATTGGTGTCATGTATAGTGTGCATGCACAGACTGGAGACTAGAATTGTATAATAGTTGAATTACAATCAAACTTGTATAGTTTTTTTTCCCCCCCCCAATATTATTTTGGGGCTGTGTAAGACACTGTTCTGACCATCAATTGGACAACATGGACATGGAGAATTCATTCCAGTGATCTTACAGAGAGCAGTTTGTGGTACTTCCAGATACTTGTGACAAGATGTCTAAGGACTCATGATTTGGAGGTAATTACTAACAGAATGATTTTTCATCAAAGCAAGCTTTAACAAAAACAGTTCTTACACACCATAAAATACTTTTGAGCTTGAAGAACCATACCAGCAAGTGACAAACAATAGGCATCTGTCAGAAAGGTCAAATGCATATGATTCTCAAATTTATGTCCGAATTATATCAAATACAGATTTGTGAAATTCATTACAATGTAGTAACTGTATAGAACTTAATTCTGGTGTCATTTAGCCCCTGCTGCTTCAATGAGAGTTAAAGCCCTCTTACATAAATACACCTACACACGATCTTGATGCATGCAATGTTCGAGTGGTTGGCATACATTCAGAAGACAAATATTCTACATAGGAGGACAAATTTGTTTTACTAGAACAGGAATGGCAAACCCTAGCATCCCTAATGTCAGTGATCTATAATTTCCTTAACAGTCAGTAGCATTTGGGCTGGCTGAGCATAATGGAGCATAGATTTCACAAGCAGCTGGTTGCCAAGGATACCAGTCTGAGTACTAAGCGGTGTCTTTCCAGCTGGGGAAAAAAAATTACTGCTCAGTGCAGTGTCATTTGCTTCAGTGTTAAATTAGTTCATTCTATGCCTGAGTTTAATGGGCTTTAAATATCCAATATAAAAACCCAAATTGAATTCCAAATCAAAAAAGCTGTAGAATGTTGGAAAATTGTATAAGTACACAGAGTGATGAATTTTCCTATCCGAGGACTGGATAAATAGATGCTGTAGTTTTATGCAAGTCACTTTCAGACATACCCGTGAGTGCAGATTTCATAAAGTTACACATCTACTGTATTTCTGAGATATATATATATATACATACACACACACACTTCAGTAACAGACATATTTTGCCACTAAAGCTTACAAATGCATTTTCTGCCAGGGACTTAAATTATGTTCCAAGCATTTGCTAGGGGATCCATACTTCTAAAAGTAGCCCATTGACCAATCCACGTGTAAAATAATTTAGCAAAATAAAATTCTGCAAATTGGGTCAACAATGATGTGACAAAAAAAAAAAAAAAATGTTAAAAAAATTGTGCACAGCCATAAACATACCACAGAGTGTTAATTTTGGATCCTGACTGCAAAGTTAAGAATTTCTAAAAAAAAAACAAAAAAAAACTAATCACTCCAACTTTTTATTCCATAATAAATCTCTCCTGTAATATCATGACTGCTTCCTGGTCTTCACTTTTGCAAACACTGGTATGAAAATAGAATGTTGACCTTTCAGGATTTCTGGTTCTATTGAATCTGCCAACAAGTTAGGATTCCATTTCTTGTTCAACAGAAATATCACAACGCACTTTTTATGGAGATTAAGTTATTAGGTATTTATTTTACAGCACAGATATAGAAGGAGGTATTGATCCCAGTCTGAACACTCATAAAAATTGGGGCAACCTAAATATTTAAACGCTTTTGACATGTATCAGACAATGCTTTGATTGCTTGTTTAAATACCAAAAGTAATTCATTCTGAAATGTCAACATTTCTTTAAATAAATCATCAAATCCTTTAAGTTAGTCCATTCTGATTTTCTGGTTGGTCATCCTGTAAATGATGCTGTCATAGCCAGGATCCATGTTCCAAAGATTGTAGGAGATTGCAATTACAGCTAGAGCCAGTCCAATCATGAGCCAAAGGATAATGTTGAAGACAACAGAATAGTTAAAGTTGTACTCATAAGCCAGATTATACGGGCTACCAGGGTTGCTCTAAAGATGAAAAAATAAAATAAGTGTGCATCAGTAAGGGATACGAATATTTGTTTTGCTCCCATTAGTCTTATGTGACATACAACTAGAAAACAAAAATCAAACCCTTGCAAAACCATAGCTACCTAGATTTTCTCAGGGAATCTATTGCAAACAAAACAACATGGCTTCTTCCCCATATTCTCGTACCCAATGAAAACTAGAACTCTACTGAATAGGAGGGAACCACACCTCCTATGTATTCTGTAAGCCCATCTGAACGTGAACAAGGCAGTAAATGCACTTGGCCTAATGCCTTATTTTTTCATAAGGAATACCAATAGTAAAGAGACCTCATTCTCCACATTCAGAATGCAACGTCAGGGTCAATATTTATCTACTGAGTTATATCTCTAATGATTCTAGAAATCTATTGCAAGGTTAAAACTACAGGGCTACTGCACTCAGAAAACTTTATTGAGAAGAAGTGGTCTGAGTGGCTTTAGTGGTTTTTTAAACCCACTGCCAGGGCAAGCTGATTTGCAAAATTAAACTACAGGTTTTTCTTTACATTTACTTACAATAGATGGAGATGAAAGAATGGATCGGCTTTTCCTTACAAGAGGCGTTTCAAATGACTCCACAGTCACAACATCGACAATTGCATTGCCACCATAAATACTGTACATATCATCGGCAAACTGAAAAAACACAGGGAGATGTTATTGATTATAATAGGTGAGGATAGATCTTTAAAAAAAAAAAAAAAGTATTATAGAAATAATCTGTGATATTAAAAAAAAATTATTATATATAAAAACAATATAGAAAGCACTCAACTGTTAAGGGTTAATTCGTGAATTATGTAGTAGTGACAGTGCAGGGTGCTAAAGGAGTATAGACCTGTGTCCTTAACAGGGGACTGTTGTTTCCAGCTCGGGTCAGTATACCTGTTACCCTTGGCTTAAGGCTTTGAGCACTTTATCTGCCCTTATTCTATTCAATGTGGTTATTTGTTAGGTGATTTCCCTGCATGTTTGCACTCTACTCTGTATGTGTTTTTATATGCATTATGTGAATTAAATCTTTTTTTGGTGCAATACTTTTGTGGTGTGCTACGGGTTTGTTCTTTCCACGATGTTGAAAAAGAACCTATGAAGGTGGAGAGTTCAACTAAAGCAATAAAATACAAGATTTGTACAACGTACGGTGTATCTCAGAAAGGGGATGTAAACCTTTTCAATTACAAGTAGGAATGCTGAATGGCATGCAATTTTGTCAATTAATGAATGTCTTCTGCTCATCAACGTATACCCCACTCCCTCTAGAATGTAAGCTCATTGAGCAGGGCCCTCCACCGCTCTGTTCCTGTACGTCCAGTTGACTGCTTACAATTACATGTTTGTTAGTCCACCCACTGTACAGCGCTACGGAATCTGATGCCGCTATATAAATAATATATTAAAAATCTGTGCAGAGGGGGGCGGGGCCGGATCACCAAGCTGGATGGTCGCAAGTGAGACCAGCTCCTGCAACTCAAGACCAGATAAACCTTAAAAATATGAATCCTGAAATAATACCGACCGGCAACGGTGGCCCTTAGCTGGCAGAGGGCTCTGGGCCCAGGGTGAGGCTGGCTCAAAACGCTTCAGTCCCCTGGGGGAAGATCCCTCACTGACATTAACGAGGCCTACTCCAGCGGTGAGGACAGCCGCTGCCCCGCTATCCCACTAATCAGCACTCAGCCATGTGTCAGACCTGTGGGGAACTGGCCCCGTACACCCCTCCCCCCCCGCGACATGGAGAATTCATTCCAGTGATCTTACATAGAGCAGTTTGTGGTACTTCCAGATACTTGTGACAAGATGCATTAGGACTCATGATTTGGAGGTAATTGCACAAGTTATCTTACCATTCAAACCCCTGTGCCTTTATCGATCAGATCATCTGCTCCCCGGTGGTATACCGTATCCTCAAGCTTGTTTATAACTGGTTTTCTAAACCTGAATGCTCATCCTGTCAGTATAATCAGCCTGTCTTGATATCTGCCATTCACTGTATTCTTAAAAGCATGATAGATCTTTATCTATCTATTTGTATACGTGCAGAATACGAATGAGCATACTTCACATCTTAATATGACTTACTGATCAACTTATAGCCAACTGAAAGAACCAGTACTAGCATTGGTATAACTTTAAACTGAAAAACACTTCGTTTAACATGTTTATGCTTACTATAAAATATAAAATGTGCAGTATTTTTCAAATGCCATGAAAATGTACAATCTGTAATTACATCAAAAGCCTGTATATGCTGTTGTGGCACACCGGGCATTTTCTGTAATTCCTGGCACGTAATAAAAGAATTAAAAAAAAAAAAAAAAATGTGCAGAGAGAACTAGGTGGCATTTTGAATCTGGACTGCCCTTATTAGAGAGGTATCAGTCTGATATGCAACGAGTGAAAAAAAATAAATAAAAATAAAAAAGACACGGGACCTAAGTGTGGGACTAGCCAAAGGGGCAAGTTACTGAGCTTTTTCTCCATGGTGTAGATCATATGGATAAAATGTTTTAAGATTTACTCTACACAAAACTGAACTTAAAATTAGGCGCAAGGTGTAGATCGAGAAAAGTTATTTTTTCCTAGGGTCAGGACTCTAAATTAAAAACCTAACCTACAAATCAACCCTAAACCCCCTCCTACCAAAAAACCAAAACAAAAACAAAAAAACTGGCCACAACAAACATACAAGATAAGGTGTTTTTTTTTAATTCACATTTGGGTCACAGCATGGAGGTACAATGAGTGTGAATGCATTATGTTTATTGTGTGTAGGCTTAATGGAACACTAGAGAGTCGGGAACACAAATGTATTCCTGACCATGTAGTGTTAAAACACAATCCAACACCCTGGCTTACCCTTGCCCCCTAAATATAGTTAAATATTACGTTTGTTCCAGTCTGCTGCTGCTGGCTCTGCTCCTGATCTGCCTGCTTGACTGACATCATCAGAAGTGATTCTCTCAGCCAATCCAATGCTTTCCCATAGGAAAGCATTGGATTGGCTGAGACTGTCAAGGAGGCAGATCAAGGGCAGAGCAAGCACAAGCCAAACCCAGCTCTGGCCAATCAGCATCTCCTCATAGAGATGCATTGAATCAATGCTTACCTATGAGGAAAGTTCAGTGTTTGCATGCAGAGGGTGAAGACACTGATAGTCAGTGCTGTACAGTTTGCAGCACTGCCCAAGGGAGCACCTCTAGTAGCCATCTGAGGAGTGGCCAGTGAAGGTATCCATAGGCTGTAATGGAAACACTGCATTTTCTCTGAAAAAAACGTTTTTTTTTTACTGAAAAAAAAAAAAAAAAAAAGCCTGAAGGGAACGATTTTACTAACCAGGACACATACAATAAGAGGTAGTTGTTCTGGTGACTATAGAGTCCCTTTAATGAGTGCAGCAGTTAAAGCAGAGTATCATTGTGCGTGTATATACAGAGTCAGTGGACATGATATCAATTTTCAATTTCCAATCAGCCAAGTGTACTTGCACACCATTTAACAAAACTAATTATTTAAAGTAACACTGCAAGCACCATAAGCACGGTAGTTTTTGTTTGGAGTGTTCCATTAATGAACAGAAAATACAATTTTGCACTACCTTCTGCAGGGCATCAGAAAGAATTTGAGTTGCATCCTTAAACTTTACAGAATCTTCTCCATAGCGTTTCTTGATCTCCTCCAATCCAGTCAGTTCCAAGGAATAGATATCTGGAGCATTATCTTTGGCTAGATGTTTGTGCCGAGACAGCTACATTTTAGAAGAAATATTACAGGAAAAATAAGGTCACTATTAAAATGTACATTTTAGTAGTCTAAATAACAGTTTTCAGTTGTTCCTCATGATGCAGCTATTTGTGTACTTAAAGTAGACCCTTAAAAAGAGAAAAGTCACTTCTCTGAAAATTACAGCATAAAAACACACTGAAAGATCACCTATAAATTGTGTTAATCTTTTTTGTATGCAATGCTCAGTTTCCATTTACATTAAATATTTGGCAAATTACATCACAATCCACTTTGACCAAGGCATAGCCAAAGCACATATTGCAAAGAGGAGGAGAAATCGAAATGGTTTTAATTCTCCTCTGCTCAGTATGCTTTCCCTAGGAGAACTGCCATATGTAAAGGGCTTATACTAATGACTGACAGGGAGTGAAGTTGTGGCACACAACTGTAGGATAAAAAGGTGTTTATTTCTACATTTTATTTTGCACACAAATCCACGTGTTAAATATAGGGGATCATAAACAATACTTGACTCACCAAAGCAGGTATATCTTGCAGTACTTGCAATTCTGAAAGGAACAGACGGTCAGTCTGCAAAAAAAAAAAAAAAATATATAATGTATACCTAAAATTAAAAAATGTAAAAAAAAAACAAAAAAAAACTTAGTTTAGTAGAATTTCAGCATCAAATGACCAACACACTTGAGATAATATATTAGACATACGAGAATATGTGGTTGCTTACTAAAACATGACAAATTTCTCGATCAGAGAAATAAGGGTCTTAAACCGTCAATTTAGTATTTGCTATAGAAAGAGAAGGCTTCCTAAGAATGGCAATGGAATACTGATGAAAGTAGAAGTAGCCTCACAAACAGAAATGTTCTTTTAATACAGTAAACAATCCCAGATCTGAAGGCCACCATATAAAAAGATTATATAAAATATATATATATATATACAAAATATATATATATATATATACAAAATATATATATATATATATATATATATATATATATATATATATATATATATATATATATATATATATATATATATATATATATATATATATATACTGACCACTTCTACATTTCTAATTGTCATGTCAGCTCACCTCATCATTTCGGTACAAAGAGTTGACAGGTAGTGATGCAAGAATGGAATTGTCCTGTTCCAAGCTGCTTCTTAGTTGTCTTAATGTGACCGGAAGGTCCTCAAATACTGTATTAGCCTTACCAACCATGTATACTCTCTGTGGGGAAAACATGTATTTAAGAAATTGGTCACAAAAACACTGCAATAAACAGCCAATACAATTCTTAGAACATAAACTTGTGCAAGACTCAGCTTTTCCAGAAAATTACTTGGATAATAAAGATCTTGAAGGTCAAAATGTTGTCATGCACACAATGGTGTAATAAACTGCTTTTCTTTGAACGCATGTATGGGTTTGTCCTGGCCGTTGCTCAGTAAAGCACCCTGTTCTGTGGATGAGTTCAACCCCTCTGTTTTTGTATCTAAAATTACTTGAATCACAAATAATCATATTTTAGTGACAAATAATGTGATGGGCATGCTCCACTTACCTCCTCTATTGGAGCCAACTGTAAGACAACAGGCATTTCTTCTGAGAATAGTAAATGTATGGAGTTCACCACACTGTCAACACTGTAAGGTACAGCCTTAAGAGGAAATAAAAAATAAAATTAAAAAATGAATAGGTGAGATTTCAGCATTAGCAAACCTAAATGTACATCCTTTTTAACCAGCAGTTATGTGTCAGTTTTATATAGTGAGGCTAAATTGCAAATGCATTGTTAGAGATAAGCCCTGAAGAGAAAATTCAGACCTTATATTGAAGACACAGAGAACCAATTTATAGACCACCATTAACAGTTACAGGGTTATGTTCAAAAGCGAGAATTGAATTTAAATTTAAAGTCAAAATAGTCAAAACAAAAAAATTCTCCAAGTCAGCTATGATTTTAATTCAGCTACTCTGGCCTTAAATTTGAAATTCAGTTTGCATTTTCACTTTAGTGAATAACCCAGGGAAAGATTGAACGTTATTCTGTTTGTGGTCACATCAATTTCACCGTAACATATCTATTATTTACAGCCTTTAATTTGGTTAAAAAGTTACATTTATGTTTTGAAATATAGTAGAAAGCAGCAAACACTGTACTCATACTCACATTTTCTATAGGATATGAAATCCCATTTTCTGTAAGAGGAAGTTTGCTTGTACCAGTTACAGACACCAAGACAGTTGCACGTGGGCACTGAAAGAGATTGCCAGCTCCTAACCCAGGCCAAGATAGATCCTGTTAAAATATACCAAGATACATGTATTTCACACACAGCTAAATTCTGTCAAACATCTCAAACATGTATTTCTGACCCTACAGTGTTAAAACCACCATCTAGCCCCCCCTACAGCCCTGGCTAATCAGCATCTCATCACAGAGATGAATTGAATCAAGTTCAAAGTCTGCATTCAGAGGGTGGAGACTGAGTAGCAGTGCTGCTCACTGTGCAGCACTGCCCCAGGAAGCACCTCTAGCAGCCATCTGAGGAGTTGCCACTTGAATTATCACTAGGCTGTAATGTCACTGCATTTTCTCTGAAAAGAGAGTGTTTACTGCAAAAAGCCTGAAGGGAATGATTATACTCACCAGAACAAATGCAATAAGCTGTAGTTGTACTGGTGACGATAGTGTCCCTTTAACCTCTTAAGAACCAAAATTCTGGAATAAAAGGGAATCATGACATGTAACACGTCATGTGTCCTTAACGGGTTAACAAAATTCACCATATAAAATGAAGCCTACATATTTATTTACTACCTACAATAAAACAATGCACAAATAAAATGCCATAACCTTTAAATAATACAGTTACCATTTATACCTGGCTCAATGTCTTACGCAATAACCTACTGGCCAGGCCTAAAAGTTACTCTCCAGTATAAACAACTGTGACAAGCATTTAAGCTTTTATTCCCAGTTTTTTTTCAACAGTCGTAATGGAACACTATAGGATCAGGAACACAAACGTATTCCCGACCCTGTAGTGTTAAAACACTATCTAGCCCCCCTAATAAATATAGTGTGATCCTTGTCACCAGGTAGCACGGTCCTCTAGGGCAAAAACATGCACAGTCCTTGTAGTTGCAAATACTTCAGGCACTTTATTTGTAAATCCACACAGGATACAGCAGTAAATAAAAATCAAAAGTAACAGAAAACCCTATAAACAAACACCTAGCTCGTCTGAGCACTAACTGACTTTAGTTCCCTATCTCTCAGGGTTAAACTAAACACAATATTGCACCAACCTTTTAGATAGCAACACTCTGCTATCTAACCTGTTGCTTTCCTTTCTGCACTCCCAGTGCTCCAAGCCAGCCTTGCCCTGACTGCTTTCCTTTCTGCACTCCCAGTGCTCCAAGCCAGTCTTGCCCTGACTGCTTCCTTTCTGCACTCCCAGTGCTCCAAGCCAGTCTTGCCCTGACTGCTTCCTTTCTGCACTCCAAGTGCCTAGTCTTCTTGACTATATGGAGAGAACAGCCTCTCTCTCCTACCTGCTTCCTGGGAGGAAGCCAGCAATCCCTCTCTTTTTTCCTGCCTAGCCGGGAGGAGTTTATTCCCACTGCAACAGCTGATTACCTGCAGCTGAGCAGTGGGTTGGAGACAGTCCAAAAAACCCTGGCCTGGATCTAGGTCTCCCCAGAACACCACTAAACTGTGGAGTGGAGCATTGGCCCACCCTTCTCTCCAAATGCTCCACCCCAGGGGCCCATAACTAAACAATGCGTTGTGTTGTGCAACACACAAACTACACATACTCCCCCTGGGGTTAAAAGGCCTATCTGCCTTCACTTTATCACAATAGTAAAATCTTACCTTTATTGCAGTCTACTGGCTTTGCCCTTGACCTGCCTCCTTGGCTGGCATCAGACATGCTGACCTGAGCCAATCACAATGCGTTCCCATAGGAAAGCATTAGATTAGCTGAGATTGCCAAGGAGGTAGGGCAGAGAGCAGAGCCAAATGCCACCCTGGCAAATCCGCATCACCTCATAGAGATGTATTGAATCAATGCATCTCTATGGGGAAAGTACTGTGTCTCCATGCAGAGGGTGGAGACAATGTGCAGCACTGCCCCAGGAAGCACCTTTAGTAGCCATCTGAGAAGTAAATACGAAATTTTCTCTGAAAAAAAAAAAAAACCCCAGTGTTTACTGCAGAATGCCTGCAGGTACCGACTATACTCACCAGAGCAACTACATTAAGCTGTAGTTGTTGTGGTGACTATAGTGTCCCTTTAAGTGTCAATATGTGTCAGTATGTGTGTAGTGGCACAATTTGGAGTGTGAATGAAAACTTGCACTGCTCTACCCTTTCCCTCCCATTCGCCATTCCCTATCTTCCTGTTAATGTTTTTGCTCTCACAAAGCCATCTAAAGTCTAGTTTTTTTTCTAATCTTTGCGAACACGAAAAGGACTTATTGCGTGTGTCCAGCATAAGATGTTCCGTGCTTGACTTCCTACAATGCCAATAAACAACTGTGGTGTGGCTGACAAGTCACTGCAGAAAAATTCACAGTGGCACCGAACTTTTCTGTAAGAAAAGAATGGCAAGTTCGGAGTGGCTGTGCATGAAGTCACTGGAAGGGGTTCTTGCCTCAATGTTCCTGTAGGTTACTCTTCTAGCCAGTGAAAAAATGGTCACACTAGGGCTTAATTTACACCTTCCATTGTGTTATTCTCCTATTCTTGTAGATTTTAGATATGATTAAAACACCCATAATGACAAAATATGCAAGATAAAGATTGAAACCTAACCTCTTCCACTGAAAATCCCATTGATAGACCAATCACATCTGGAATGCGATCTCCGGGAACTGGCCAGTTTCCTTCTTGAAAGATTTGGTACTGGGGTGATTTCAAAACGGTAAAATCAGCAGCTACAGCTATTAAAAAAAAAAAAAAAATTCAAAAAAAAAAAAATATATCATTAACAATAAAATCACTTAATAAATTCCTATAAGTAGAATACATACACACAAGCACATCAATTCTACATTAATTAGAATTGTGCTCTAAATGTTTCACAACTGTATAATTTATAAGACCCAAAATGCCACTTAATCCCAAGTAAACAGGTACCAAACATGTCCAAGACTACACATTTGTTTCTAAAGCAGATCACATTTTAGTAATGCATTCTCAGATACAACATGCACTAACGTTTAATGCAAAAAGGTTTCTAAATGATTTCATGTAATCTGAATACTATTAGAGAACATGAGACATTACTGCTGAAGAAAGACATCTAGTGGGACATCTCCCCATACAATTGTGACATCAGTTATTTAACTTTCCATCCATCCAGCTGATATTCAGTGCATCCGGCTATGGTTGCATACATATACAACAATATGGAAACAATGGCTGGTAAGCTCTAAGTCAGAGGACTTTCACACCTTGCTGTCGTAACTCCTTAACCTTACGCCCTGTGATGTCTGCTAATCGTGGACTTACTCTATCATGGCGACCTGCATATGAGCATAACAATAGTGCCTGAAATTCCAGGCCCTGGCTCTCTGCATCTGTCTCTCTTTCTTTCTTTTACTACTGGCCTTTTAATTTGATAACGGTTTCCTTGCTTGGATGGCCGTGGGTTGACATTTTACTTTGTATTATTTTGATACTGACTAAATGGTTTCCTTTGTATAGGGTTTTTTTTTCCTCTAAACCTAAAATTCTGATTTACAAAAAAATAAAAACAGACAAACCTTCCCCCCTCCCCCTCCGGGATTAATAGTAAATTATTTAGGTTTTGTTTTTGAATAAATGAGAGGCCCATTAGTCTAAAGAAAAATAAATAAATAAAATAAAAAATAAAAAATCACACACAAACACTACAATTAAAAAATAAAAATTATTGCAGGATTAGATCAATCTTAGACTACATTTCATAAATACTTAACATTAGCTTGAGAATTCACAACAGGTAATATATACACATTGCTAAATTCATGTCACAAAGGCTATTAGGTTGTCTATGCGGGAAAGCAACTTTAATATTGGAAAGAAATATTTGGGAAATTAAATAAAAGCTGTGGATCTAAACTAACCAAAAAAAGAAATGAAATTGTAAATTGTTTAGGCTCTGTGCTGGCCTAGACCCTAAACAATTTAGCAAACTTAAAAAAGGACCAAATAGGGAACCATAATAACGTAATCTAAATTAAGTAGTTATGGTGCCAAGAGATCCCTGGCGCTGGCTCACCTTTAGGGGTTAAACCGACAGTTGAACCAAAAAGTCTGTACGTATCTTTTCAAGACAGTTTTTTTGAATGGTCAGTCACTGATTGGTTGAGAGCTCAAGCTGACCGCTCTCAGTTAATCTGCAGTTCTGCTGCCAAAGCCTACCAGAATTTGAGCAAACAGAAGGACAGGAAGATCTGGCGCTTGAACACATACTTTTAGTTAAACCGTTTGAGAAAGCTTTACTCCTTAACTGTGAGCCAGTGTCAGGGACCCCTTGCACCATAACTTGATATTGTCATGGTGCCTGGAGCATTCCTTTAATTCCACAGTACTTTTTATATACACACACACACACACACACACACACACACACTTTGCCAATATTGTAAACCTTTCACATCTAATCCCAGATGTTATGTTAAACGATGTTTGTGTTCACTGCTCACACTTGCCAACCAGTTTACCAGATACCATTGTTAGCACAAATAGACAGTTGTTGATAGTAAATAGTGAGATTTACAGGCAACATGTAATTTTAAGCATAACACTATCAACAGTCTAACCATATCATCTCTAAATAAAAATAAATAAAAACAACCAACCAAAAAACAAACAAACAAAAAAAAACCAGGGGGGGGGGGGTTGAGAACTAGCATGAAATTAAGCTTACAAAAGGAACATAGTTCTTAAGTACAAGTTCATTTAATTAGTAAAAAATTAAAGTATTAGTAAAAACACACACTTTAACTTTTTTTTGAGAAATACCTACTACAACGTGAACGAAAACTAAATAAATGGAGTGTTAAAGAACAGTCAGAGCCAAGGGAGTTGGTGTGAAGATGACAGACAACAGACCCTTCATATGCATTTAAACCCCTTAACAAAATAAAAAAAAAAAACAAAACAAAAAAAAAAAAAACACCCAAAACACACCTTTAAAAAGGGTAGGAAATCCAGTGTGAAAATATACTTTAGGAGTCTACTGTAAATGTCACAACTGGCATCTACTCAAACAAAAGCCTTGCATGTAGATATTGACTGAAAAAAGTATCACAAGATTCCATTCAAAACGTAAAGAAACCCCAAACGTTAACATAATAAACAGATTGAGGTAAACCTGCACATAGTTGTTAACTGTTGGCTCATACTGGATCTAGTTGGGCTGTGGACAAATCAAACAGGGTAAAACCATTTCAACCAGGTTGCTCAGTACAAGTGCCCTTGAAAAGCCTAGACCAAAATTTACTGTAAACAGTGCCTTTGAAAGTCATGCCATTATTGAATAACTACAATATCCAGAGAGTTATTCGCAAATAGCTTCCACTGGTTCTCTTAAATTTATCACCACTGGAAAGAGTGGGGGTATGTGGAGGCAAGATTGGAAGTTATAACCAAGAAAGTACATTAATGGGTTCTTTTCAGAGTTTCTGTAATTTATACGAAATTAGTGACATGAAAAGATGCGTACCATTATAACATTATATGACAGAAACTTGATTCATTGACCATGAACAGGCACAATTGCACCAATGAAAATACATATTATATATACACACACACGTATGTCATATTTCATGGTCTGTGAGAAGACCTTACTTCTGCCTTGAGCAAGCACTCAAAAGCAAATTAGGAAGAGCGCGCTACTTTTATGAAATAGGAAATGACACATCCAGTTAAACCTAAAGCACTTCAGCAATCTTGGAGTGTTACTTTAAAACCTACTTTTTATGCAGTATTTGGGTGGTCAGGATAATGACATTTCAAGTTTTTAAAAACTGATCAGGGAAAAAAAAAAAAAAGGTATTAATTTTCATTACAACTGCCATCATGACTAGATTGATTAGTAACTTTGCTCAAGCGAAACCTATGGGCTCTGAGAAAGTTTTGCGGACAAAGGGTGTATTCATTAATAAGACTGCTCAAGCTTGAAAGATGAACTGGCATTTCTCTGTAAGTTACACCACTGAATAAAAGGGACATTCCAGGCACCAAAAAACTTCATTTAAATTTGTAATGGTGCCAGGAGGCTCCCAGATAAATTTACCTCAAGATTTTAAACCATTCTTGAACGATTTAACCCAAAAGCTGCCTCCAGCAGCAAAGTCCACTGCTCCCCTGGCAGCATCTGGTTTCTGAATTTTCTGGTTTAGGAAGTGCGGAGTGCCGCAGGGGATGATGTGCCGCTGATTGTCTGAGAGTGATCAGTTGACACTCTCAGCCAATCAGTGACTCCCTATTCACAAAACTGGCTTGAAAAGAAACATACCTTTTTCAAGTCAGTTTTGTGAGTGGCTTTTGTGAATGGCATGTGCATTTGCGACCCCTCATTGAACGACATTGGAGGAGACGGAGCCGCGACCCAGAGTCAAGGGACATCGGCGCTTAGATCAAGTAAATAAAGGGTTTTTAACCCTTCATTTACAGCAGCGTGGGTGGTGCAAGGAAGGGGGGAGGCTGAGGGAGCAATAGTGCCAGGAATACAGCTTTAAAAATCATATAACAGGCGTTTTTTTTTTTTGGTGTTTTAAAATGTGGTGCTCCGTTTTCTTTTGAAAAGTATATTAAGATTTAACAAGTGACACCACAATCCAATTAAATCCAGGCACAAATGCATATGAAGAGAACAGACAAACTGATTTGATTTCTCCGCTTCCATTAAATTTGTTCAATGACAGGAAGGGCATTATTTAGGATTGACAGGGAGACCAGATGGAAGCACTAAGCTACAGGAAAGTTGTGTGGATTTCAAGATTTAAAATATTCTTCAGAACTCACCAAAAAATATGCTATATATGTAAACATAATAAAAAATACTTGGAAGCAACTGTTCCCCTTTTCGATAGATGCAATACTAAAATCAGAATAAAGAGCATTGTATTTAAGAAATATTGATATTGTAGCAATCACAGCTTGTATATTTTGAGGAAGTCCTGTATTTTGTACTATTCAACCCCTGCTGAATGCGGAATCTTGCGGCTGTAAATTGCCAGTACCACTTGCAACCATCTCAAAGCTCTAACGATAAGAAACTAAAATCAGCAGAGTTCAAAGAAACATTTTTACTATTTTGTATACTAGAGAAATGCAATATGCTTTTCAGAGGGGTTATAGCAACAATATATCAAGTAAAAGCTCTTATAACTGAACAAATAAAATGTATAGCAAAAGGAATATCACAAAAGTGTAATAAGCACAGAAAGAAACAGGCTCTGGTGATTCCGGGAAGAGTAATCACATGACTACTGACAAGGGCCATTCAACACGCAGATTGAGACAGAGTATAAAATGAGCTTGAATTATGACATTGCCATTGATTAAAGCTATAGACTATTTGTTATATGCAAGTTGAAAATCCCCCCACTCCCAATACAAAAAAAATATAATGGTGGCAGTACCAAAAAGCACCATTATAGAAAAGTAAAAAAGAGTGGGGCTCCTCAAACTGTCTTCTCTTAACCCCCAACCTCCCGCACAGAGAAAAAACAAACTAAAAAGAAATGCTAGACAAAATATAAAAAAAAAAAAAAAAACATGCCTGTGATGCCAAAGTCTTTATCTGACTAACTGGGCACACTTGCCACCCGAGAAAATGTGTGTAATGCCAATTGCTTGAGTATTGCACAACAATTCTGTTTGCATCTACTCTATGGATGCAATACACCTTTGTTAAACAGTATATCACGGATTTGATCATTCATTAGACCACCAAATCCAACTACGGCATTCTATACTCAACACCACAACGTCATATCCTCACACAGTTAGTAACTAAATAAGGAATCACAAACGCCAAGGTAATACAAATTTTTTTTAATAAAACTGCACTTTAGTCAATAGGTTTTCTGGCATTTAACTGATAACGCCATTAATGAGTGGAATGGAGAGTGTACATCCATATAAAAATATAAGAAAATTACATACATGCTGTTCCTTGTACAGGTACACAAATACGTCTATAATATTTTAGTGAAGTGGTCATTTGATATTTTTGTGGGTATATTATAGTTTGCTAGTCGAATATATTACTGCACTCTAGCACCTTATTAAAAAATGATACTATGAAAATTACTGCTGTAATTATGCATGGGAGATGTAAGATGAATGTGCCATAATTGTCTAAGATTCTGGGAACTAAATGATGATCAATGGTTAGTAGGCAAGTACAATCCTTTGTGACCTTGAGAAGCTCACTGGACTATGATAATGACCCAAAACAATAACACTGGTTATAGGGACTGTTATGTTCATACTGAAACAAGAGATTGCTAAACTCAGATAGCCCTTGCTTATCTAATTATACTCTACCATGAGTTGTCTGCTAAACAAGCACATAGATAAGAGGATCTTATTTAGCAATATAAAAAGGTACATGAAAAGAATAAATCAAAGAGTTCAAAGAAATAAGCATCTAACCTAAATTCATATTAGGATTTTTCATTAAACAGAGAATTCTCAAGAATTCACATTGAATTCTAAATTTAAGGCCAAAAAAAAAAAAAGGGAGGAAAATGTCTCACCTGACAAATCTCACCTTAGTGAATTACTCTGGATGCAGGGCTAAAAATGTAATTACTACTCTACGACTCGTGCATACAAGTTATTCACCACTGCAAACCTGGAGGGTCCAAAACATTCACCAGGGCTGAATTTTCATTCCCCAATGGCGGGGGAGTGGAAATGTTGAGCCCTTCTGCCTGGACTTCCTCTCTAGCTTTCAGTCATCAACCCATCATGGATTTGATGAACTTCCACATTTTTTTCTTTAGATAAAAAATAAACAAAAATAAATCCCATCTTGAAAATAATGACTTCCATTTACAGTTTCTTTGCGGTGCACACTAACATATCAATGGGTCACCAGGCAGGATTGCTTGTCAGGTATAGGAGACACATTTTTATATATATATATATATATATATATATATATATATATATATATACACACACACACACACACACACATACACACAAACACTGCAATTCTGTACCACACTATACAATGTGAAATCATCATTAAATAAACATGTATAAACATACTAAATATATGACTTGATCTAGTGGGATTATTTATGAAATATTCTGTTATTAAACAAAGAATGCTGGTTATTGAAAGGTGACCTGTGCCCATTATGGAGAAATCCAAATTCTACTTGTAACATTCTGTTATAGAGAATGCAGAACACAGGGCTGTGTTAATATCGCAAGAGCCCTGCAGCATGGATCTCCCATACACAGTGTGTCTTAAAGGGACAGTACAGCCAGTTATCAATGATGGTGGGATTACAGCCAGCAGTCCGTGGACTGTCGGTGATGACTGACTATCCCCTCTCTCCCTGTATTACCTGCTATGAGAGCTGCCAGCAGTACGGAGTACATCGTCCCGGTGCTCGCTCACAGACCCCGGCGAACGAAGAATGACTGACCGAACCAGCTCTGCACCGCCTGACAGAGCGAGGGGGAGGGGCACACGGAGGAGTCTTCCTGAAACAGCTGGGAGTGACAGTCACGGCAGCCAATCAGAATGCTCAGGCCTGCTCGAATCACGTGATCAGAACTCGGGAGGATGGGGGGGGGGAGATAGCCGTGTGATTGTCACATGACCTGGGCATCGCAAGGGGCGTGTCTGGTGCGGGGTTTGAGGAAATGGATGAAGAGAAATAAAATGGATGCTCTGGGTGCACTGCACGTTAACAGGGTGTACAGCCAGGAGGAGCAGACTGCTAAAATTTTAACCCTTGTTAAAGAATGCCAAAGTAGTACAATATGACACAGCCTAGGTCAGGGTAGTCACCCTTCGGCACTCCAGGTGAAATGGACCACACCTCCCATGATGCTTTGCATTAAGGCTGTACGAGCATTATGGGAGATGTAGTCCAAAATATTTGGAGTGCTGAAGGAAGGTTGCCTACCCCTGATATAGGTAATCCTGTTATTAAGTGTATGGTTATGTCATGGTAAGGTATTATGTACTCCATGTAACCAATCTGACTAAAGCAGGTATGAATTCAGAGCTCAGGGCCTGTCAGACTCTGTATGTGGCTGGATTTCCTGTAGGCAGGCGCAGTGCTTACAGGGACCTCTATATCACCGTCACCTACTTTGGAATGGCAAAAGACATAAGGGGTTTTATTGTGTGTCCATACTTTTAATATTGCCTCCGATCACCAGTTATCTGTGGTGCTGGTTTTCCATTGGATAGACATATGTCCATGTCTTGGAGAACATTCCACATCCAGACCAAACCCGCAGCATTCAAACCCTTCATCCAGGATTCAATTCTGGAAAAGTTCTCCAAGTCACCTGTGCTTAAATTTCAGCTACTTTGGCTGTTAATCAGATCTCTCTGATGCCCCGGTAGCATTTGTTTGACCCTGGAACTGGATTCACTCACTCTTTTAGAGTGATTGCAGATTGCTCCGTGTCTTCTATGTAGGTGCTGCCATCTTCAGATATCTATGATGGCAGTGCCCAGAAATTGAATACCCTGCCCATAGCTGGACGTGCGCGAACTGTGAGCAGCAGTGACATGCCGCTATAGGACTTGACATGGCAATGGAGGGAGATGAATATACTGATCCTGGGCCAATGGCAAAATTGCAACAAAAACAGAGAATCTGAGAACGGGCAAAAGCTTAGAGAAACTCAGTAGCTTGCCCTCCGGTTAGTCCCCACTAAGAACATAAAAATGTTTTTGCCCCCTTGTGCCATTACAAAGAGAACCTTTACCATTTGTACATCAGACTGATACAACCCATAAGGTAGTCCAGAACTGAAAAGCCTGCAAATTCTCTCAGCAACAGGGATACAGCCTTGTCAGTGAGGTTTAGCTGATAACCCTCTAGGCACAGTGAGCACGGGTCCAGGTTTGGATTATTTAATGTATTTGCATGTTATATATTCACAAATGGCTCTCAGACATTGTAGTAAAAGAGAACTTCTCTTTACTTCAGTACACACACATAATGACATAACATAAGAGAGACTAACACAAGTGCATAATTTCACTATGCTGCCATCTACTGGAAGGTGGACTGCATAAACCACAATACATAACACTTCAACCCCCTAGACCTCAAAGTCTTTGAGATAACTGGGAGGTTTAATATTTCGTCTTGGGTGCCCCAAAACCATGTTTGGAACTACTTCACTTGGACCTTCAGTTGTGCCCATCCCTTCTTCCTGTGCTCTGTCAGATGGACCACAGAGAACTGGTTCTTCAACAACAACTTCTGGAGAACTGAAACCTGTATCATCCAGTGGTTCAACATCATCTGGTATCACAGAAAACCCAGTATGACTGGGACCGGCAGCAGGTACAATCTCATCACTCCGTTCCCAAATCTGATCGACATATCTTCGTTATATTCTACCATCAGGAATTTGTACTTTGTATGACAAAGGTCCTGTGGCCACAAGTACTTTTGCAGGTATCCATTTAGGCCCAGAAACATAGTTCCTGACATAGACAGCACTGTCAGGTGCAAATACTCTCACAGTAGAAGTATTATAGTTCTTATTGAATTGCAATTCTTGCTTCTCTTGTAACTCAGTTGTCAAATCAGGATGTAAATGATCCAGACAATTTTTAAGACGCCGGTTCATAAGGAGCTCTGCTGGACTACTACCGGTGCTTGAGCAAGGTGTCACATGTTGTTGCAGAAGGAAATTTGCAAGTCTACGATTCCAATAATTCTCTTTAATGAGTCTTTGGTAGTCTGAACCATACGCTCAGCTTGACCATTTGATGATGGGTGAAATGGTGCAATCGTAACATGTCGAATAAGATTACTTGCCATGAAAATTTTGAATTCTGATGAGGTAAATTGTGTTCCATTATCAGACACAATTGTATCTGGCAACCCATGTGTAGCAAACAGCCTCCTTAGAATCTTTATGACTGTGACTGAGGTAGCAGAAGTAACTGGAACAACTTCTAACCATTTTGAAAAGGAGTCAACAACTAAAAAAAAATCTGTCCTTGAAAAGGGCCAGCAAAATCTATGTGTAAACGGGACCAAGGTGACCTAGTCACTTCCCACGGATGTACTGAGGCTTTAGGTGGAGCATGACGAGTAGATTGGCATGGTACACAGTTCTTCATCCACTTTTCAAAAACTTCATCCATTTTAGGCCACCAAACATTACTTCTGGCTAAAGCTTTCATGCGAACTATTCCAGGATGTCCTTCATGAAGAGCATGCAATACTCGAGCTTGTCCTGCATTTGGAATTACCACTCTGTTTCCCCATAAGAGGCACCCTTTATAGGCAGATAGTTCATGTTGGCGCAATACAAATGGTTTGAACTTGTCTTCCACTTTTGATTTTGGCCACCCCCTCCAAACCCAGTTGAGCACACGGGACAGCAAAGAATCCTTGGCAGACATACAAGCAATGTCACTTGCATGTAACGGAGGGTTTGGAATGGATTCCTACATGATGACCTCAGACACAGGAGGAACAAGGAAGTCAGGAGAAGGCGAAGGTAATCGGCTTAATCCATCAGTATGTGTGATATCCTTGCCAGAACGACACTTGAACTCACAATCATAGGCATTCAGCATAAGGGACCACCTGTATGCGTGGTGAAATTATTTGAGGAGTGGGAGTATTGCTGGTGAACAGACCCAGTAAAGGTTTATAATCTGTTATAATAGTAAACCTCCACCCATACAAATAGTCATGAAACTTTTTTACACTGGACAACAATAGCTAGAGCCTCCTTGTCAGTTTGGGCGTAATTCCTCTCTGTAGTAGATAAAGTCCGTGAATAAAACGCAATAGGAGCCTCAACCCCATTTCTCAAAGTGTGTCTCAATACAGCCCCTATGCCATACGGAGAAGCATCGCAGGTGAGGTTGAGCGGTTTCTCCAAATCATAGTGTACAAGCAAACTGTCAGAAGACAACAGTTTTTTAGCAGCGCTGAAAGCGGTAGAATGAACGTCAGTCCATTTCCATGGAGCATCTTTATCTAGAAGACGATGCAGAGGTTCAGCAACAGTGGCTTTATCAGGCAGAAAGGAATGGTAAAAATTAAGCAACCCTAGGAAAGCTTGCAGTTCTTGTTTGTTTGTTGGAACCGGAGCTCTATGGATAGCTTCAACCTTAGAATCAGTTGGATGAATTCCCTGTGCGTCAACTCGGTAACCAAGGAAATCCACGCTGCTTACACCAAAAACACACTTTTCTTTTTTGTTTTAGACCGGCATCAAGAAAACGCTGTGCAGCCAATGACTGTATAGAATCTGCTCCAATAAGAACGTCATTAAAATAAGGCACTACACCTGTAAGTCCAGATAAGAGGTCCTCCATTAAATTCTGGAATATGCCAGGAGCAATGGAAACTCCAAACTGCAAACGTCTTGCCCGGAAAGCTCCTTTGTGTGTTATTATCGTTTGTGCATCAGCAGCCTCATCATCCACAGGTAACTGTTGGTAGGCTTGAGCCATATCCAATTTGGCAAATACTTTTCCTTTTGCCAAAGTAGAAAGAATTTGATTAACAGCTGGAATTTGATAGGGATGCTCTTGCAACGCTTTGTTGATTGTACATTAGTAGTCAGCACAGATTCTGACATCCCCATTTGGTTTCATGACCGGAACTATGGGTGTACACCACTTTGGGTGTGTTACAGGTTCAAGTATACCCTGTTCCACAAGACATGTAATCCCAGCATCTATTTTTGGTCTGAGAGCTAATGCAATTTTGCGAGGCTTCATACGGGGGTACTGTTGAATCTAATACAAAAGAAACAGGAGAGCCTTTAAACATGCCAAGACCTTCCTCAAAAACTACACTAAATTTATCAATCACATTCTGTAGAATATCTGTCGATACATTATTAACTCCAGTTAATGAAATTCCTAAGGGTTCAAACCACTCTCTACCTAGCAAACTTGCTCTTTGTCCCTTAGTAATTATTAAACGTAAGTGTCCTCTGAATTTACCATATTTTACAGGTATAAAACAAGCCCCTTTAACATCCACAGCCTGTTTGTTGTAGTCCACGAGATGAATATCACAAGGTACTATTGAAGGAGAATTATGAGGCCATAACAATGTAAATGTCTCTTCTGAAATCAAAGAATATGCGCACCCAGAATCTACTTCCATTTTGCACAGAACATCTTGCAGCACAATTTCAGCGTAAATCTTCAGTCCTAATGGCGAATTTTCCCCTTTATTCACATTTGAGTAAACAGCTGCAGTCATTTCACTATCTGAAACGGTATGTGGAGTATTAAAAGAGTGCGCTGTGGTTTGTATTTTATTCACATTTTTATATTTGATCTGAATTCCACTGGCTTGTCTTTGGCAAACTGTCTGTATGTGACCTGTACGTTTACATGTGTGTCAAACTGCATTTCGAAAACGACATGTATTACGCCTGTGTTTTCCACCGCAACTATAACAAGTTCCTTTAAATGGAGCTGTGACATCAATGCATGGTGAAAAGTCTTTTGATTTAACATCAGTCTTCTTCACTAGATTTATTTCAGGTGAGTTTTCTTTGCTGGAGGAGGATTGTATCTCTTTTGAATGGACATATACAGCCTCATT